CACCACCAAACACAACAAGCAATAAGGGCCCTTTCAACCTTCTGCTTATTCTCTAACATACCGCGACCTCAAGGTCTCCCCTTCTCACTGTTCCACATAGGCACTGCTATATGTATGCACAGCAGGGGAAATTACGTAGCTCAAACCCTTTCCTGTATGTCTGCATGTAACATTTTAACAAAATGGGAGAATTTTGGGCAGCTGTCAAGAAATTCCTACACCATTGTAATAATACAAGAGTTCAAGCTTTCTTTAGAATGTTTTTAGAATTTGACTGTTTGACTATTTGACTGCTGTTAGCCGCCCTGAGCCCGGCTTCAGCTGGGGAGGGCGGGATATAAATAAAATTTATTATTATTATTATTATTATTATTATTCCTGCCCTTCCTGTTTAACACTGAACTGGGGATGAGGATGCCAATAGGACCATAGCCAAAAACGGCCAACGACAGAGAGATGGGGGTGGGTATCAACATGCTCTGCGAAACCATGAAGATTGCAAAAGTACAAATAATGTTTTTTTGAAACAAAACAAAAAATTATGAGGGCAAAAAATACAGCCCAATGAGGGCAGGGGATTGTTATCCTATCAGAGACAGTAGCTGAAGAACTTTTTGAATTTTTTTTTGTTGTTCTCCCCCTTGGGAAACAGAATAATATTTTTTTTATAACTGCAACATATGCTGACGGCACACTCCCCCCACCCCGATATATCTACACCTAGCAAACTGTATAACAGGCATTCCCAACCTGCGGCCCTACAGATATTTTGGCCTACAACTCTCACAATCCCTAGCTAAAGGACCAGTGGTCAGGGATGATGGGAATTGTAGTCCAAAACATCTGGAGGGCCGAAGGTTGGGGATGCCTGCTCTATAACATCCACTATCACATCCACACACATAACATGCACCTAATATAAATACTTGACATCCATCCCCAAACACACACACACACAAGATATATACATCCACACAGATGTAAAAATACGTCCCCTTCCTGGACATGCAACACACGTCAGACACACACACGACATTAAAATGTAACACCCCTCCACATCACACATGCATGCATACACACAAACACTTGTGCACGCACATAACATTCTCTCTGTAATATATAAACGCATATATGCACTGTCTCTCTCACGCACAAGCAAAATATATCGTATATATACCGTATATATATACCGTATATATACCGTATCGTATATCGTATATATACACCGTCCCCCACAAAATGCAATACACACACGGGCAAATCTCTCTCTCTAGGCTTGATTATTGTAACTCGTTCTACACAGGGCTGCCCTTGAAGCTGACCCAAAAACTCCAGCGGGTGCAGAATGCCGCAGCGAGGCTCCTCACGAGGTCTTTGCCGCGGGATCACATTCATCCAGTGCTTCACCAACTGCACTGGCTCCCGGTGGAGTACAGGGTCAGGTTTAAGGTGCTGGTTTTGACCTTTAAAGCCCTATGCGGCCTAGGACCCACATACCTATGTGACAGCCTCTCTTGGTATGCCCCATGGAGGACCTTAAGGTCCATAAATGGCAACACTCTGGAGGTCCCAAGTTGCAAGGTGGTTAGATTGGTCTCAACTAGGGTCCTGCGGGATGTGACATCTTTCCGCAGGGCCTGCAAGACAGAGCTGTTCCGCCTGGCCTTTGGTTTGGACTCAGTCTGACCCTTATGTTTCCCTCCCCTTACGGTTTTGATCTATGGGCTACTTTTAAAATGAGGCTGTATTTTAAATTGCATTTTCACCTGTATTTTAAATTGTTCCCCCCCCCATTATGTTTTTATTGGAATTTTACTGGTGTTAGCCGCCCTGAGCCTGGCTCTGGCCAGAGGGCGGGGTATAAATAACATTATTATTATGATGATGATGACATATACACCTGCACAGACAAAACGTATCTCTCTCTGTGTGTGTGACAGCCTTCTCATTCACTGCTCCCTTCCTAGAGAAGCCAAACTGGCTCCCTCCTTTGCTGTCCTTCAGCCCTTCTTGTTGCTGAAGACCTTCCTGTTCCAACAGGCTTTTGGGAAATGACTGCTGGCCCTGTGCTGCTTTTATTCTCATCTGTGTCTTTTCAATGGAATTATAGCTAAAATCTCTCTCTCTATATATATATTTTCTCTCTCCACCCCCATCGTTCTACCCAGACACTGAGGTCCAGCACCGAGGGCCTTCTGGCGGTTCCCTCACTGCGAGAAGCCAAGTTACAGGGAACCAGGCAGAGGGCCTTCTCGGTGGTGGCGCCTTCCCTGTGGAACGCCCTCCCACCAGATGTCAAAGAGAATAACAACTACCAGGCTTTTAGAAGACATCTGAAGGCAGCCCTGTTTCGGGAAGCTTTTAATGTTTGATGTATTATAGTATTTTAATATTCCTGGGAAGCCCAGCCAGATGGGCGGGGTATAAATAAATTATTATTATTATTATTATTATTATTATTATTATTATTATTATTATTAGTGTGTGTATGCACACACCATATATTCTCTCTATATATACATATACATATATTCTCTCTCTATATATATACATATAACACCACCTGTAAATCCACGTGCAACATACAGTGTATCTGTTATCTGGACATACAGTGCACGCACACATATATGCATATATGTATGTGTATGCACCTGCACACAATACATGGCATCCCACACAGGCACACAAACACGAATGTGCACGCACAGCCTTCCTTCCTCTCTCTCTCTCTCTATACACACACACACACACACACACACACGGGAAATACAAGCTGGTGCTCTCTCTGTCACTGTGTATCTAACACGCCTGCCCACATATGCCCGCGTGTGTCGGGCCTTCCCTCACCGCCTTCTCGAGGTGGCTGCGCGCCTGCTCGCCGTTCCGCGTGTGGTGGTAAAGGACGGAGCCGAGCTGCAGGTGGGTCCGGGCCTCGACGCGCGCCGGCGGCTTCCTGGGCAGCACGGCCTGCAGGCAGTGGACGCAGAGGCGCACCTTGGGCGGGCTGGAGGTGCGGAAGTGCTCGGCCAGGCCCAGCAGCGCCACGTACCACGACTCCGAGGAGCCGCCCGACGACGAAGAGGCCGCCGCGGCCGCGGGAGACGACGACGACGGAGGGCCTCCGGCCGCGGAAGAGGAGGCCGAGGACGACGACGAGCCGCCGCCATTGCCGTCTCCGCCTCCTCCTCCTCCCGCCGCCGCCGCCTCAGCCCCGCCGGGAGGCCCGCCCGACGGAGGCTGAGGCGCCGCCGCGGACGACGATGACGGGGCCGTGGTCGCGGACACCGAGGAGGAGGAAGAGGCGGGCGGGGGCGGAGGCGCCGTCGTCGTCCGTTGCGGAGGAAGAGGCCGCGGCGGCGGCGCCGGAGCCACCGGCTGCCCCGGCCGCAGCGCCCACGGCCGCCATCTTAGATTTACCTCAGAAATGATAAGACATGGATCGTCAGGGCCGAGGGGAAAGGGGGCGGGGCGGCGACGCGCGCGGGCCTAGCGCAAAGCGTGACGGGAAAACGAGTGCCGGCGTTGTATGAAGGAAGGAGTGGGGTGGGGCGCTTGGACTACAATTCCCGTCAGGTAGCGGGGTGGGGAGGAGTGACGGGAGTTGGAGTCCGACAAGCGTCTCCGGCGCGAGAGGTAAAGGAGTTGCGCTCCTCTCGCGAGATATTTTCTTCCGCACACCGGCTGACGCTTTGTGTACAGTATTTCTGTCTTTTTATTATTTCTGTTTCATTTTTTATTTGTGTGCCGCCGCCTCCCCACAAAACTGTGGCACATCTGGTGGTTTTGGAGTCAGCCAGGTTAGTTAGTTATTTTTTTTAAAAAATACTTTTTTAATGTTTTTATTTTTATTCTAACTTTTTGGTGCGTGTGGTCCGGGATTTAACAACAAAAAATTAATACTACAAATTTCATTGCCCTCCTATAACAATTTACATTGTAAACTTGAATTGTTTTCAGCCTTCATTTAAATTTTAACTATTGTTTTTAACTTTAAACAATGGTGCTGTGTTAGTTCGGTGTTCACTTCCCAAGATAGAAATTTTAACTATTATTCATAATGCAATACATAAGGATTTAAATTATAATCCTTTCGAGGATAAAAATTTAGCAACATTCAAGGATTATAATATAGTGCATATAGTATTTCTATATTTCATTGATTTCATAATCTCAAAGCGGTTTACAAAACAAAACGGTAAAATCAAGAAAACAACCCTATTTAAAACATACAAAAGTTAAAATATTAAAACGATGAAAATATATAAAATATCAAAACGATAGAAATATCTTATTATATTTTTCTATTATAATAATACTGTAGTTATAGCAGATAATAGTACATATTTACCATAATATTATAGTACGCTATTATACGAAATACAGTACAGTAATATTAAAAAACCTGCTAGCTACAGTTGTACATAGTTCCTCGTATATAATTGTTTATAAACGGTAGGGAATGTCCTCCTTGACGTTCAAATGTCCAAATGTCCTCAGTCAAAATAAATGCAATTATTTTAATAATATTGCTCAATATTAGTATGACTCAATATTAATATCATCAGACATTATTATGGAGGAGTATTTTCTCCCACTTCCCTTCGCCTCATGGGAATTGTAGTCCCTTAGCAAACTACACTGAGGAATGGGGAGGGGAAGCTTAATTTCCACAAAACTCGCGAGAGCGCCTTCCTCTCCTTTCATTGCGTCTCCAAGTCTCGCGAGAGCAGCTTTCTTCCTCCCCAGTATATCTCAACCCCGCGCGCAGCGCTTGCCGGGAATCGTAGTCCGCCCCGTCTCCCGCTCCCTGGCTGCTTTATTCTCCCTGCAGCAGCAGCCGAAGCCGATGTTAAGAATCCTCAGAGATGCTGCTGGCCTGAAAAGACCGCCTTCTTCACCTCCCTGCTTTCCCCGCATTCCCCCACCCCCTCAACCAGGCGCGGACTACAATTCCCGGCATCCGTCCGGGCGCGACCATCTTGCCTCTCCTTTCTCCTCTCCGGCCCCCCCCCAGAATGCAACGCGCCTGCGTCAACGACGCTGGCGGCGGGCTTTCCGCGCGGTGCATTGTGGGAGAAGGGTGGGGACATCCTGAGAGCGATGGACGGCAGCAGAGATGCGCCAGGTGAGTCTGCCCTCCCCCGCCCCGCCCCTTTCCAGCCAGGTAAGCCCCCCCCGCCCCACTCCCTTCTCCCTCCCCCTCTTCTCCCTCCCTCCCCACTGGGCCCCCACGAATTAAAAAAACAACCCCTTTCTCTTCCTTCGCTGGGCCTTCCAGGCTCTTTCTCTGCTGCTGCGGCTGCTGCTTTGGGGGTCGCCAAGCTATTATTGCAGCTCTCGTCGTCATTATTGTTACTGTTACTACTACTACTATTAATAATAATTAAATTCGTTAGCCGCTTCATTTCACCCGAGGCAGTCCAAAGCGTCTTAACAATACTAAACATCTTAAGTACAGTGGTACCTCGGGTTGAGAACTTAATTCGTTCTGGACGCCTGTTCTTAACCTGAAACTGTTCTTAACCTGAAGCGTCTGTAACCCGGGGTACCACTGTATTCATTTTGCACCTGCCTTTGGACCACTTGCAACCAAGTGAAGATGTCCAAGTGCCAGGATGGTGCCTGACGTGTCCCCCCCCCCATCTGGGGAATCACTGGATCTGGGCTGTTTTCACTCACTAATACAGCATCCTGTAGAATTCTATCTGTTATATTTTATCTGCACAATAGAGAACGAATTTCTGGAACCAAGATGCTTTTTCTGTGCAGCCTGAGCAGGAGCAGTGAACAACATCATAGTTACAGTGGTACCTCGAGTTACAAACGCTTCAGGTTACAGACTCTGCTAACCTGGAAGTAGTACCTTGGGTTAAGAACTTTACCTCAGGATGAGAACAGAAATTGTGCGGTGGCAGTGGGAGGCCCCATTAGCTAAAGTGGTACCTCAGGTTAAGAACGGTTTCAGGTTAAGAACGGACCTCCAGAACGGATTAAGTTTGTAACCAGAGGTACCACTGGAATTGTTGTCGCTTGTCTTTGCTTACCCCACTGCCCTGCTCAGAGTAGTGAAGGATATTCTTACATTATGAATCGTCCTTGTCACCTTTAAGAAAAAGAGGTTGGAGCTGTCCATGGATCAAGTGACTTTCTTGTTTAAGTTCTCAGAGTTCTTAACCTAGCTCAAGGTTGTCCTCTGAACTAGCCGTATGTTTAACTGAGAATCAATCACATTCAGTCCATCCTTTGAAAAATAAGACTTTAGATCCGTCATGCCCAAAAATGGCAACTAGACATTCTGGTTTGGCACTGTAACCTTTGTTTAAGGAGCCATTTGGCTCCTAGCTTATATATCTGAATTTCTTAACACTGGGCTCAATCCCTGACATCTTCAGGCTGTCTGAAATCCTGGCAAGAGCCACTGCCAGTCAGTGTAGGCAGTGCTGAGCTATTTGGACCATTGGTTTGACTCATATCTACATGCCAGATCCTGCTTTCAGCTGAGAGTTGTAACAGATGTCCTTTGAACCCCTTTCCCTTCGCAATGATTATATGAAGGGTTAATATAATTTCTTTTGGTTTTTTGTGGTGCCCCTTCTTCTCGGCCAGGGAAAACCAGCCGGTGGTTTGGCATCACGATGCCCAAATCGGAGAAGACCAATGTGAACATCCTCCACCAGGAGAAGCTGATCGCCCAAAAGAAGCGTGAGATTGAGGCCAAGCTGGAGCGTCAAGCCAAGCGCAGCCACTTGGCTAGTAAGCAGGCCTCGCAGGCCAGCGAGTACGTAGGATTGCCTTGTTCATACCTTTCTGATGGGCTGGGAGCAATGGGCAGGCAATTGCCTGTGTGATAGGGCCAGAAGATGCAGGGAAGCACAGAAGTCTAATAAATATACAAAGTAAGTGTCTCTGAGGGAGTCCCTGCTCTTCTCATGCCCCATTCCAGCTGACCTCTGAGGAGAGGCTGACTGCATTTGCCTCAGGTGTGCATTGAGCATCAAATTATTCCTGATGCTCGAGATTTAGCAATCAGATTATGAGGCTGGCTTCTGTTTTGATGCAATCTCCTGCTGAGCATCTGCCAGGGGCCAGATATTCCTGGCATGAGCAGTCGCTCTGAGCTTCCTTCCACTCTTGTGACATCAGCACATAGATCAGGTGGAAGTCAAGGGGATGGGATGGGAACCGAGGACACACGGTCCTCCTTTTGTGTGTCTTTTGAAAACAGTGATAGAACTCCGTAAGAATGAGCAAAGGCTTAATTTGCAAAGGGAGGGAGTCTTAGTTATTGGATTATTATTATTTTTTGCTGGTGGGGGAAGCTGTGCTCCACAGCAGCACTGTGGCCTCTAACCTCCTCCCCCTTTAACCCCACAGTGACGACAGTGGAGATGGGGAAAGCTCTGTTTCCAACAAATTTGCCAACGATGGGAGTTTCCTCCAGCAGTTCCTCAAGCTGCAGAAGGAGAAGTTGGGCAGCGGTAAGCACTTGTTCCTGAGTCCACTCTGCCAATTCTGTGGGCCTGTTGTAAGTCCCAAGGGCAGGGAATTTCTTTCAGCACAAAGGGCCATGTTCTCTTTTGAACAGATCTTTTGAGGGCCACATGTCAATAGCGGGCAGGGCTCATGGGAAAAGCAGGCAGGGCAATGAATGTCAATTTTTTCCTTCTATGCAGTAGAGTGAGTTTCTGCACACATTCGTGCACCAGCCCTCTCAAAGAAACCCGTTTTCTTTTTTCTTTCAATTTTTATTGAAGTCAAACAAATCAGTGCCAAAAAAATACAAATACAAAAAAAGAAAAAGTATAGTATATCAGGAAGAAACTTAAATCAATTGAGCAGACCATTAGGTAAGCTAAATTTTACATTGTACCATGGAGAGGGAGTCCAGGTATTGGCTATATACATGATTAAGTTGCCCCCAGACAGCATAGAATTTTTCAGGGTCCTCTGAGCTTTTTGCCACATGTAATTTACGCACCTTCTCTCTGGGCGCTTCCTATTTGTAGGGTGCTCTCCCAAGAGAGGCTCACACGGCACCTTTGTTACGTATCTTTAGGCACCAGGTGAAAGCATTCCTCTACAAACAGACCTTTGGCTTTTAAACAATGTCCTTGTAAAGCGGGGTGGGTTGTTGAGTGTTGTTTTTTTAAACTACGATTGTATTTATCTTGTGTTCTATGTTGTTTCCTGAACCCCTGGTGTACCTGGCAGCAGGCCAGTATGCCAAGTCCAAGGGTCAATCCACACAGGTCCAAAGGTCAGGAATGAAGCTCAGGGTAAGAGCCAAGTCTGAAGTCCAGCAGTCAGGATACAGTCCAGAGCCAAAACCAAAGCCCAGTCCCATAGAGGTCCAGGAGCACTGAAGCCAAGGTCCGCCAACATGAGTAGCTGAGCATACCCAGCACCTCAGCTCTGCTTCAGTTTTGTACTTTCCATGCTGAATGCAACATCTGGGCTTCGTGAGGCATGTGACCCTCACCTGCTCCAAGCCTACTTCCAGCTGAGGAAATCACGTCCCTCCTTCCAGAGCTAGCAAGCCCCACCTGGCCAGCTGGGGAGCTGGGCTGTGGACCCTTGCTTCCTCAGCCTTCTGGAGTGACCCTCCTGCTGCTCCCTACGCCTCAGAGCCTGCTATGTTTGTGGGGACACGGGCCCCTCTGGCTCTTGCAGTGGGTCCTGCTGCTTTGGTTCCTGTGCACTGACCCCCATCCCCTCGCCATCCCCAGTGTGTCCCAGTCCCAACTACACCCCTTGCCGGCGTCCTCTTCCTCCTCCCTGTCATCCTGCCGGTTCGTGACTTGTTGTAAACTGCCCTGTGGTCTGTTGAGGAAGAGCAGTATATAAATTTAGTTAGTAATAATAACAATGCAGTGGTACCTCTAGATACGAATGGGATCCGTTCCGGAGCCCGTTCGCATCTAGAGCTAAACGTAACTAGTGATGGCGCGTCTGCGCACATGCGCGTCACTTTTTGCCACTTCTGCGCATGCGCGTGATGTCATGTTGAGCGTCTGCGCATGTGCAAGTGGCGAAACCCGGAAGTAACGCACTCCGTTACTTCCGGGTTGCCGAGGAGCGCAACTCGAACGCGCTCAACTCAAAGCATATTTAACCCGAGGTAAGACTGTAATGTCAACCTCTGTCTGCCCACCCTTCCAGATGCTTCCTCCAGCTCTGCCAAGGCCTCTGCGGCAAACCCCCCGGCTGCCAGCACCGCAAAGAAGCCCTCGCTGAGCGGGAAGCGCCCCAACCTGAGTGTCACCAGCATGCTGAACCAGGTCAAGAACTACACCCATTCCAAGCAGACGCCCGTGACCAACCGCCTCAGTGTTTTCCAGTCGCCAGACGACGAGGATGAGGAGGAAGACTACGAGCAGTGGCTGGAGATAAAAAGTAAGTGGCGTTTCTGTACAAAGCGAGGGACCAGGGCCCTCTGCCCTGCACAGCTTCCCCTCCTTTTTCCAGAGGGGGATTCTGGCCAGCTGAAAAGATACTTACTTTGTGCTTAAAATTCCACTGAGTGTTGTAAAAGCAGTTAAAAACGTGCCTTGAGAGGGAGGGAGGCACATGTCCAGGTCAGGACCAGCACCCTTTCCCCACGCCCCCAGCCTTATTTCTTGGGTAATCCCTCACTTGAGCCAAGAAAGGGCTTTTAGGATGGACCTAACACATCACTGAGTCTTTGCCCTTAGGCCTACAGTCTTAAAGGGACGCAAAAGGAAAGTGAGCTGGGAGGGTGTAGTTTAGACCACAGTTGAGTAAACCATGGCTTGATATACCGTAGTTGAGAAAACCATGGTTTGATAGTGCACGGTTGAGTAAACCGTGGCTTGATATACCGTAGTTGAGTAAACCAGGTGATTGTACAAACAATAACAAGGAGGTTTACAAAATAAACCAAAAGCAATACAGCGTAGACACAGCTGCCCCAGTGTTCAGTAGGTGTTGGTAGGTCAGTCCTGCGTGCCTGCGCCTTCCTCCCCACCCCCACCCCCGTATTGAAAGCATCAGGCTTAGGTTGCTGCCTGCCGTGGCTCCATCGTTTCATCCTCTTTCTCCTCGTTCCACCCACCCCGCTCCCTCCTTCTCCCCCGCCGTCTCGTGGGCCTACTGCTGTGGTTCTTAAAGAGGTAATGTGCCTGTTGGGTGTGTGAGTTGAGCCCCAGTACTGACAGCCTGCTTAAAGTTTGTCCCCCAGAGGACACCCGGACTCGCCGAGTGGTGGAGAAGCTGGCCAGAGTCGTGGCGGAAGGGGGCCCCGATCTGGAGAAGGTGGCGCTCGAGGACTGCAAGGACAACCCGACTTTTGCGTACGTTTGCTGCTGTTCTTGTGCATCCACCCTCCCTCTTCTCCCTCCCTTGTGTGGTCAGTCATGGTGCAGGAGGCCAAGGACAGCCCTTGACTCCCCTCCAGGCTTGTTGCTGTCCATCTCTCCTGCTGTGCACCTTTTACACTAGGGCGCTTCCAGGACCCGATCCCCCTTAATGCTCTTTTCTCTCTCGCACCCCTCAGATTCCTGCACGATAAGAACAGTCCGGAGTTTCTGTATTACAGGAAAAAGCTGGCGGAAATGTGGAAGAAGGGTCAAGATCCAGAAGAGGCCTCTTTCCAGAAAGGTAAGGCGAGGGCCATTGCTCCCCTCCTGCAGTTCTTGTGTAAGCTATCTTTTTATAGGCAGAACTCTCCAAACTATTCATGTTGGTGGCACACTTTTAAGACAGGCATCGTTTTGTGACACAGTAATTCAGTTTTGCTAGCAAACCGGAGGTTAAACTAACCCCTTCCCAGCCCTGGGAGCAACACACCTACACACTGCAGTCGACTCACTAGTGTGTCATGACTCACAGTTTGGAAAGTTCTGGGCTACAGGCTGGGTGTGTATAGAGATCAGCCTGGCTAGTATGGCACCCTCCAGATGTTTTGCACTATGACTCCCATCAGCCCCAGGCAGCACAGACATTTTGGACTACAACTCCCACAATACACCATTGTGCCTGCCAAAACATCTGGAGGGTAAAGTTTGGTGTTGATGATATTAGAGCTGAGAGCTTTCTTTTTTAAAAAAACAAAAAACCAGTAGATTGATCTACTGATTAAGCAAGCAGCAGATTTTTAGTTTTAGTTCTTTTTAAAAAGATAATTTGGCTGCTACCCTAACCCCTTGCTACCTGAGAGGAAGCCCCATTGAATTCAGAACAACTTAATTCTGAGTAGACATGGCTTGGGTTCCTGTGAGCTGCTTTTGGCGCAGATCCGTTGAAATTGATGGTGGCTCACTTGAGGCCTAGTGTCTCCAGGGGACCTGCTCTAAGCATGCCTAACTCTTGATCCAGCCTTAATTGTTTCTTGAAGAACTAATATCCCGCCTTCAGGGTGCAAAGCACCAATCAAGAATAGTTTACAACATTTTGTATTGTTGTTGTTAATATTTTCAGAGGCAGTAAATGCTTCTCAGTACCAGTTGCTGGAAACGGCAGGAGGGGAGAGTTGCTCTTGCACTCAGGTCATAGAATCGTAGAACTGTAAATAATAGTCCCCTGCAAAGCAGTAACAATTAATTTGCTTGCTATGCATGTCTTTTGGCCATTCGCAGACGTACCATAAAGACAGCTAAAAATAGTTTTTAAAAGCAGTCTAGGAAACCTGCTGTGAAGGTAGGTTTAAGCGATTTGAATGAAAACTCCTAAGGCAGACCTCAAGCTGGAATAGCTTGTCAAAATGAAAACTGTGAAGAATATGGATTTGGGTGTTTCAGAACAAGAGGAGGGTGCGCTGGATCAGGTCAAAAGATCTAGTTCACCATCCTGCCCTAACTGGCCAGCAAGGTGCCCCGATGGGGAAACCCACAAGCAGGATCTGTCCGCGAGAGCCCTCTCCCCTCCTGTAGATTCCAGCAACTGGCATTCGGAAGCATCGCTGCCTCTGAGCAGCAGAGTTTACCAGGTGCGACATTTAGTCAGTAGACCGACCTCCTGAAAACCCATACAATGAATTGGGCACAGATTCCTACAGACAGGGTGACAACCTTAGTCTAGCATGCCTGTCTGCCTTCTGGTTTGCAGGTGTGAGTGTCGCTGCTTGTGTAACAGACCAGGGTGGGGTGAAATGCCCAGGGTGGGGAGAACCAGGAGGGGGTATATTTGTGCCAGGAGTGAGCAACCTCTTGCCCTCTGGGTGTTTCTGAGCCATCAGAGGTTATTTCCAGGCCCTTTTATGTGCACAATGAGGCAGTTGTGTGCCTTAATGTCAGTGGTTATGCTCTGAGACCATACATTTAAAGTGCCCTGAGAGTACTGCAAACAGTCTTAGCTTCTTCTGGGAGCTGTAGTTCATTAAGGGGGCTGAAAGTACGCTATTCCCTTCAAAGAGTGACAATTCTCAGAGTGCCCTGTGAAGTGGGATCGAAGGTTAAACCTCTCTGGGTATTGATCTGGGGAAACCAGCTTTTCAAAGGCTGAGTCATTTACACCTCTGCCACCCCCTTCCTTCTTAGTGCCCCCCCCCCCCGTAGCCCCACTGCCCCCAGGGAGCAGTTGACAATATTGGGACTTAGCTGTGGATCTGTTCTGAGTGCAGCCAGCCTTGGGCATTATTTCCTCCTTTTCTGTTTGTGATCAAAGTGGGGAGGCGAAAAGGCAAGAAACAGACTGAGAAAGAGAAATTTTAAACCCTCCTCTTCCCGCTTATTCCGTTCCCCTCCCCTCCCGGGGTTCCTTAAAGCCAGATTAAGAGCTTGTGGCTGTTGGGTATGTGAGTTGGGGGCACCGTACTGACAGCCTGCTTAAAGTTTCGCCTCCAGACGACGAAGAGACCAAGGACTGCGCCGAGAAGCTCGCCAGGTTCGTTGCCGACGGGGGCCCTGTGGTGGAAATGGTCGCCCTGAAGAACCACCGGGAGAACCAGTCCTTCAGGTGAGGAGGGTCAGCTGGGGTTTGGGGGAGTGGGAGAGACCATAGCCTAGGTTTACGGTGCCGTTTGGTGATTAGATTATATATTTGAGTAGATAAGTAGCCATGTAGATATGTTGTCAAAACAACTAGTGTTTTAAATAGGATCTTGGCAGCTCAAACATTGATGGGGAAACAGCCCACAAATCTTACACTTGATGTTTTGTACCACGCACTCTGGAATAATGGAGAAAGTTACATGTAATTTGAGATTTTGATGAGGACTAGAATCTCCAGGTGCCTTTTATATGATTTGGCATTCCTTCTTTACACATACTGTACTGTATCGTCACATGTCTGGCAGAGCTGGGACGGCCCTTGATAGATTAATGCTGATATTCTTGGGGGACCTTGTTATTTTAACCCATGTGCCACGGTACTCACCCTGCATGCCTGTTTTATAGTTTTGCTCTCCATCTTCTAATTTCCATCTAGCGGTTCTCTCGGTTTTATATGCGTTATAAAATGAAATTAAAACAAACTTTACACAAAAAAGGATTTGAGACTTGGACTGGGGGACACCGGGGTTCATATCCCCCCACTAAGCCATGCAGCTCACTTGGGTCCCCTCATGGCCAGGCGTCTCTTGGCCTGGTCTACCTCCCAGGGTTGTGAATATCAAATGGGGAGAACCAGGTATGAACCTTGAGCTCCTCAGGTGGGATATAAATGTAACAAAGAACTAATGAGGAAAGTGTATGGTTGGCATAAATCTCCTAAATCTCCTACCCACCTTTCTTTGGCGAACTAGGCTCACCTGTGAGGAAAAAGGAATTTTTTCATTTTAATCAATCCATTTGTCATAACAGCCCTTATATCACTAGGTGGCGCCACAGCTGTTTGAATATTTTGAATAATGTTTACTTAATTTTATTACTTCATCTCAGTGCATCATTTTTTAAAGTTTTGCACAGTATTTCAGTTTTGCTTCATTTTTTTTTTAACATGCTTCAGGATTTGGTATATATTATGTGTAGCTCGCTGCATTCTTTGACTATTTTTTTATATTCCATTGAGTTTAACACCAAATCGGTTATTTCGTACATTACCATTGTGGGAGAATTCCAACTTCCATGTTTTCTACAGCTCTTGTTGGCAAAATGTGACATTAATTGTTCTCATTCTTAAAAATCCAACAAAAATATTAATGAATTCAATATAATAATAATAATAATAATAATAATAATAATAATAATAATAATAAAAATTAATTTAAAATGGATTTTCTTCCCTTTAATTGGCCTATGTACACTCCTTCTGCGGGATGCAGGTGGTGCTGTGGGTTAAACCACAGAGCCTAGGATTTGCCGATCAGAAGGTTGGCGGTTCGAATCCCCACGACGGGGTGAGCTCCTGTTGCTCGGTCCCTGCTCCTGCCAACCTAGCAGTTCGAAAGCACGTCAAAGTGCAAGTAGATAAATACCTTCCTCTGGCAGGAAGGTAAACGGCGTTTCCGTGCTCTGCTCTGGTTCGCCAGAAGCGGCTTAGTCTTGCTGGCCACATGACCCGGAATCTGTACGCCGGCTCCCTTGGCCAGTAAAGCGAGATGAGCGCCACAACCCCAGAGTCGTCCACGACTGGACCTAACGGTCACAGGCCCCTTTACCTTTACGCTCCTTCTGCAGATTTTTGTATGAGCCTGGCAGCTCCGGCTACAAGTATTACCGGCAGAAGCTGGAGGAATACCGGAAAGCCAACGACGACGCCGAGGGGGTCCCTCCCATCCCGGCAGCCAACCTGAAACGCAAAGTCCCTCCCAAGGGGGCTCCCTCTCCTTCCTCTTCCTCTTCCTCTTCCTCCTCCTCCTCCTCCCTCCACCTCAGTGGCACTGCTGCCTACACCAGCCGCCCCTCCTGCAAAGCCACCGCAACCGCAGCCACTGCCACCTGCGCCTGCCACCAAAAAAAAGAGGAAAAGCCGGTGGGGCCCAGAAGAGGAGAAGGTGGACTTGCCTCCCCCAGAGCTCGCTCAGCAGACCAAGGACCCCTCGCCCACCCCATTGTCAGGTGAGTGGCGGTTGGGGGTCGAGCAGCGCTTTGTTCATCCCTAGAGATCAGGGCACTCCTGGACTGGTTTAGAGGGGTGGCCCTCCTGTTCCCACACTGGCTAGCCAGCTGCCCCACAAGCAGGAACAGAGAGCTGTAGCCTTCTCACCATTCCATGGTAGACTGGCTCTCTCCATGGAGGCTCCTCTTAGGGGTCAGAAGAAACTAAGAAAAGCCTGGCTGCAGAATCAGGCCAAGGAGACCCATCTAAGTCCAGTGTCCCAGACTCACAGTGTCCAACCAGGTGGGAAACTAGCAGGCAGGATCTGAGCACAAGAGCCCTCTCCCCTCCTGCGGTTTCCAGCAGCTGGAATTCAGCAGCATCACTGCCTCTGACCATGGAGGCAGAGCACAGCCATAATGGCTAGTAGCCATCAATAGCCCTCTCTTCCATACATTTGTATAATCCAACTCAGCTGGATGCAGCCTACTGTTGATGGAGTCGGCAGGGCATAGTGACCCCAAGTGTGTCACAGACTGGTGGGAGGCAGCAGCCAGGGAACCCCCAGAGGAGGAAGGCTCAGAGCCTGGGACACCGAGGAGAGGTCAGAGGGAGAAGATTGGGAAGCTGTGCCAGATGCTGACGGAGCAACAGGGTTTAGTGAGCGGGAAGAGGCTGCGACAGGGAGCAGTTCAGACTCTGAGGCTGAAGCAAAGTGGGGGGGTCCAAGAGGCTGCAGAAGAATCCAGGGAGTCTCTCTTTCTGGCTGTGACAAGCTCCCTCCACCCTAGTCTCCGAGAATGCGCAGAATAATGAAGAGGGCAAAACAGAGGCCAGAGGTGGGCAGGCACAGTTTGAGACAGCTTGGGAAACATCTGGGAGAGGAGGAGCCTTAAGGTGGAAGGCAGGGACCTTCCGTCCTGGCAACGGCTCCATAGAGGCAAGACCTGCTGGGAAGGGTTGCTGAGTTGTGTGCCATTTCCTTGAATAAAGGAACTGACGAAAGCCTAGCATCTTTCGTGCTGACCTGTGTCAGCCCTGACACTAAGCTTGTGAGCGATTGCAATATATGTGAAAAAAGAAATCTGTTCTCTGACTCCTCCTCCTTCCCCTGCCTCCCTCCTCCTGGCCATCCGCTTCCTGTGTTGGCTACAGATAGAAGTATGGGGGGGTACTGTCCCCCACAGTGTGCAGTCAGGGCTAACCCTTCCGATGCTCCTCCTTGTCTTCAGTCCAGGACCTCAAAGGCCTCGGCTATGAGAAGGGGAAGCCCGTCGGGCTGGTGGGGGTGACAGAGCTTTCGGACGCCCAGAGGAAGCAGTTGAAGGAGCAGCAAGAGGTAACGGGTTCACATCTCCGCTCTCTCAGCGCTTGCTACCTGCCGTCAGGAGTTCGAGTCTTCCTCAAGCGGGGGCCCAGTTTGGTAGGCCCGTCCAGCTTCTGCAGGGGTGGGGGCGAGCATCATTCTGTCACCTGTCAGTCACGGCTTCTTCTTTCTCCCCCCGCTCCCAGATGCAGCAGATGTACGACATGATCATGAAGCACAAGCAGGCTATGCAGGAGATGCAGATCATGTGGGAGAAGACGGTCAAGGAGCACCAGTCCGGCTATGACAGCGACGAGGAGGTGGACAGCGAGCTGGGCACCTGGGAGCATCAGCTGAGGCGCATGGAGATGGACAAGACGAGAGGTGTGTATGCCTGGCGGAGGGGGCCTGGTGGTAGGCAAGATGGGATGGCAGGCGCTAGGCCAGTGTTTCTCAACCTTGTGTCCCCAGATGTTGTTGGACTACAACTCCCATCATCCCTGAGCTCTGGCCTTGCTAGCTAGGGGTGACGGGAGCTGTAGTTCAACAACATCTGGGGACCCAAGGTTGAGAAAGGCTGCACTAGGCGCCTCTGCATATGCCCATTTCTGGAAGCCACGCAAGAGGAGTCGTGAGCCAGAAGCAGGGGCCTCAGCTGATCAAGGCAACTTGAGCTGGCAGTACATCGCCGGCTGCTGCCAGCACAGCAGAAGCAGGCGGGAGTGAGTGAGGTGCGCTGTGCTGGCAGTGGCTGAGGAGCCGTAATGTGTCACTGGCTCATACCGGTTTCAGACTATTAATCGTAATGCCTCCCAGGTCTTCAAGGGGTTTGTTTCTTGCAGCCTCGAGGCGAGGCATGCCTTCTGGTTAAGCCACAGAAGAGTTTCCACACTGGCAAGGCGAAAAGACCCTTCGCTTTTTCAGCAGCTGGTGCATTTGTTCCTTAAAAAACAATGAAAGAAGAACTTCAGATTTGAAGAGTTGAGGTTGTGCTGCCTCTCCACACGGCACAGTGTACACCTATGGAGCTCGCTTCCGCAGGAGGCAGCAGTGCATCTTTAGGTGGCTGTAAAAGAGGACTGGGCAAATTCACGGCGGAGGGCAATCGACGGCTGCAGCCACAGTATCAGACTCCACAGTCAGAGGCAGCAATGCTTCTCCGTTTCTGGAAATCACAGGAGTGGAGAGTTGCTCTTATGCTCAGTTACTGCTTATGGGTTTCCCATTTGGGCACCTGGTTGGCTGCTGTTTTTAATCCCTCCCTCCCCCTCCTTTCATCCTCCTCTCTCAGAGTGGGCGGAGCAGCTGACTCAAATGGGCCGTGGGAAGCATTTCATTGGGGATTTCCTGCCACCTGACGAGCTGGAGAAGTTCATGGAGACCTTCAAGGCCCTGAAGGTAACATGCTTTGGCACCCCCTGCTCTTCAAGCCCCCCCCCCCCATCTCTCACACACGCCAGAAACAAGCTTGCAGGGAACGCCGTCTCCCTTGTGGGATCCCAGAAACTGGGCTGGACAGATCCTTCTGCTGGATTCTGCAAATCTCTTCTCAGTGTAACAGCAGAGTTTGATTTCAGCCGTGTTCTCATCAAGCCTTTGACCTGGTTTGGAACTGCCCCTGAGCATGAGCAGAGGGCAGTTCCCTTGCCACTGAACAAGTACAGTGCCCTGAGCCCTGCCCGTAGTGGAGAGGGAAACGGTTCTGTTTGTGGCTGGCTGGCTGCTGCTTTCCAGAGAAGCTTTCACCTTCCCCCTCCTCTCGAGGACATAAAATGCCAAGTGAGGCTACCCTCCAGGGGTGGCGTTAGGAGGTGATCCAAGGCACCTGTGCCCCAGAGCTTTTTTAAGCAGTCCGTGCACACACCCCAACTTTGCTCTCCCTCACAATGCAAAGCCCCCTGGTTTTCTTTAATTCCACAGGAAGGTCGCGAGCCAGACTACTCCGAATACAAGGAGTTCAAGCTGACGGTGGAGAACATCGGTTTCCAAATGTTGATGAAGATGGGCTGGAAGGAGGGCGAAGGCCTGGGCTCTGAGAAGCAGGGAATCAAGGCCCCCGTCAACAAGTATGCACCTTGTCTCCATCTCTCTCCTCCACCTCCTCTTGGTTGTTTTTTTTACTAGGGTCCGCTACTCCTACTCACCTCCCCACCAACCCCTTTCCCTCCTACACCTGACCAACCCTCCCTTTGCACGTCACCTGTCCCCTCTGTTCGCCCCAAGCTCCTTTGTGCCCCCCACAGTGTTCTCCCTCTCCTGCCTGCCACCGTGCAGGAGTTGGCATGGCCACCGACTGGCAGCTGCATGAACTGCACCATGACAACAACCTCACGTTCTTATGTATATAGGAAGATACGGCCTTCCCCCATACGGTGCCTTCCTGGACGTGTCCCAGGGAGGCCACTTCGGTGCTGCTCACACAGCAGTTTGGCTTCACCCCCAGAGGCACACTCCATTGTCTCTTGAGACAGATGGATGCCAACAAAAATCTGAAAGCTCCGTTGGTGGAGCATGTGCCTTGCCCGCCGGGTGGTAAGAATCTGTCCCTGGTACAAGTCAGCTTCTGAATCCTTTCCTAATAAGCACCCATGGAAGGTAAACTTAGCCTCTTTTTCTCCCTCAAAACAGGGGCGTGACAGCAGTAGACGGGGCGGGGTTTGGGATCGACCGCCCCGCCGACCTGACCAAGGAGGACGATGAATACGAGGCGTTCCGCAAGAGGATGATGCTGGCCTACAGATTCCGGCCCAACCCACTGGTGAGATCACCTGGACCTCATTCTGTGTTCTTCTTAACCCTATGCCACCACCTTCCAACCCCTGCCCCACTGACATGCAGCCCTGGGGGCAGCCCCACTTGCCAACTTCCTTCGCCCCTCTAATCTCAGTGCTGCCCTTCACTTAAGTCGGCAGGGAGGAGGATGGGAGCAGACCTAGAATGAGTTGCTTCTCTGCCTCTCAGGGTTGGGCGATAATCTGGTTTCCAGCTTCGTGATATATTGCCAGCTAAACATCACGATATACATATATCAGTGTCTGAAATGAGGATGGAGCTACGTAGAGACGTTGGTTGGCTTCACAGTTTTCCCCACATTGTGATTTTTGCATAGTGCGCGCACACACATCACGATTCACAATACATTGCCAGGTCTGCGGTTATGAAACCAGTATCATGATGTGGACTTCAAACCCATTTTGGACAATATATCGCCCAGCCATAACACACACCATGACTTGCGATATATTGCCAGGTCTAAAAGTATGAAACCGATATCACAATATGGACTTCAAACTGGTTTTGGATGATAATATCGCCCAGCGCTACTGCAGGCCCCACCCTCGAGGTTTGTGAGAGAGCTGGAACTACACAGAGGGGTTTGTCTCCTCTTGGCACCCGTAGGGAAGGATTGTCAGCTTTCGTGCACGGGCTGCCAGTCCACACCCACAGCCCACCCAGGCCACTTGTCATCTTTTCTCTGCGGAGGTGGATGTTGGGGGGAGGGGACTGAGGCTCTCCTGTGCTCCCCTTAGTCCTCCTAACTCATCCTCTGACCATGTTTTCTTCCTCTTTCCCCACTACAGAACAATCCCAGACGTCCGTACTACTGAGACCCAGCGACTTGCTTTTCCTCCCCCCTTTTCAAATCGTCGGTTGGTTGGTTTACTGTGTTGCGTTTATGGAATCGACATCTCTGCCCCCCCCACACCACCACCACCCCGCTTTTCCTTTGAAAGCACTCTTGTTTTTAAAAAACTCAAGACCGGTCTTGTTCGCCCAGCCCATAGCAATCACGGGGAGGGGGCTGCGCTGTTATTGTTGTCTGCCCGCCAAGTAAAGAAGCAGCTTTGGGGATTCCTGTAGCTGGATTTGGGTGAGAGGGTTTGGAAGTCAACCCCCACCCCGAGTTATCGCTCCCCAGGGGGCTGTCAGGAGTGAGGTGGGGGCGGGTTGTGTGTTTGGGAATGTCTTCAGAAATGTTGGCTGAGTAACACACAAACACACACACTTACTTGGTTTGGGGCAGTCCTTTCGCTATGATTGCCCAGAGGGCTTCCTCCTGTGCTGGTGCAGGGTACAGCAAGCGAGGGCATTTTGACCCACATAGGGGCAGGGGGTGCCAGGGTGCCACCTCTAGAGAGAGGCAGTGGGGAGATTTGGACTCTTCCCCCCCCCCCACATTCTCTTTTCAATAAAATAAATAAAATCAGGCCACAATATTAGTGATGGGGAAGCAGCCAGAGCGAGGGGGTGTACACACACTTGCCTGGGGGGGGGGTCATGGGGTGATACCAGCAGTGGAGCAGAGAGGTGAGGCAGAACGTTTTGGGCGATGGTAGATCCTGTTTTGGAGGGCAGACAATCCCTCTTCCCTCCACCCCCCACTTTGCTAGGAATGGAAATTTGTTTACTTGCTACACCGAGTGAAACAAGGAGTCCCCCGCTCTGCCTGGATTCTCACTGAAGTGGAAGCTGAAAAGCCTCCAGGTTCTCCCCCAAAGGAGAAAGTTTGGGGCAGGGGTGTGGAGAGATGGAACGGAGACGGGCGTTCCCTCCCCAAAACGTCTAGGGAAGCCCCCTTGCCCCAATATACATCTCATTCTCTGCTGTTTTAGTCAAGATTCTCTCCTTCCTTCCTTTCTCTCTCAACTCCCACACCCCCATAGCAGACTTGTACCACTTCTATTATTATTATTATTATTTTGGGGTGTCGTGACCTTTTTGGTTTCTATTTTTATTATTATTATTATTATCATCATTTCAACAATGAAACTGTAGCGTTTGGCTTTCAACAAGTTAATAAAGCTGTCTGTAAATCTAAAGGGCAGGTCTGTCTTTTGTTTCAAAAACCCACATGACGTTTTGGGATTTCCCCTGAGAGAAGGGGTGAAGCCGCCTGATGCGCAGCAGGCAGTGAGTGCAGGTCTTGCAGGAAAGGTTGCTGGAAGATGGAGAGTGGCGCTGGGGAAAGGGGGAGTGCTCACCCCAAACACGGTAGTAATCTCCTGACTGCAAGACTTGCAACCCGATCTTGAACCTTAGACCCTCTTCACAAATGGGCACTCCTAGAGGCAGGTGTGCCAGCCTGTGCCACGTGGCCGACCCTTGCTCCTCCAGGATTGGCGCAGCCCCTTGAGGAAACTCTGGCTGGCACAGGGCGAGGTCAAGAGGCAACTTCCTCCACCCCTGAGAAATCTCTGGGGAAAGAGCCTCAGGTCAGTGACAGAGCCTTGCATACAGAAGGCTGCAGGTCCAGCTGCCAAGGGCATCTCTGGGTTGCACTGGGAAAATCCCCTGAGTCTTGTCTGGGGAGCCCAGGACCTCCAGACACACGGGCCAGGACTGCCCTCCAGGGAGGTCACTTTGATGCTGCAAATCCTTTTGACTTCAGCCAAGCAGGCCCACTCCATTGTCTCAAGACAAGCGGATGCCAATAATTCGAAACCCTGGGGACAGTTAGAAACTTGGATATATCAGCAAGGGGCTAAATAACTCCTTAAACCAAGGTTGCAGTCGCCCAAACAGAATGTCTAGTTGCCATTATGTGCTTTGCCACCTGGGGCTCCCAGAGATCAGCTTGCCCAATGGTCAGGGCTGGTCATAATGCGAGCCCCAAGAAAGGACATGTGGACAGGACCACCTTGGGAGAAGCAAATGTTTAAAAAAGCTGTGTCGCCCTTTTAAAAGGTGGGTCCCTGGGTCTTGTGCAAGGCAGTCTCTCTCCTTTGACCTTTGGACTGCCAAATAGTTCCCTTTTGCCTATGGGGTGGGCTGTGTGGGAAAGCGGCTGGCGAGGCGACGCTGGAGCTGCGAGAGGAACGCCTGCGTGTCAGGCTGGCCAGCCGGCCGCTTAACCCTCCAACTTGCTTCCCAGTGTGTTCCCAAGACCTTGCACTCCCAACCAGCTGAGCCGCGCGGCCCCTTTTTCTTACCATGAAACCGCATCCACTCTTTTTGACCATCGCCTTGTTCCTCTTTGCCTTCCCCTTCTACATGATGGACGGCCTGGCTGCCCTGGACAAGTGAGTATCATGTGAAGGCGTCGTTGGGGGGCGGGGGGGTAAATAATAATAACCCTGACCATTTCTGAATCTCCTGCTCTCTCCGGTGATCACCCTCACCTGACCATCTGACCCAGGCCCTATTGGGAGCAGCCAACGCAATCATGCAGGTCAAACATACATTCTGGGTCCTGCCAACATACCCTCCAACATTTCTCCAATGAAAATGGGGACATCCTATTCCATACCCTCCAACATTTCTCCATTGAAAATAGAGGCGTCCCCTTCAATCTTCCTCCGATGAAAACGGAGACGTCAGCTTATTGGAAATTTCCCCCATTGGAGCCTGGCCATTCAAAGGGACTGTGGGGTGACACTGCTGTTTTTATTTCTTCCTTGCTTTAAGAAAGGAATTCTGAGTTACGTATTAAGGCCAAGGAGGTGGTTTGGGGGTTTTGCAGGCCGATCTTGCAACTTGTCAAGAAGGCAATTTTAGTGCCATTTTGGTGCATTGTTTTACTGGACTGTCTGTGCCGCTGTTTCGCTTTATTAGTTGCTAAGGACCTAAGAAAAGCCTCCTGAATGAAACCAGTGACCCATCGAGTCCAGCATCCTGTTCCCACAGATGCGACAACGGGAAACCTGAATGCACAGAGCCAGGATTTATGTTGTGGGGGTGGGCAGGGCACCCACCTGTCCGCATCCTCTGCCCGGCTCTGTCTAGCAGATTCGGAATGAAATGTTTCAGCAACGGTTGTTCCAAATTACTTTCTTTTGCTCAGAAAAATCTGTCAAAATCTTCATTCATTTGAAAACTAGGAAGTCAAATGGAGAATTGACATCAGGGAGTACCTTTCATGCAACTGGCGAGTATATTTTGCAAAATTACAAAGAACACGCCTTTTTTTCATATTGTTTTTTAAAGCTTTCTTGGATTTGCTGAAAACCTTTTCAGCACTTCCTTCTCAAATTCCTCCTTTTCCCCAATGCAGTTTTTCTAGTAAGCACAGCCCAGGGAGACGCTCTCCTGCCCTTGTCAACCTTAACCAGGTCTTTGCTCTCCGCAAGGTACAGAATGACGTCTGCATGGCACAAGTGGTGCGTGGCTGAGCGAGAAAGATGCTGTAGTATCCTGAATTCTGATGTTCTGCAGAGAATAGCTTGCACATTGCAATGAAGGATGACATGATATGCTGCCTGCAAAAAGCAGGCACTGACTTTTTCTAGGGAAATGCTCACTAGGGAGGGAGATGGTGGCATCTCAGCAAGCATTTCAATTTCAAATATTCAGATTATTTCTACTTTTAGTTAAGCTTTTTTTTTAAAAAAAAAAATCTTGCAAGCAGGATTTGAGCCCAAGAGCCCTCTCCTGTCCTGCAGCAACTGGAATCCAGAAGCATTGCTGCCTTTGACTTTGTTTAATCCTGTGGCAGGGAGTTCCACAGTTTAACCATGGGACGCTTCTTCAATGTTGCCATCTGGAGGAATGGGCATGCTCTATAGGGCAACAACATCCCCTATTAATGCAGAGTGATTCCTTCAGCACAGGGGGGGTGGGGGTTCGCTTCAACTCAACAATCCTATGATTCTACCTGAAGATTGCAAACATAAGAGTTGGGGCGCAGATCCCCAGCATTTTCAGGTGTTGCTGGAAATGTCTCCAGTTTGAAATCCCAGACCCTCCAAGTGTCCCTATTTTCCAGGGACAGTATCGGATTTACAGAAGCCGTCCTGGTTTCTGATTTGATCCTGGAATGTCCCGCTTTTCCTTAGGACGTCCCTATTTTCATCTGAGAAATGTTGGAGGGTCCGGAGTTATGCGACCCCCCAGCCAAGGAGATAAGTAACTGTACAACCTTTAGAAGGCATCTGAAGGCAACCCTGGATAGAGAAGATTTTTTGATGTTTAATGTTTTAATATTTATTGGAAGCTGCCCAGAATGGCTGGGGCAACCCAGTCAGATGAGTGGGGTATAAATAATAAAACTATTGCTGTTATTAGTAGTAAATAGGACATCCCTATTTTCATTGGAGAAATGTTGGAGGGTATGTAATCCTGGAGTAGCTGCTACAGGTCAGAGCAGGCGATGCACCTATTTAAAACTGCCCTTTTCTGAAATGTGTGGATGGGGAAGAGGCATTTAGGGAAGAAGCGGCAGCTCAGTGGTTACAGCATCTGCCTTGCACAAAGAGAATCCCAGGTTCAGTCCAGACCAGCTTCAGGTAGGGATGGAAAAGACTCCTTGCTTGAAACCCTGGAGAGCTTCTGCCAGTCAGTGCAGACACTATTGAGACAGATGAACCAACAGCCATAAAGGCAGCTTTCTTTGTTCCTGTTCAATTTTGCCAGTTTATGAACAAATTCTGCATTACTTCCAACAAAACCTTCCTGCTATTGTTGCATTGACCTTGTAATAAACAAAAATCTGCCCTTATTCCCTTATGGGGTATCCAAGAGCCCGTATAGAGTCCTTAAATAGGTTCCCTATTGGTAGGAGAAAATAACAGAGGCCAACCAGAGAATATTGAGAAGCAAAGCATCTAGTAAGCCTGATCTTTATTGATCTGTTGCAACAGGGTGCTCCCCTCACATGCAGGAAAGGAGGAGGACCCAGAACCAAGGTGTGCCCGCCCTTATATAGACATTTTTAATTGCCGGCCCTGGAACTCAAGACCACCCCTCCATACATCATACATACATCACAGAAGGGGTGTAACCCAAGAACACCCCCCCCCCAGATACATCATACCTACATCACAGAAAAGGCGGTCTACAGCAGAAATCTGAGTGCGTTGTTTATCTCCTGTCTGACAGGTTACCTGTTAATGCTCACTTGATTGGATACCCTGGAGAGCCTGGCCAGTCTTTTGTAATGACAAATACTTAGTTCCTGAGCCAGGTCACAGGCTCACCCTATTCATACGCAGACAGGATTTGTGAAGGAAAAGACAGTGGGGAGGCTTTTCCATTTTCCTTCGGCAGAGAAATAGATGAGGTCAATTTGGGAGGGACAAAATGGTTTCAGGACTTTCTGTGGGGTTTCAGACATGTGGTTTATATATGCAGTTTGATATATATATATATATATATGACCTTAAATTTTTTATTTTAACCACTATGACTCCAATAGTCAGCAAATGGCGTAACAACTTTTGGATGAGACACCCCATTATTTCTCACATCTATTTTTCTTTTTAATGCATGCATTAATATTCCATGCCAGATTTCTCACTCCTGTTTACTAAGCGGAGAATTGCCCACTTACTCCTGTTTGGCTATCAGCTTCCTAGCTGCACAGAATCATAGAATTGTAGAGTTGGAAGGGACCTCCGAGGGTCATCTAGTCCAACCCCCTGCAATGCAGGAATCTCAGCCAAAGCATCCATGACGGGTGGTCTCCCAACCTCTGCCTAAAAACCTCCAAGGAAGGAGAGGCCACAAGCAGAGGAGTGGCAGGTGAAGTTTATGGAATATGCTGAATTAGCAAATTTAGCTAGCAAAATTAGATATGAGTCAGTCTTTAAGGAGGACTGGAAAATGTTTGTAGACAATATTTTTTTAAAATAACATTGTAAATATGCTAAAATGCTAACAGGTTTGGAGTGAGGACAGCAGTAATTGAGATACTGAGGAAAAAAGTTGGAGGAAAGAAGGCATGGTATAATTACAATACGCAGCAGTAATAGAGAAATTGAGGAAACCGGGGTGGGTGTGTGAGGGAAGTTGATTTTTGGAAAATCAATTACAGTGGTACCTCGGGTTAAGAACTTAATTCGTTCTGGAGGTCCATTCTTAACCTGAAACTGTTCTTAAGCCGAGGTACCACTTTAGCTAATGGGGCCTCCCGCTGCACAATTTCTGTTCTCATCCTGAAGCAAAGTTCTTAACCCGAGGTCCTATTTCTGGGTTAGCAGAGTCTGTAACCTGAAGCGTCTGTAACCTGAAGCGTCTTTAACCCGAGGTACCACTGTAATTAAACAAACAAACAACTGTCAAACTGCTGCAGAGAACATATTTACTGCTGTTTTCCCCTACTATTTTAGTAAGGGTCGCGCTGGGTCCATTTGCAACCCCCCCCCCCGCCCCGCTTGGCCTGGTCTTGCAGCTGCCGGGCTCGTGTCCTAAAGGCTCTGCTGGCTGACGCCTGATGCACTCTGGACAGGCGGCCGGACTTTGATCTTTTCCCTGCGCTATCTGGGAAACAGGGACCTGCTATCTGGCACAGAGCAGCCTGGTGAATCATAGCTAGGCTTACCCTTGAGCGGGGATGGGCAGGTTGGTGACATGCAAGCAGCCTTCCTATTAGCCACATCAGCTAATAAATAGCTTACAAGGTGGTTGTTTTTAAAGGAATAAATTGAAACCCCAAGTTCAGGTGCAATCTATCTCTAAATATCCAATATATATATATTCAAGTATATATGCTTGATATATAGGGACACGGGTGGCGCTGTGGGTAAAAGCCTCAGCGCCTAGGGTTTGCTGATCGAAAGGTTGGCGGTTCGAATCCCCGCGGCGGGGTGAGCTCCCGTTGCTCAGTCCCAGCGCCTGCCAACCTAGCAGTTCGAAAGCATCCATAAGTGCAAGTAGATAAATAGGTACCGCTTTATAGCGGGAAGGTAAACGGCGTTTCCGTGTGCTGCGCTGGTGCTGGCTTGCCAGAGCAGCGATGTCACGCTGGGCACGTGACCCGGAAGTGTCTGCAGACAGCGCTGGCCCCTGGCCTCTTGAGTGAGATGGGTGCACAACCCTAGAGTCTGGCAAGACTGGCCCGTACGGGCAGGGGTACCTTTACCTTTTATATTCAAGTAGTATAAATAATAGTATAATAGTATATTTATTAGTATAAATAATAGTAAAGGTGAAGGACCGCTGAATGGTTAAGTCCAGTCAAACTTGACTATGGGGTTGCAGCACTCATCTCGCTTCAGGCCGAGAGAGCCAGCGTTTGTCCACAGACAGCTTTCTGGTCATGTGGCCAGCATGACTAAATTGCTTCTGGCGCACCGTGATGAGTGCCAGAGCGCATGGAAACGTCGTTTACCTTCCTGCCAGAATGGTACCTATTTATCTACTTGCACTGGCATGCTTTCGAACTGCTAGAGTGGCATAAGCTGGGACAGAGCAACGGGAGCTCACCCCGCCGCGGGGATTCGAACCTCCGACCTTCTGATCAGCAAGCCCAAGAGGCTCAGTGGTTTAGACCACAGCGCCACCATGACCTATAAGTAATGGAGGATAGCTCAGTCAGTTGAGCACTTTTAATCTCAGGGTTGTGGGTTAGAGCACCACATTGGGCAAAATATTCCCGCGTTGCCGGGGGTTGGACTAGATGACCCTCGGGGTCCCTTCCAACTCTGCAGTTCTACGATTCTATATACCACTCAATCACACACAAACAGAGAGAAATTGCATTTATATCCCACCCTTTCCACCAGGGTGGAAATATATGTATTTCACAGAATCATATAACTGTGGAAAAGTGGGACATTCCGGGATCAAATCAGAAACTGGGATGCCTTTTGTAAATCCAGGACTCTCCTTGGAAAACAGGGGAACTTGAAGGGTCTGAGCGTCCTGGGTTCCTTGTAATTCAGCCTTTTGTTCATGAGGACCAGAATCCTGCTCTCCTCTTCCCGGGAAGGGACCCTAATCCAAACGTGGAGTTTTATCGCTTCTGCATCTGCTGAAAGAGCCCTTTTAAAAAATCTGAACCGGGATAAATCTTCTTCCTCCATGATCCACTTGTCCTCTGCCAACTTCCACTGCAGGCAGCGATTGATCTGGAAAGACCCCCTGTGCAGCTCTGCGGATGCTGAGTGGCACTTTTTCTAGAGCCATATATATATATAATCTGCTGCAAGGAGGTTTCTGAGTTTGGTCTGGATCTGCATTGCAGCTGTGTGGCTGATGCACAGTGGCTGCTTCTGAGCTGCCTCTCTCTCTCTCTCTCTCTCACACACACACACACAGAGAAAACCACCTTTCAATTTGCAGCTCAGGGGCTCGTCCCTACCCCTTCCCAGCTGACATCTGCAGGTGCTGGAGCTGCAGGTTTGCAGAGGAAAAGGGTTTTTTTGTGTGAACTGAATGTCAATTCGGGTTTTGGACCAGGGTTGCAGCAGAACAGCTCCTGTGCATGCAGAAGGCTGCAGCCTTGATCTCCAGCCTTGATCTGCACACAGACTTTCTGCCTGGAAGCCTGGAGAGCTATGGCCCTTCCTCAAACCCAAAGTGGGGTTCTAGTCCTCAGGGTTTGGAATAAAGAGCTGAAATGATACCCTCTAACATTCCTCAGATGAAAGCGGGGGTGCTTCCCCCTCCCCGTGCAACTGACCCTCCTCGCCCCGCAAGGTTTTGTTGTTCCCCACCCCACAGAGCACTCCCTACCAGAAGGAAGGTGCTCTATTAGGACACACAACACACAACCTCCACCCTCCTGAGAAAAGCCCTTAATCCCAGTTTTATGTTATTTTATTTTTCAGTAGCTTGCCAAAAAGAAAAGCACAAACCAATGAATAAATTTGATAAAAGGGCAAGATTAGATGTGGACTCACAAAGCATTTTCATGGCCTCCAACATTTCTCCGATGAAAATAGGGAAATCCTATAAAGGTAAAGGTACCCCTGCCCGTACGGGCCAGTCTTGACAGACTCTGGGGTTGTGCGCCCATCTCACTCAAGAGGCCGGGGCCAGTGCTGTCCGGAGACACTTCCGGGTCACGTGACCAGCGTGACAAGCTGCATCTGGCGAGCCAGCGCAGCACACGGAACGCCGTTTACCTTCCCGCTGGTAAGCGGTCCCTATTTATCTACCTGCACCCGGGGGTGCTTTCGAACTGCTAGGTTGGCAGGCGCTGGGACCAAGCAACGGGAGCGCACCCCGCCGCAGGGATTCGAACCGCCGACCTTTCGATTGGCAAGCCCTAGGCGCTGAGGCTTTTACCCACAGCGCCACCCACGTCCCCAGGGAAATCCTATATAATACTACTATTAATTAATAATAATAATAATAATAATAATAATAATAGGTTATTACCTTTAGAAGACATCTGAAGGCCCCATATAGGGAAGCTGTTTTAATGTTTAATTTTTGTTTTTATATATGCCGCAAGCTGCCCAGAGCGGTTGGAGCAACCCAGGCAGATGGGTGGGTGGGTGGGGTATAAAAATTGTTGTTGTTGTTAAATAGGCCATCTCCATCCCTAGAGAAATGTTGGAGGGTATGCTGTCGATGTCTCCTAGCCAGGACGGCTGTGCTCTGCCTCCCCCCAGTTGTCAGCAGCATACTTCCGAATCGAGGCCAGGATGCTAGACTAGGTGGGCCCTGTGGGCTTGATCCAGCAGGATGACTCTTACGTTAAAGTAGCAGGATGTCTGGGCATATGAAGAAATGGTCAAGCCACGCAAAACCAAACAAGTTGCTTCTTTTTCATTGTTTTTAACTTTGGATCCATCCTTGTTTTCTCCTCCTTTTCACCTTCTCCTCGCTTGCAGCCCCTCGGCCATCGCAGTGACTGCCTTCGGGATCCTCTTATTCCTGTTTGCTCTGGTTTATTCCGCAAGTGACTCTGAGGATGCCCTCTTCTACGGTAAGTCTCTTGTCTCTCTTTCGGCATCTTCCTGCCTGCCCCCCCTCCTTTCCCTGCTTCTCTTTCTCTCTGTGTGTGTTTAATGTATGTGTGTAAACAGCTGACCACCTGGTCACCTTTACAAAAAATATGTCGCTATCCCTCATGAAACTCAAAAGTGCATTCAGTGGAAAACACAAATATATATTTCCCCATATCCCTGCAGTGTTCGTTGTACTTTCCTTCGTGTCGGGAATCAGCGCCGTCATTGTTCTGGAAGAAGATGGCTACATAAGCAACTTCCTGGAAGGTTACATGAGACAGGCAAGTCCTCACAGGCAGGAGTGCAACCGGGAGGGCGCGGAGGGTGTGCGACCCACATCAGATGCTTCAAACCTTTGTCTGAGTGGTGGGTGGTTTTATCACATAAAACCTTTCATTTTTTTTTTTTTATAAAATATTTGTTGAGATTTTTCAAACAACAAAAATAACATCAAACAGATAAGAAACAAAGAAGCATCAGAATAAGATTATAAGAAAAAGTGAGAATCTAAAAAGAAAATACAAATAGAATGAAAATATTCATGAATCATATTTTCATAAACTTTGGACTTCCTCACATCCCCCTTCCCTGCGTTCCCAACCATGTAGTTATATGCAGCAATTTGTTACCTTACTTCCATTCTTATTTTATAAATCTCAAATATTCAATTTCAACTTTAAAATTATATTAGTCATAAGTTCAACTGCTTATATTGAACCAAATATTGCTTCAAATTTCAACGTTACCATAGACGACACATATTCTCATATATCTTGCAATAATTTTGCTGCTGCCATGTTTCTTTCAATCGTGCATTCTCCTAGCATTCATACAATTTGTAGTGTTTTTGTAAATAATCTTTAAATCTTTTCCAGTCCTCTTCCACCGTCTCTTCTCCCAGGTCTCGAATTCTGCCAGTCATTTCAGCCAGTTCCATGTAGTCTATCAGTTGCGTCTGCCATTCTTCCAGAGTGGGCAAATCCTGTGTCTTCCAGTGCTTATCACATAAAACCTTTCAGCCAGGTTTCCTTTCAGCCAGGCCCCCCGAAGACACAATACCTTTTGTGAGAAGGGGGTACATCTGTACCTTTCTACAGCTTGGGCATAGGTAGTGACACCATTAACAGCCAGTGCTCAAAATTAGCTAGGCACTCTTTGCACCTATTGGCCACTTGTGACCAAGTGAGGACGCCTGGGTGCCAGGATGGCACCTGATGTCTTCACCATGTGGAGGTGCATGCCTGGGAATCATTGGATCCGGACTGGTTGTGCAAATAATAATATTATTAACAACAACAACAACAATAATAACAATAATAATATATTTATACCCCGCCACTCTGGGCGGCTTCCAACAAAATATTAAAATACAGTAGTCTGTCAAACATTAAAAGCTTCCCTAAACAGGGCTGCTTTCAGATGTCTTCTAAAAGTCTGGTAGTTGTTGTTCTCTTTGACATCTGGTGGGAGGGCGCCACCACCAAGAAGGCCCTCTGCCTGGTTCCCTGTAACCTCACTTCTCGCAGGGAGGGAACCGCCAGAAGGCCCTCGGAGCTGGACCTCAGAACGATGGGGGTGGAGACGCTCCTTCAGATATACTGGACCGAGGCCGTTTAGGGCTTTAAAGGTCAGCACCAACACTTTGAATTTTGCTCAGAAACGTACTGGGAGCCAATGTAGGTCTTTCATGTAGCAACACATTCTGTAGAATTCTCTCCATTATATTTTATTTGCACAGTCAGAATGAATTTCTGGAAACAAAATGCTTTTTCTGAGCAGGGAACGGTGTTATAGTTAATTGTTGTCGCTTGTCTTCGCTTACCCCACCCCGCCAGGAACTACAAGGTTTACTCACAACATAAGTCTTGCCAGGATTCAGGAAATACAGTGACGAAAATCAGGCAGGCAATAAACATTACAAATATCCATAGCCCAGTTCAAAATGGAGGAGAGCAAACATATATCATCCGCCATCGCAGGTAGGAAAAAAAGAGTTTACAGCGACAGGAAGGAAGAGATAGAGATCAACAAATCGTCTTTTTCTTACCACCAAGTTTGGGGGTATGACATCATAGAGCTCCCTCCATGCAGGTTCTGAAACTCCATTTGTGACTGTCTATGCATTTGTGATTTTGTCTGCACATCCTCCCGCACAAACGTCCGTTCCCATAGCAGGGGTGAGGTGCCTCCAGATGTCGCTGGACTCCAACTCCCATCACCAACAACCCGGCATGGCCAGGGATGACGAGAGCAGGAGTCCAGCAATACCCAGAGGGCCATTGGCTTACCTTCTCTGCCCTATGGCAACAAATCACAGGTACTTGGCCCAGCTATTTTACATAGCAAAGCTGAGCATGGCACATTGGACCACTGAATAAGCATCTCTTCTATTCTTCGGACCCCAAGCCCACAGCCATAGAGTCGCTGCTTCAGAAATGTGCCATGAGGCCATTCAGTCCACCCCCAACCCTTTAGCAATCCCTTAGTTCAGGGAGGACTCATATCTCAGCGGAGGAGCACTGCTTTGCATGTAGAAGGTCACAGGCATCTCTAGGTAGGGCAGTAAGATTCTAGTCCTCAGCATTTTGAATAAAGAACCAATTCAAATAGGCCGCTGCCTTGAGCCAAGTCAGACCATTGATACATCCAACTCAGTGCTGCCTACACTGGCTGGCAGCATCTCTTCAAGTTTTCAGATGGGGATTTAGGTACCATTTCCTCAGCCACAGCTGGAAATGCCAGGAACTAACCTGTTCTTGTGTGTGTGTGTGTGTGTGTGTGTGTGTGTGTGTGTCATGCAAAAGCTGCTTTTTGGCCGCAGAGTCACAACTTTTAATTTCTGGGGGACATGCAGACGTTGAAATGGATGGTTGAAGGACGGGGCGGGTTTTGGGCTGTGACTGACGTCTTGGTTTCTGGTTCCTATAGGGTGAGCCATACCTAAGCACAGCTCACGGTATGATGAACTGCTACTGGGCTGCCACCACCCACTTCGCCCTCCAGCTGGCCATGATTGCAGCCATCACTCAAAGGTGAGACGGGTCTGTTGTCATAAACTTGTAGAGCTGGAAGGAATATCAAGGGGCATCTGTTTAAAAACCTCCAACAAAAGAGTCCAGAGGTCGTCCGTTCTGCTGGGGATTTTGCAGAACCTTTGTAAAGGTGCCAGGCAGAAATCCAACTGGTAGTGCTTTGTGGACTCCCTGGGTTTTTACAGGTCCTGGAGCTGTTTGGGGGGCATAAAAACTCTCTCTGGGGCAGAGGGGGGAGGATTTTTCAGGCCTGGGGTGAGGAGTGGGGGAATAGACCCCAGTTATATTGGTGGGGCTGAGTAGGCAAGCTGTGTTGACTCTCTGTTTGCTCTCCAGAAAGAGTTTCCGGAACCTTGGGCTCTACTGGGTCGGATCCCTCACCATGAACTTTTCCGTCTATCTGCTGGGGAATGTGGTTGGTGAGTTGCTCCCTGGCAAACGCTTGCCATAACCTTCCCTTTCGAATGAAAAACGGGAAGAGCAGGAGTTTGGTTCTCCTTATCTCAGCTTTGGCTGAGATTTCGGCACTGCAGGGGGTTGGACTAGATGACCCTTGGGTCCCTTCCAACTATACTATGCTTCCATTAGGGATTTGCCCAGACTGCTGGGTGGGATTTCTGACACACCGCAACAAGCTGCCTTTCTTCTGAGCCAGACCACGTGGTCCACCCAAACCAGTATCGTCCACACGGACTGGCAGCATCAGCTCGCCAGGGGTTCAGGCAGAGAGTACCTTTCTTTCCCAGTCCTTCTGTGTACAAAGCAGGTGTTCTACCTCTAAGCAATTGCCCTTTCGCATAGCTGTCAACTTACAGATTTGAAAATAAGGGACCAGCAGCCTTGAAAATAAGGGACCAGCAGCCAAAATAAGGGACCTGCAGCCTCCCCTGTCTTCCTGTCCTCCTGCAGTCTGGTCAAACTCATGCTGGTAGCTTCGAGAACACTGTCCAACCAACTTTGTAACCAGAGGTTCAACTGAATAGAATCTGAATCACATGCACCACAAGGCCTATGCAGCCTCAACTTAAGATGGCTCCCCGGCCTGGCTTTGCACTGCAAAGTTTGCAGCAGCACGTGCAACAAAATGGCGTCCAGGATTCAAAAACCTACTCAGCTTGCATTAACTAGCCACACACAAGGTGTCAGGGAACTGCCATCGGAGGAACCAGTGGTGGAAGGGCTCACGCAGGCTGGGAGAGACTCAGCAGCTGAAGCAGGAACCAGCAGAGGGAGAGGTGGGTCTCTGAGGGAAAGCGAGCAGGAGGGAGGGCTCTGGGACACGTCCAGCGAGAATAGTGGGGAGGTATCTGAAGCTCCCATAGGGAGACCCACTCCTCGCCGGAAACTGTCACGCCGTGAGTCCAGAAGACGTGTTTCCGTTAAGGAGCTTTTATGCTGGAAACGATTCCGAAAGCAACCACTGTCGGAATCTGCAAGTGATTAGAGCAGTCATGTCTGAGGGGCTCTGTCACAGACAGAAGTTTGTGGGCTTGAACAAACTCTGAGGGACTACGATTTTACGCACAAGCAGCTCATCATCCCATCACACAAGGCATGCAAGCTCCACCCCCCCCAGTCTTTCTTAGACTTATTGGGTGAGCAACACAGCCAAGCAACACAGTTGGAGCCTCCCTCCTCCCTGGCCAGCAGGGAGGGAGGGAGAGGAGCTGCTTCCTTTGAAATTTAAGGGACATCATTTAAGGGACATTTATGGGACATCCATCAATAAGGGACAGCAGCGGGGCATGGCGCTGGAATAAGGGACTGTCCCTTCAAATAAGGGACACTTGACAGCTATGCCCTTTCGTTTCATGGAAAAATAAACCAAGAGTCTAGTCCTCATGGTCTTGAATGAAGATCTAGTTTCAACAGAAAGCTGCCTTATAATGAGACAGAGCAAAGTATTGCCTACACGGGCTGGCAGCAACAGCTCTCTGAGGCTCAAGAGAGGGAGTATTGACACAGCCCTCACTGGAAAGGCCAGGGATGGGACCTGGGACCTGTTGCATTCCTGCATTGCGGGGGGTTGGACTAGATGACCCTGGGGTCCCTTCCAGCTCTCTGATTCTATGCATGCGAAGCAGGTGCTCTGATCATTGAGCTAAAGCCTGAGGTTGGTGGCGCAGGGCCTGGAGGTGTCCTAAGGCGGCCACCTCTCTCTCTCTCTCTCTTTTAAAGATACATGCATGTTCTTTTCTTTTCTTAATAGTAATTTTGTATTACCGTTTTACAAAATGGTCAAGAAGGCAGTTTCTGCAGAGGGGAGTGAGGGGCAGGTGGGGCTTGTCCACCTGGGAAGGGAGCCCATTTAGAAGAAGGGAAACTTCTGCTGCCCTTGTGGGGCATCTTTGGAAGAAGAGAAGACTAAGGAGTGAAGCCTACAAAAATCCAGTGTGGAGACCCTAAGGTGGCAAACTCATCCATTCCCTCCACCTCAGCCAAGGGCTGCAGGGGTTTGGAGTCCTGCAATCCCTGGAGTGTCGGGGGCAGATGATTCCACCATCCATGTTCTAATAATGTCCCTCAGGAGAACTGGGCTGACTGGTGTCCCCAAGATTTGACTTTGTGGCTTAGGGCCCTCGTATTTACAGGACTGCCTCTCCTGGTCTGCCCCGCAGAGGACCTTAAGGTCCATGAATAACCATGGTTTAGAGGTCCCAGGCCCTAAGGAAGTCAGACTATCCTCCACCAGGGCCAGGGCCTTCTCAGTGATGGCTCCGACCTGGTGGAATGCTCTGTCCCAGGAGATCAGGGCCCTGCAGGATTTAACCTCATTCCGTCGGGCCTTTAAGACAGAGCTATTCCACCTGGCCTTTAATTTGAATTCAGCCTGATCTTTTATTTCCCTTCTCTTCCCTCCCCCTCCCCTTTTATGAAGATTCCCCGCTCTGAGACCCCACAGCTAATTCTCCCCTGGTCTCCTCGCTGGCCCAAATAGGACCAATTCGACCAGCTAGCCCTGGTCATTATCTAATGCTTATTAGATGGATTTCCCCTAAATTGATTTCTGAACTTTGAATTTTATTGTTACAGTATTCATGTTTTTATACTGTATTTTATGCTGCTTTTACAATTAAGCGTTTTAAACTTGTTGTTAGCTGCCCTGAGCCTGGTTTTTGAACCGGGAAGGGCGGGGTATAAATATATTATTATTATTATTATTATTAACTTGTGGGTGGACTGAGACCAATCCTTGCTTTCCCAGGGAAATATGGTTCTGAGATCCGTCCAGACTTCTTCCTCAACATCCCTTTGCTCCTCGCCCTCATATGGGCTGCCTCCAGGATCTTTGCCCAGCCCAAGACCCTGTCCCTTGAGACGGCCGATAAGGTAACGGAAGAAAGCGCCTTCTAAGCCAAAGCATCCTGACTCTGACAGCTAGAAACCCCCCAGCCCAGGAAGGCCCCAGAGGCACCAACGTTCTTGTCCCTCCAGCATTTGGTAGGAGGTAGACTGCCCCTTTTGAGTGGAGGTTCTTCTTAGCTGCCCTAAACCACTGCCAGAAAAGCCTCCTTGGATCAGAGCAAAGGTCTGCCCCGTCCAGAATCTTCTTCCCAATTGACCTCCCCAGTGGTTCCTCTCTGGCCACCGGCTTTCTTTCTTTCTTTTTAAATCACACATCAGGAGATTTAAGTACCGCTTTCAGCAGGGACAGCTCAGTTGGTTAGAGCCTCGGGTGCCGATAACACAAAAGTTGCAAGTTTAGTCCCCATATGATTCTATGATTTTATGGTGGGCAAAGCAATCTACGGTCAGAATAAAACAATAATGTTATCAGAAACACACACACCCTGCAAAAAAACCCCACAACAACAGCGATGGAAAGGATTTGAAAATAAGAATAACTAAAGCCGACTATCAGTTTAAAAGGAAACACGTTGAGACATCTGGGTAGGCTTGCCTAAATGAAAAACAGAAAAAAAGGTTTTTAGCAGGAGCCAATCAGCCAGGAGTTCCAAAGTTCGGTGCAGTCACACCCAAATGATCACGGTCACCCTGTGATGGTGACAGTTCTGCAGATTGAAGCGGCTGAAGGAGCCTGCATGACGTGAGGTGATGTCATAGGTGACCTCATTTTCCATCAGCAAAACAACCACTTTCTGCAAGTGGTTAAGGGTTTTTATTTGCTTGTTTGAACTTGGCCCGGTAGCAAATTGTCAACCAATGAAGATCTCTGAGCACAGAAGTGACACGCAGATGGTGTCTCACTCCTGTCAGCAACCTTGATGCAGCATTCTGCACCAACTGTGGGTTCCAGCTCAAGCACTAGGAATTATTATTATTATTATTATTATTATTATTATTATTATTATTAATTTATTATTATTCTCCACCCATCTGGCCGGGTTTCCCCAGCCACTCTGGGCGGCTTCCAGCACATATAAAAACACAATAAGATGTCAAACATAAAAAACTTCCTGAAACAGAAAAGCCCCACATGTGGGGCGAGATAGACTGCAAATGTCCGCAGAAGATACAGTCAGTTACTACGGCAACTCTGTGCCCTGTAGGTTTATCTAAGGGCCTATAAGGAACTGCCTTGGTGACTCAGACTGCCCAGCACAGTGCCCTGTTTCCGACAGAGGACAGCAAAATCCCCAGAGCCAGTCAGACCTCCACGTCTGAGTTTCATAACCCCTAATAATAATAATTCATAATAATAATAATAATTTTATTATTTATACCCCGCTCATCTGGCTGGGTTTCCTCAGCTACTCCTGGTTTATAAGCTCATGCCACATGAATCAAACGCACCATCGACTCAAGACCTGCAGGGGGTTGGACTAGATGGCCCCTGGGGTCTCTTCCAGCTCAACAGTTCTATAATTCTGTCAGCTTACTTTCCTTTTTTCTCCTTTGGGGAAGGTTTCGGAAGAGCAGCGCAAAAGCCTCCTGCAGCGCCCGCTGGACTTGGTCCTGGTGGGCTTCCTCCTTTTCAACGTCAGCTTCACTCTGTTCCGGGGACTGGTGAGCATATGGTTATCTTCCGGAGGCAGCATTGCTCAGTGGTTAGAGTATCTGCTTTGCAGGCAGAATGTCCAGTTTGGTCCCCTCCAGGTAGGGGGTGGGGGTGGAGGGTGCAATTCCCTGCTCGAAAACCTGGCGATCTGCTGCCAAGTTAGTGAGACAGGTGCCCAAACAGAATTCCAGAATTCATGAGGACTAGAACCATCTTTTTTTAAAAAAATCATTTTTTTGCCAAATATATTTCATTAAATTTCCAGAAATTTCACATGTGCATTCCAATAGAGCAGATTCTTCTTTTGCTTGGTCAACGTCCCCTCCTATTTTCCAGGGTGTTTTTTATTTATTTCGATAATCTCTCATTTGTTCTGTTACTCATAGTTCAAATCCTGATCACGAATTCATCATACAATCATATTTCTTTAAATAGTCCAAAAAAGGCTTCCATTCTTCCATAAAGCAATCATCCTTAAGTTATTTCCTTTTAGCTATTAGCTTTGCCGATTCAGCATAGTCCACCACTTCACTAATCCTTCTTCTTCTTTCCATTTTTATGCATAGAGAAAATATGCTGCTGTTGACATACATAAACAGTGTAATCTTCTGTCCCTATAATCACCCGGAGAAGAGCTTGATTTTTGAAAATATATAATCACTTTAAACATCTTTTTTATCTCATCACATATCATTTCCTCAAATTTCCTTGCTTTATAAAACAAAACCCAAATCCTCATCAGTTCTGCTGTTTCATTGTCGTGCCCCCCACCGTGGCACAACTTTGACAGGGTTGTGGGGTGGGTGGGCAGCCCACCTGACAATTGCCCATCATTGTAGCCATAGGCTGGTGGGTGGCCTCGCCTGTGGCAGCCAGCCAGGAGTTAGGGGCTTGGGAGTCATAGCGCACAGGGCTTCTTTGGCTGGCCGCTGGCTGAGTGACCAAGCTCTCCATGAGAAGCTGGCTCTCTCTGCCTTGTGCCAACTTTGTCCCCCCAATAAAATATTTGAGGGGGCTGGGACCCTCCATAGTTCAAATGGTGTCCATGCACCGCACAGTGGCGTAGCGTGGGTTGTCAGCACCCGGGGCAAGGCAAGTAATTTGCGCCCCCTAACCCGTGGATTTGCGCCCCCTAACCCGTGGATTTGCCCTAACCCCAGATGTTGCGCCCGGTGCAGCTGGCCCCCCCTGCACCCCCACGCTACGCCACTGGCACCGCAACATGTGATCAATGATGTGGGGGTGGGCCCCCCAATATTTTATCCAAGCTGGAACCCCTGCCCTAATGTCCCATAAGTAAGACAGGTGGTGTGGCTTTAGACGGGGAGAAATGTCCTTATGGTCCAAACTGGGACCCGTGCTAGGCCAGATTTGGCCTGAGGGCCAGAGGCTGCCCACCCCTCCTCCCATTAAGTAAAGGTAAAGGGACGCCTGACCGTTAGGTCAAGTTGCGGACGACTCTGGGGTTGCGGAGCTCATCTCGCTTTATTGGCTGAGGGAGCTGGTGTACAGCTTCCGGGTCATGTGGCCAGCAGGACTAAGCCGCTTCTGGCGAACCAGAGCAGCGCACGGAAACGCTGTTTACCTTCCCGCTGGAGCAGCACCTATTTATCTACTTGCACTTTGATGTGCTTTCGAACTGCTAGGTTGGCAGGAGCAGGGACTGAGCAATGGGAGCTCACCCCGTGACGGGGATTCGAACAGCCAACCTTCTGATCGGCAAGTTCGAGGCTCTGTGGTTTAACCCACAGCGCCACGCGCGTCCTTCCATTAGCTGCTCCTAATTTCTCCTGATAAAAAGCCCCAACGAAATCCGCCCCCATCCTCTTTGATCTGCTCCTGCCTCCAGGTCGTTCTGGACTGCAAGGCGGACGTCTGCTTTGACTACATCAACCAGCAGGAGCCGTACCTGCGCGACCCGGTGGCTTATCCCAAAATCCAGGTGAGCAAAGCCTCCGTGGAGCGTCCGTGGAGAGAGAAAGGTTTTCCTCCCTCTCTCATAGCGCAAGAATTCACCAAAGCCCATACCCTCCGACATTTCTCCGATGAAAATAGGGACGTCCTAAGGGGAATCAGGACATTCTGGGATCAAATCACAAATTTCTTGTGGACGAAATTGGGACCCATACTTGACCAGCTGTTAGTCCTGAGCCCTGCTTTGATCCATTGCACACCTCAATCTGCCACAAGTTAGACTATATCATTGAGTGAAAGGAAGAGGTGGTTGCTCCCAGGCAACTTTGGAACTCCCTTCCTGGGGCAGCCAGACTGGCTCCCTCCTCGCTGTCCTTCCACCGGCAGGCAAAGGCTTTTCTATTACAGCAGGTCTGTGTTTTAAGGAAAGGACTTTTCGATAGTGCTGTTTTTATTATGTGCATTTTATGATTTAAAAAAAATATCGTCGGAGTTTAATTGCATTTGACTCTTTTACGTGTTTTAAGCTTTCTATATTTTATCTGTGGCTGTTTTAATTTGTGCAAGCCGTCCTGGCTGCAGGAAAGGCCGGATAGGAATAAGTATAAATATAACAACAACAACAACAGCGCCAAGCTCTGATAACGCCAAGGTTGCAGGTTCGATCCCCGTCTGGGACAGCTGCATTGCAGGGGGTTGGACTAGATGACCCTCAGGATCCCTTCCAACTCTGACTCTGTGATTCTAACAACAAGCCTTTGTAAGCACAATGTTTGTCATTTAAAAAACCAAAAAACTTGGCCTGCTTTTTGTCCTTGTGTCTCAAAGGCAGTCAAGAGTTTCTGTGGTTGCCTTGAGATTCGACCGAACTCTGACTGCCGCTTTGCTCTGCCTCCTAACTCTCCTGCCTGCCCTTCTTCCCAGATGCTCGTCTTCCTGTTCTACGGCCTGCCATATTTCTGCCTCTGCCTTTACGGCTTGCTCACCCCGGGAAGCTCATGGATGCCCGACTGGGCCCTGATCTCTGCTGGCGCCATTGCCCAGGTAACGTGGACATGTATGGACTGCGGCAGGGGCTGAGGAGCTTTCATCTGCTTTGTCACAGGACACCAGTTCCAGTTTTGGGATTTCCACAGGGTATTCCAAGCTGAGGGAGGCGAGGGCCGCACTCCGTTCTGGGCAGCTTTGCGGGGGGCCACATCCCAATGGTGGGCAGGGCCATGACCAAATGTGGGCGGAGCAACACATGCCAGGTTTCTCTGTGCAGAGCAGGCTGGTTCCCAGACCGCCTTCCACACAGCCCTCTCTGCCCTCCTTCCCGGCATGCTCAGATTTCACGGATACCCCGGTGAAAATGTTCAAGGAGGGTGGAAAACAGGGCTGGTGGGGGCTGTGGCTTGAGAGAGTGTGGTGGGATCTACACACATATAAAAAAAACGCTGTGAAAATGCTTTTTCAAAAAAAGTTTTGAGAAATATGCTGAATTTGCTGTAGCTCACCATCGCCATCTAGTGTCACATTTGAATACTGCACTTTAAAAAAAGGTAAAGGGACCCCTGACCGTTAGGTCCAGTCGCGGACGACTCGGGTTGTGGTGCTCATCTCGCTTTACTGGCCGAGGGAGCCAGTGTACAGCTTCCAGGTCATGTGGCCAGCATAACTAAGCCGCTTCTGGCGAACCAGAGCAGCGCACGGAAACGCCGTTTACCTTTCCGGCTGGAGCAGTACCTATTTATCTACTTGCACTTTGACATGCTTTCGAACTGCTAGGTTGGCAGGTGCAGGGACCGAGCAACGGGAGCTCACTCTGTCACAGGGATTCGAACCGCCGACCTTCTGATTGGCAAGCCCTAGACTCTGTGGTATAGCCACCCACTTTACAACGCACTTAAAACGTTTTATTTGCAGCTGTATAGCTGAGTCCTGTGTGCGGTTTGTGGAGATGGGTGTGGCTTAAGAGAGAGGATGTGGCTTGGGGAGAGGGGTGGGGCCTGCCTTCAGGTGTCTTCTAAAGATTGTCTAGTGACTTATCCCTACCCTCCAACATTTCTCTGAAGAAGATAAGGACGTCCTAACAGCCCTCCTCTCTCTGTCTGTTCCTCCTTCCAGGCCCAGTTCTCTCACATTGGCTCTTCGCTACACCAGCACACCCCATTTCCTTACCGCACCCCCGAAAGTGCCTGGTGGCTGGTCACCCTTTTCAACCTCGCCTACGCCGTGGGGCCTCACCTTCTGGTGTACCGCTGCCTTCGCAATCCGGCCTTCTTCTCCCCGGTGGTCTCGCAAGACGACATCAAGAAGAAGCAATGAAGCAGAGGAGCCGGGGGTCGCCTCCTTCCACTGTCCGGCCGCAAACCAGATCACATTGTGCAAAGCCAAAAAACCACAAACCCTGCTCACCAGTTTGCCTGTGGGTTTTTGTTTTTTAATATCTCTGTGGCTTCAGGTCCACTCAGGGGTTCTCCTGAAGCTCCCAGCAGCAGCTGCCTTGTCTACTCAGTGCTAGCACACTTCACAGAATTGTCAAGATGGAAGGGACCTCTCAGGGCCATCTAGTCCAACCCCCTGCAATGCAGGAATCTCAGCTGAAGGATCACTGGCATACAGCCACCCAACCTCTGTTTAAAAACCTCCAAGGAAAGAGACTGCATCACCTCCCATTCCACGGTTGAACAACTCTTGCCGTCAGAAAGTTGGAGTCCCCTTTCTTAGTGTTTGAATCCGCTGGTTCGGGTCCTGCCCAGACTAGCCAGCCAGGGCACCACAGTCAGCAAACATCGTCAGGTGTCTGGACAGAAAGGAGACAAGCCACTCTCTCAAATTTCAGCTGTAGACTGCCTCTTTCTGTGGCACTTGTGTGATGCTCTTGGGTGGTCTTTGGCTAAGGGGCTGGGCAGTTTCTAAAACCTTTAAAAGCTCTTATGCGCCCTTGTTCTGCGCCCTCACCTCCTTGCAAAGTGGGAGACAGGAAAAATAAAGATCTTCCTTGCTTTCCTTTTCCACTTCCTGCCTCCACTCACTTTCCTCTGACGGAGAACAGATTTAGGGGGACGCTGGATCCCTTGATGGAGAGATGGGCTGTAAAAACCAACCCTGTTTTTTTCTAGAACAATGCTGACTTATAAATGAAAGGTGTTGTTGCACAAGATAGAAGTGGACACCTAGAATTGGAACGGACATGGGGACACTCACATATGTCATTGTTTACAAAATAAAAACATTTATAGATGGTTTTTGAACTGCTTGCTTCTTGTTCGGTGTGTGTTTGTGTCTCCTCACCCCAACAAAAAAAAATTCTTGAGGTTTCCAGTGTCCCCAAACCACCGTGGCATTCTTTTAACTTGATGCCTTTGAAATCTGGTGTTATAACCAGTGCTTTTTGGGGGTGAAGGGGGGGACTCATCATGATATTTGTTTGTTTATCGTGGGCCCAGTCGCAGTGCCTTGCCAACCAAGCAGTGGCTAAATGTAAGATGTGATTAATAAACTCAAGCAAACTGATGTGGATTAGAAACCACCACAACTTTATTGATTACAGATATACCCCTGGCTTCTGGGATAGCTGCGCAGCCTGCATTCGCTCCATAAGACACACACACATTTCCCCTTACTATTTAGGAGGGGGAAAGTGAGTCTTATAGAGCAAAAAATACGGTAGGTGGGTTTTGGTCTCAGGCATTGGGTGTTCCAGCCCCCCCAGACCAAAAAAAGAAATTACTTAATTTTTTAAAAAGGTAAGGGAACTCAGTTCCCCGAGTTCCTACTCAAAAAACCCCCACCTAGTTATGATTGTTTCCTCTGTTTTACATTATAAAATAATTTTAAAAATACCAAAAAAAGAGGAAGCAGCAGAAAAAGAACACACCGGGAAAATCCCCAAAATTGGCACTGGTGTGCTGTGCTGTGGCGTCTACGCTTGTGTACTTGGCTGGAGTTCCTCAGCTTTGAGGCTGCTTTGGAGAAAAGCACCCCATAGTTTTGCAGGTTCTCCTTTAAAACATTTTCCCCCCTCTCTCCTCGCTCCCCACCCCACTTTTATCCCAAACCCTCCTTTCTTCTGCCCTCATTGCAGGCTGTCCCCTAATGCAGTTCTCCTTCTGCAAAACTTCTCTCCCTCTCTCTCCCTCCTTCTTTCCCTCTCTCCTCCTCTCTCTCCTTTTCTCCCCCATAGAAGTCTGCTGACTAAGATTTGACAAAACCGAGGAGCCTGCAATCCCGTCAGCATTATGCTGATGAACTGGGGTTGGGAAATAGAGGACAAGGAAGGAGGTTGAAAGGTGGGGGGAAACTCGAGGCACTCGGGGTGGGTGGGGCGGGAATCCTCTTTCTCTCTCAGCGCCCCCCCCCCTCTCCTGCATCATCTCCATCTCAACTTCGGCTGAGCTTCTGAGATTTCTCTCTTTTTGCCCTGGGACGTCCCTCTTCTCAAGGAGAAACAGTGAGTCCTCTTTTTTTTTCTTGCAGGGTTGTCCTTTTTATTTTTAAAATCAAGTTCCATCCCCGGGTCCGTTCCTCCCCCCACCTGCCCCACATTTCACCTTGATGAAATGCAGTGCTGGCTCATTTGGGCTTTTGCTGCAGGATGCAGAGAGAGAGAGAGATAGAGAATCATTTTACTGGCTGAGTTGGGTACCACTTTTTTGCAGGGATGCACAGCTCTGTAGGAGGAAGATGAGCCACATCTTTGCAAAAAAGGGGTTTGTGTCGGATAGATGCAGGGGAGGAGAGAGATCAACCCCCCCCATGCAGAAAGTGACCACTTAAATCCTAGAAGTGGGGGGCACTTAATTTGGAAAACTGTTTGTTTGTTTGTTTGTTTGTTTGTTTGTTTGTTTGTTTAAAAGAAGACTCTTCTCTCGCCAAATTTTAAGCGGGCTGAAGCATTTTAGGAGGGCTCTGTGGGATGCTCAGAGATGTTCATAGATAGGGCATCCTTTCTTCTGGCTGAGTTGGGTACCACTTTTTAAATTATATTTGTTTGCTTTATTTCTGCAAGCGTTCTATCGGATGTAGTGGAAAGGAAACTGTATCCCTGGCTGAATGGGGGCAGGGGGGGGGTTAGTTCTGAAAATGGCCTTTTTAAAAGACTGCTTTTGCCACATCTCGAAGGGAACAAAGAAACTGATAATTTATCCTTTTCTCAGAGATCAGGGTTTGGAATCTTCCTTCCTGACCCTGCTTCTTAAAGGGATGTAATAATAATAATAATAATAATAATAATAATAATAATAATAATAATAATTTGTTGGTCACAACAGGAGGTCAGGAGAATTTTGTAAATCCCTTCTGCTTTGTGTCCTTGTGAGGAAAGGATTTTCTTTATATGGGTTAGGCAGGACATAATTATTTCTCATCTCTTGAGCAAAGTCTTGCCTGGCTGCCAGAGACTTCAGTATCATCTGCAACCTGGGTCTTTAACAAGCAAACTCCACCCCCTGAGGCCCCCTGCTGCTTACCTGCAATCTAACGCCAAAGGATGTAGGAAGATGTAGGAAGTTGTTTTATACCCTTAGACAGGATGTATATATATATCTGTCTCACCGGAGATGCTGGGGACTTTACCTGTGCACCACCTTTTAAAAATGAAGTCAAGGTCTCAGTCCTCATTGTTCTGGCTTTAAACAGTGACGCTGGAAGGTGGCTTATACTTAATCAGGCCAGTCTTGCTTAGTATTGATTATTATTATTATTATTATTCTGCCCATGATGGATAGCTCAGTCCAATCCAATCCAAATAACTTTATTGTCCTAGCCACTGGCCAGACAAATCTCAATCAAAAATAAATACAAGCAAAAGGGGTGTCGCACCACAAAGAATGGTCTCTACTTGGATCTGTGTGTCTCCCTTACAGTTCACGGCCATATTGTCTTCTTTCTGATCTTTTGGGCTGCCAAAGCAAATGGCAACATTAAGAGTCACTGAAGTGTTTACATCGCCAAGAAACCATAGGACCTTTTCTGCCAAGCAGAGGATAGCCCAGTTGGTAGAGCAAGAGACTCTTAATCTCAGGTTCGTGGGTTCAAGCCCCATTTTAAGCAAAGGATTCCTGCATTTCAGGGGGTCAGACTGGATGACCCTCGTGGTCCCTTCCAGTTCTATGATTCTATTAAATTTATTCCCACCCACCTGGGGGGATAGCTTAGTTGGCTAGAGCGTGGTGCTGATAACACCAAGGTTGCAGGTTCAGTCCCCATATGGGGCAGCGACATATTCCTGCATGACTCCAACTCTACAATTCTATGATCTATAGGTGTCTGTGGAGGGGATATATTGACTGAAAATGTCTAGCAAACCGGAGGATATACTAAGACAGGATTATGACTTGTTTTTATATGCAACAACAGCAGCAAGAATATTATTGGCACCAAAATGGAAGCAAGAAGAATTACCGACGAAAGAAGAATGGCAAATGAAATTAATGGACTATGCAGAATTAGATAAATTAACAGGAAGGATTCGAAACCTGCGGGACCAGAGATTCTTAGAGGACTGGAGTAAATATTTGAACTATTTGAAAAGCAATTGTGACAAACAGATTGCACTAGTAGGACTGCAAGAAGTTCTGGAAGGAGGACTTTGTGAAATATTGCGAGGAAGACTTTGAAAAGAATTATTAGTTAAGGACACGTAAAAGTAATAGAGAAATTAAGAAATGCAGAACAAGTGATAAAGAATGGAAAATCTTCAGAGGTGGTTGACGGAAGTCTAAAATACTGTATTAGATAAGAAGTTATATTAAATGATTGTTGGAACTGATATGATATATATATATATATATATATATATATATATATATATATATGAATGAAAATGTCTAGCAAACCACTTTGGTAGTAGTGGGCATTCAGCAAGCCCACATGACAGTGACGTGGGGTTGAGGATTGGAGTGATCATTTTGTGATATTATGACTGTGGACAAAGCTGTATTGTCACTTTTGAATAAATGTTACTTTATTAAAATGATACTAATTTTAAGAAAATCTCCTCCCTAGGGTCCCAGGGTGGCTTGCGGCAACGTTAAAAGCAATTTTAAAAACTTACAGCCACGAAAGGGGACATCTAATAAAAATAACAAGAGCATCTAGTGAAAAGGAACAAATGTCTGTAAAAGTGCTTATATTATATTTAGATTTCCAATCTTTCAGTGTTATAAATATATGCTAACGGGCAGTGGTTCCCTGGGAGATGCTGTAGACTGAACTTTGGACGTCCTGCATGCAAGGAGGGACTCTGCAAAAGAGTAAAGGTTGCAGGTCGTGTGCCTCTGAATAAAGGGCTGCCAGAGTTGGAAGGAACCTCAAGGGTCATCTAGTCCAACCCCCTGCAATGCAGGATGCCAGACTAGATAGGCTCCTGGCAGACTCTTTTATTCTCTTGAGGCTGCCTCTGAAAACTCTGGCAGTCTCCTGCCAGCCCAGGGATGGATCTGCTACGAAACTAATGAAGTTTCAGCTTCAGGGCTCCTAATCCCAGAGGGGGCCCCCAAAAGCAACTTTAGTCCACATTGCTTAAGATTTTTGGGACTTTGATGCGTGTATATAACGTTTCCCTAATTTTCATCCCGAACTTGAAAACTATAAAGCATAGGAACTTTGTTTGCACCTCAGTGACTTTGAGATCATCCAGTCCAGCAATTTTAATCAAAATCTGAGATGTAGTAGTTAATGTTTTTCACAAAATTGTGCTGATCTGTCTTGGAGCAACCCCACTGAAGAAGACCTCATTGCCAAGGGGCCCCCATGACAGTTCAGGCTTCAGGGGCCCCACAAATGTAGGGACCAGTGTTCCAGCCCAAAGCTCAGCCACCTTGTTTGCGGACTCCAGAGTTGGTTCTACAAGCCCAGGCTCCTTGCCCATCATCCGCCTCTTCCTTCCTCTCCAGATGCTCCCTTCGAGGGCTGTGACCGGCACCTGCCTCCACCTTGCCGTCTTGATCCTCTGCTTCCGGCTCGCGGCTCCTCAGAAAGGACGGAAGAAAGTCGTGCATGTCTCAGGTGCGTGGCACATACGTGATTCGGGAGCTCAGCCCCCTCTCCCCTGGGATTTCATTCGCTGAGCTGCCTGGTGGATTCATGCAATAGGCGCCAAAGCACTTTGGCCTTGTACGGTTAACCCCGGTTCAGCAGTTGCCAAAGTGGTGCCTGGTCTTTCTCTGGTGCCCACGAAGGCTCCGCACACACTTCCTTGTTTGTAAAGCAGTGAAGGAGGTTACCCTCCCCTCCCTCAAAAAGGACATAGAGTTGAAGGGGATAGTGATCTCTCTGGGCTTTTCAGGGCTCAGTCCAATTCAACCGGTGTGGCCTGGGGGAGAGGGGTGTGGTCTATGAGAGGGGGCGTGGCCTGGGAAGAGCGGGCGTGGCTCCATAAATTGACATATTTGCCTATCCCTAACCTGGATCAACTAACCTTGGATAGCTCAGTTGGGTAGATTGTGGTGCTGATAATGCCAAGGTTGCAGGTTCGATCCCCTTTTGGGACAGCTGCATATTCCTGCATCCTCAGGGTCCCTTCCAACTTGATGATCCTATGATTCTAACCCAGACTTTTTGTTTCGCCTGCCAATCATGGGGCTTGTGGAGTACAGTCGTACCTTGGTTCTCAAACGCCTTGGTACTCGTGTGTTTTGGCTCCCGAATGCCGAAAACCTGGAAGCAAGTGTTCCGCTTTTCAAAGCTGAACATCCAATACGGCTTCCACTTGAGGGCAGGAAGCTCCTGCAGCCAATCGGAAGCCGTGCCTTGGTTTTCGAACGTTTTCGGAAGTTGAACGAACTTCCGGAATGGATTAGGTTCGAGAAACAAGGTACGACTGTATTCCCATTCCGTTCAGCTGCAATTCCCCTTGGGGGTCCCTTCCATCTCTACAATTCTATGATTCTATGACTTGCTGTTTTTAAAACATCTATTATTATCACTACCACGTATTATTTCATTGCAAGATGTGTTTGACTAACCTGCAGAAAACTGGGGTAGACCTGCAGAAACTGCAGAAAATGAAAACAAGCAGATGATTTGTAAATGATTAAGTGCATTATCATTTTTATTTATTCAGTACTGCTTTTTCTTAAGAAAGGGGAGATCCCAAATCTATTTAAAATCCCCACATATTAACCCAGTTTCAGTATGACGCAGCTCACAGCCCAATCTTGCATCCACCTGTCCTGGGTTCGAAATCCGGGATGCTTAAAAACCGACAACAAAACCCTTCTCTTTTCTGCTTGCAGAGGATGACAGTGGTGCCGTCGTGGTGCAGACGGCGCCGGGGAAAGTGGTCACCCACCGGGGTGGCACCATCATCCTGCCCTGCCGCTTCCATTACGATGTCTCGGCCCACGACCCTGACGAGATCCGCCTGAAGTGGACCAAACTGGTGGAGCCCATGTCCTTTGAGGACGTCTTTGTGGCGATGGGCGTGGAGCGCAGGGCTTTTGGGAGCTACAGGGGCCGCACAGCACTGCAGGAGGACGGCTCTGGGGACGCCTCCCTCATCATCCGGAACGTGACTCTCCAGGACTACGGGCGCTACGAATGCGAGGTGACCAATGAGCTGGAGGACGATGCAGGGATGGTGAACCTGGACTTGGAAGGTGAGGGGAGACGGGCGGGTTGGGTGGGGTGGGGCCAACCAGCCAGGTCTCCACAACCCCCTGTAGGAGGAAACAAGTGGGAGATAATAGAATCCTAGATTGTAGAGCTGGAAGGGACCCCGGGGGCCATCTAGTCCAACCCCCTGCAATTCAGGAATTTCAGCTAAAGCATCCCTGACAGATGTCAGTCCAACCTCTGCTTAAAAACCTCCAAGGAAGGAGAGCCCACAACCTCCCAAGGGAGACCGTTCCGCTGCCAAACAGCTCTTAACATCAGAAAGTTCCTCCTGGTGTTGAGTCGGAATCTCTTTTCTTGTAACTTGAAGTCATGGGTTCGAGTCCAGAGCAGGAGAAAACAAGCTCGTTCCCTCTTTCATGTGACAATCCTTCAGATATTGGAAGATGGCTCTCATATCTGCTCTTAGTCTCCTCTTCTCTCAGCTCCTTTAACTGTTCCTTATCAGGCTTGGTTTCCAGACCCTTGATCATCTTGTTCGCCCTCCTTGGCACACTTTCCAGCTTGTCAAGATCCTTTTCAAATTGTGGTGCCCAGAACTGGACACAGGACTCCAGGTGTGGTCTGACCAGGGCAGAACAGAGTGGTACTTTTACTTCCCTTGATCTGGACACTAGACTTCTGTTGAATAGCATTAGCTGTTTTTGCTGCTGCATCACCCTGTTGGCTCATGTTCAGCTCATGGTCTGCCAAGACCCCCAGATCCGTTCCACAGGTACCGCTAATAAGCCATCTTATATTTGTGTGAAAGTGGTGTGGGAATGCCTCTCCTAAGATGGCATCATTCTGTCCTATATCAGCATGGCCAGGGAATGCCTCTTCTATGACGTAGCAGCCTGATCCAGTGAGACTCAGAATCACAGAATTGTAGATTCGGAGGGGACCATGAGGATCATCTAGTCCAACCCCCTGCAATGCCTTGGCATTATCAACACCACCCTCTAACCAAATGAGCTATCTAGGCTGACTCTTCTTGCACTCTCACAGGAGATAAGAATGGATCCTCCTTGTCCGCAGGCAGCCCACCTCCTTGGAGGGTCTGGTGGGGTGAGGGGAGCAGCTGTTGCCTTTACCCCTCTTCCTTATCAATTTCCCAGAGGCCCCCGGCTGACCACTGTCAGAGGCAGGATACTGGGGAGGCTGGAACATCTCTGAAATTCTCATCTATCCACCTTTGCCTCCTTCAAGCCAGAAAGAGTGGGGGAGCCCCTCCAAAAGGAAAGTGTCTTTGCTGTTCGGGATCTTCATAGCCAAATAAGTTGGAAGTGTGTGAGGGCAAGAGAGAGAGAGAGAGAGAGAGAGAGAGAGAGAGAGAGAGAGAGAGAGAAGGAAAGCTGGAATACGACAATACCCTCGATGCCATAATTCACCCCACCTCGCGGCAGCAAAAGCAACCCAATTCTCTCTCTTGTTGGGGTGTTTTACGAATCTGCCAGCTGCTATCATTCTTCCTGGTTTTTATTAGCTTCTGACACCGAAACCTGCAGTGACAATGAAAGTCAATAAAAGCAGCAATAAAGCACCCCAGAGACTCTCAAGCAAAGGAGGTGGAGGGAAGAGGAGAAGGAAATTGAGGGGAGGGAGACAGGACCCTGCATGCTCTCCGTGAGGGTGGGAGCTGCAAACAGAGGCTACGAGCTGTCTTTCATCATGCATTCCTGTGGGGTTGGGGTGCCTTTTTAACCCGAGGGCCACATTTTCTCCTTTAGGATCTTCTGGGGGCCACATCCCATAGCAGCGGGCAGGGCCAGAGGCAAAAGTGGTTGGAGCAACTGGTCTCAATTAGTCAATCACTGAATATCTATCTGTCTTGCAAAAATGTGGTTTCCGCAGACTTGGTAGAGTGTCAGGCGTAATGAGCAGAGCAGCTCATTCCCTTTCGTCTTCCTCCATGGAAATCAGTTGCCGATAATCCCCACCTCCCCACAGACATCTATGGCCCCTCCTCTCCTGGCGCTTGTGCCTGCATGCAGCCAAGCTCTCCTCCGCCCTTTTCATGCCTCTCCTGGTCCTGGGAGACAAGCAGGGAGGGGATCTTGTTGCAGCAGGAGGGGGAGACCCCCGTGACTCTTCACCATCTCTGCCTCCTGGCCTCCCTCCTCTCCTGCTTCAGCTTCTGCCTCTGAGTCTGGACTGCTCTCTGCCACAGACTCTCCCTGCTCACTTAGCCCTGTTGCCCCTTCAGTTTCCGACATCTACCCCTCCCAGTCTTCTCCCTCTGACCACTCATCGTTGTCCCACCACCACTCCCCAGGCGGATCCTTCTGCCCTCGGTGGCTCCCCAGCTGGTTCCTCCCACCCTCCCTCTACACCCAAGCAGCCCCTGACACTCTTAACAAGACAATCACTCTCAGTAAACAAGAAAAACAGAAGGTTTACTTGCATCAGAAAGCCTGACAGGGTTCAACAGATACAGTGATGAAAATCTGGAAAAGATCCTCAAAAGTTGCAGAAGTCCATAAAAAGGTAGAGGGACCCCTGACCAATAGGTCCAGTCGTGGCCGACTCTGGGGTTGCGGCGCTCATCTCGCTTTATTGGCCGAGGGAGCCGGCGTACAGCTTCTGGGTCATGTGGCCAGCAGGACTAAGCCGCTTCTGGCGAGCCAGAGCAGCGCACGGAAATGCCGTTTACCTTCCCACCAGAGTGGTACCTATTTATCTACTTGCACTTTGATGTGCTTTCGAACTGCTAGGTTGGCAGGAGCTGGGATGGAGCAATGGGAGCTCACCCCCTCGCGGGGATTCGAACTGCCGACCTTCTGATCAGCAAGCCCAAGGCTCAGTGGTTTAACCCACAGCGCCACCCACGTCGCAGAAGTCCATAAGTCCTTCTCAAAATGGAGAAGTGTCTGTTTGCGACTCTCTAGCAATCGTGTGCACAGAAAATGCATTCCAGCTGGTCAACATCCTATTTTAACTGTAGTATCCAGAACTGGACACAGGACTCCAGGTGTGGACTGGCCAAGGCCAAATAGAGTATTGCTATTACTTCCCTTGACCTGGACGCTAGACTTCTGTTGATGCAGCCTCAAATAGCATTAGCTTTTTTTGCTGCTGCATCACACGGTGGACTCAAGTTCAGCTGGTGGTCCACCAAGACCCCTTGGTCCTTTTCGCATGTACTGCTAGTAAGTCAATACTATTCCCTCCTGAGAGTGGGGAATGCCTCTCCTTTGATCAGGAAGGGGGAACCAGCATGCTTCAGCAGTGTTAACGGAGAAATCTGAGGACTCCCTTGGACAAAAAAACAAGGACCCCAGCCAGGAATCCCAGAGCAAAACAGCAGCCAGTCGGCTTGGTCTTGATTGAAGACTGTCGCGACAGGACTCCCACCTGCCACCAGGTGGAACAAGATGGAAGCCCTGAACAAAAGAGAACCCAAACTTTTATTAGCTGCTAATCCCCATGTTACACCCCCCCCCCAAACTACATCACTAATGCATCATGGTTACATCATGAAAGGGGAGGTCTGGTGGCAGGAATCTGAGCATCCTGGACCCTGCCCCATGGTCCCCCTTGCCCTCCACCAAACACCCATCAAGTGTAACAAAAGGGATATTTACATTTCCCTGTTTCCCAGCCAAGTTAATCACACCCTTTTGCCTTCATCTGGGTTTCTTATTTCTGGAATGGCCACCTGTCTGGCACTCAGGTATCAGGATGCCAGGGGTTATCACTCAGGCAGTGTAACTGTCACGACAGGACTCCCACCTGCCACCAGGTGGAACAAGATGGAAGCCCCCAACAAAAGAGAACCCAAACTTTTATTAGCTGCTAATCCCCATGTTACACCCCTTTAACAAATGTTCTTTCTCAGGAGGTGGTGGACTCTGTTTTTCCTCCTCTGCTTCATTTTAGGGGTGATCTTCCCTTACCACCCCCGCCTGGGGCGCTACAGCCTGAACTTCCATGACGCCCAGCAGGCCTGCCTGGAGCAAGACGGGATCCTGGCTTCCTACGACCAGCTCCACGAAGCCTGGCTGGAGGGCATGGACTGGTGCAACGCCGGCTGGCTGCAGGACGGCTCGGTGCAGTACCCCATCTCCAAGCCGCGGGACGAGTGCGGACGGAAGGAGACCCCCGTCGGGGTGCGCAACTACGGCTACCGCCACAAGGACGACGAGCGCTACGACGCCTTCTGCTTCACTTCGAATCTGAACGGTGAGGGGGTGCCTGGCTGCCCAAAGTTATAGAATCAGAAAACGGTAGAGTCGGAGGGGTCCCCCAAAGGTCATCTAGCCCAACCCCCTGCAATGCGGGACTTGCGGCTAAAGGATCCCTGCTTGGGTGCCCATGCAACCTCTGCTTAAAACTCCCCCGTGATCATTCGTCCCCCTGTCAAAGGACTCTTCCTGCCCAGCGTCAGGTGAGGGGGGGGGCACATTTTCCCAGTCTGCTTTCTTCGAGCCATGCATCATTTTATAAACTTCCAGGCTGCCTCGCTCCTCGCACCCTCCGAAAAAATCTCAGAGCAACATTTAACCGATTGCTGGCCTTTTCCGTGTCCCCCAGGACCCGGCAAGGAGGCAGTAATTCAGCTGAGAATGATGGATGAGCCTGCAGGGGTTTGTCCAAAGGCGTAAATTACTCTTTGCTGGGAGGGTCTGCGGGGGGGGGGGGGAGTTGGCAGGAGGGGGGCTTCATTTGTGTAATCAGGGGCAGGATAAATAGCCCTGGATCAACTCGAAATGGAGTGCCTTTTGCTGCCTCATCCATCTTCCTGAAGGCAGGTGTTTAATTCTCCTCTCATTGGATTTGGCAGCGTAAAAATGGAGGGGTTTTTTTGTGGGGAAGATGGGAAGAGTCCAGATCAGGGGTCTGCAAACTTTTTCAGCAGGGGGCCGGTCCACTGTCCCTCAGACCTTGTGGGGGGCCAGACTCTATTTTTTTGGGGGGGGGTGAACAAATTCTTATGCCCCACAAATAACCCAGATGCATTTTAAATAAAAGCACACATTCTATTCATGTAAAAACACGCTGATTCCTGGACCATTTGTGGGCCGGATTTAGAAGGCGATTGGGCCGGATCTGGTCCCCAGTCCTTAGTTTGCCCACCCATGATCAAGATATATCCCACACATGTGTTTGGCTTTTGTTTTTTTAAGGGGGGAAAGGGGATCTAGGAAGCAAACCCCAATAGCTCAACTTGTAGAGCATGAGGCTCTTAATCTCAGGTCGTGGGTTTGAGCCCCACATGGGGCAAAAGTTTCCCGCCTTGCAGGGGGTTGGGCCAGATGACCCTCGGGGTCCCTTCCAACTCTATGACTGGTGGGCACTAAGGTTTTTCTCCTGCTCGTTGTTGGCATCCATCCGACTGGAGACACAATGGAGTGCACCTCCGGGGGTGAAGTCAAACCGCTGATTTGCAGCACTGAAATGAGCTCTTTCGGCTCTGCCAGGAAAGTGAGAACACCTGCTAAATCTGAGCTCCAGAGTACATTTTAAGGACGTGGGTGGCGCTGTGGGTTAAACCACACAGCCTAGGACTTGCCAATCAGAAGGTCGGCGGTTCAAATCCCCGCGACGGAGTGAGCTCCCGTTGCTCAGTCCCTGCTCCTGCCAACCTAGCAGTTCAAAAGGACGTCAAAGTGCTAGTAGATAAATAGGTACCACTCCGGCGGGAAGGTAAACGGCGTTTCCATGCGCTGCTCTGGTTCGCCAGAAGCGGCTTAGTCATGCTGGCCACATGACCCGGAAGCTGTACGCCGGCTCCCTCGGCCAATAAAGCGAGATGAGCGCCGCAACCCGAGAGTCGGCCGCAACTAGACCTAACGGTCAGGGGTCAGGACAAAAAGGGGAAATACCAGGAGAATCCATTCTGCTTTAAAGTTAAAAGAAAGGAGATTCCGACTAAATATATGGAAAAAACTTTCTGATCGTAAGAGCTGTTTAACCGTGGAATGTGTTAACGGAGAAATCTGAGGGCTCCCTTGGACAAAAAAACAAGGAGACCAGCCAGGAATACCAGAGCAAAACAGCAGCCAGTAGGCTTGGTCTTTTACTGAAGACTAACGCGACAGGACTCCCACCTGCCACCAGGTGGATCAAGATGGAAGCCCCAAACAAAAGAGAACCCAAACTTTTATTAGCTGCTAATCCCCATGTTACACCCCTTTAACAAATGTTCTCCCTCAGGAGGTTGTGGACTCTCCTTTCCTTGGAGGTTTTTAAGCAGAGGTTGGATGGCCATCTGTCAGGGATGCTTTAGTCGAGATTCCTGCATTGGACTAGAGGACTAATAATAATAGTAATAGTAGTAGTAGTAATAATAATAATAATAATAATAATAATAATAATAATAATAATAATAATATTTTATTTATACCCCGCCCTCCCTGGCCAGAGCCGGGCTCAGGGCCGGGCTCAGGGCAGCTAACACCAGTAAAAACAAAACAAAAAAACCAATTTGAAATACAGGTTAAAATATAATTTAAAATGCAGCCTCATTTTAATAGTAGGCCATAGATCAAGACCATAAGGGGAGGGAAACATAAGGGTCAGACTGAGTCCAAACCAAAGGCCAGGCGGAACAGCTCTGTCTTGCAGGCCCTGCAGAAAGATGTCAAGTCCTGCAGGGCCCTGGTCTCTTGTGACAGAGCGTTCCACCAAGTTGGAGCCAGTACTGAAAAGGCCCTGGCCCTAGTTGAAACCAATCTAACCACCTTGTGTCTTGGGACCTCCAAAGTGTTGTCATTTGTGGACCTTAAGGTCCTCCGCGGGGCATGCCAGGAGAGGCGGTCCCGTAGGTACGTGGGTCCTAGGCCCCATAGGGCTTTAAAGGGCTTGGAGGTCCCTTGCAACTCTATGATTCTATGATCCTGAATTGCTCATCTAAAAGGCTAATTTTAAGTAATCTAAATAGATTTAGATTACTAGATCTACTAAACTAGATCTAAGTAGATTTGGATTAAGTAATCTTAAATACAGTGGTACCTTGGGTTACAGACGCTTCAGGTTACATACGCTTCAGGTTACAGACTCCGCTAACCCAGAAATAGTACCTCGGGTTAAGAACTTTGCTTCAGGATGAGAACAGAAATTGTGCTCCGGCAGTGCAGCGACAGTGGGAGGCCCCATTAGCTAAAGTGGTGCTTCAGGTTAAGAACAGTTTCAGGTTAAAAACAGACCTCCAGAATGAATTACCGTATTTTTCGCTCTATAACACGCATCTGACCATAACACGCACGTAGTTTTTAGAGGAGGAAAACAAGGACAAGGAAAAAATATTCTAAATGAAACAGTGGATGTATGATTTTTATGGTTCATGCTGTGGCCACAGACATGTGATCTGACAGTGAGTTTGGGGTAGCCCAATGCAAAAATCCTGAGGATCCATGCTTTGTAACCACGTTTTTGCGCCATTGCGGCCCCATGAAACAGTGGGTGCGTGTGTGTTTTTTGGTGCAGGCTGTAGCCATGGAAATGCTATGTGATCTGATGGTGAATTTGGGGTGACCCAGTGCAAAAATCCTGAGGATCCATGTGGATCCGTGCTTTGTAACCACGTTTTAAGTGGGGAGGGAAGGAAAAGAACTCAAGGGACAAGGAGCACGTGTGGGGTGGGTGGAGAAGGAGCTTTTCCGCGGGGAGGAGGGAGGGAAAGAGCACTGTTGCTTTAAAGGTATACTTAAGGTATTTGCCCTGTGCCTGGGTTTTTTCCATTTAACAGTTTGCAGCCTTTTCCTTCCGCTCCTTGTTTTGAGGCAGAATAGATTTGAGCAAGTGAGGAGGACTTGGATTGCAGGGGATTGGCCATTAGCTGTGTAAAAGTGCTCCTCCTTGCAGCCTGAACGATAAGCAGCCACCAGCAGCAATAGAATGGAGCACAAAAAAGCGGTAGGGGCACTAGGACCCAGACAATGCCCAAATCTATCCTGCCTGAAAAGAAGCTGCTCTGTCCCAGCCGATCAGCTGAGAGGCGGGGATTTGCGAAGTTTTCCCCTCTCCCTCATGCCCTCCACAGCCTTTTTTTTTACTTCCTGGTTTTCACTGCGCTGGCTCAGAGCTCGAGGTTGGTTTTATTTTGCTGCTGGTTGCTTAAATTTTATCTTTCCTGCCGTCCCTCTGCAGCCTCATTGCTCTGTTTAGAGAGCGCCTTTGCTAGCGTCTGTCCCTCCTCCCGTGTAAGCGGCTGCTGCCGGCTTTGCTGCCATGGCTCTCCTTCCCTCCCTCCTCCCCTGCTCCAGGTCGCTTTAAAGAAAGCAAAGTGAGAGCCTCCTAGAGTGTGTAAGCGGCTCCCGCTTTGCTTGACTGACAGGCAGCCATGGCTCCGATCCGTGCATTCGCTCTGTAACACGCACAGGCATTTTCCCTTACTTTCTTGGAGCAAAAAAGTGCGTGTTTTGGAGCGAAATTTACGGTAAGTTCTTAACCCAAGGTACCACTGTAATTCTAAGATGCAAAGGAATGGCACTCTGTGAACTCAGAGACGCAAGGAAGGATAATATCCAATCAATATATCCTCTGCTGGCATCTATTTGCATCCCAACACCACTCAACTTGGGAATCGCTGCTCTAACCACTGCACCACATTGCCTCTCCCCCTCTTCTCCCTCCCAGGCAAAGTCTACTTCCTCAAGACCTACCGCAAGCTAAGCTTCCCAGAAGCTGTCCAGGCGTGCAAGAAGAACGGAGGCGCCGTGGCCAAAGTCGGCCAGCTCTACGCTGCCTGGAAGATCCAGCTCTTGGACAAGTGTGAGGCCGGCTGGGTGGGCGACGGCAGCATCCGCTACCCCATCGTCAACCCCAGAAGCCGCTGCGGGGGCCGCGAGCCTGGCGTCCGCAACCTGGGCTTCCCCAACAAGAAATACAAGCTCTTTGGCGTCTATTGCTACAGAAGCACTACCAGTGGAGGGTCCAAGGCGGCCGCCAAGGAGGGAGCAGGCAAGTGGAAACCTTTGCAGGTGTAAACCAGGTCGGCTTTGAACGGACACGAATCCTTGCATCTCCCTCCATCTTCCAGCCTCGAGGGACTGGGAGGGTTTTTCCTTGACCTTCCTCTGGAGAAGGAAACAAGTCCGCTGTGAAACATGCATTTGCTGGCCGAAGAGTCCCAAAAAACCAGAAGAGAAGGACCGTTCCAGATTCAGTTGATTCTTTGCGGACTTCCAGAAACCCTGGGAGTCCAAGCTGCACCCAGCTTCTCACAAACCATGGCTTACGATGCCCGCCCCCCGCTCTGCTTGAGTCTTCTTTTCCAAGAAGCCCTGGCTGTTTGCAATTTGCTATTATATTAACGCTTCAGATATAGCTTTTACAAGGCGTGTGTGTGGGGGGTCTCCCCTGCCTTTTGCAAAGGGAGGAGGCACACAGGGATTTGTCGCCACTGAGGATTCAACAGCCGCCTGTCGCGAGGGATCTGCTCCCCACCCCCTTATAAACTGCAAAATGAAGACAAATATTTCTTCTTTTATGCATGGTATTTGGGAGCGCCACAGTTAATTGGACAGCATTCTGTTGCACTGAAGGGCATTGCAGTCACGCTGAGCTTCTTTTCTCCCTTCATCCTGCAACCTGAAAGGGGGGGAGGCACACACCCATTACCGTTTCCGCTCTCCGTGCTCCTCCAGAGGTCATTTTGCCCAGACAACCAAATCCTACAAGTTTCTGTTGTCGTCTAGAAAACTGGAAGCGCATGTTCATCAATGTGTGGCTTGTTGGGAGAGACTGTAGGCTCCTTGGAGCACAGCTCCTGTCATTTTTTTTAAAATCTATTTACGGTATCTGTTATAGGGGGTTGGAATAGATGACTATTCCATCCATAATAGATGGTCCTTTCTAACTCTACAGTTCTACAATTTATTGTCCTTTTTGCTTATGTTTACTCTGCGTAAGGCATTGTATACATGGATGACACTGTATACCTGTTAATAAAATTGCGCAGGGTGGTGTCAGTTCTGTGTTCTCGGCTCTCACTTGCGACTCCTAGAAGCTGCCAGTGTGTGACAGCGGCCACAATCCCAGGAAACAACCTTGACTGGCCAGCTGAACCAGGTGAGGGGAGCTGAGGGGTCTCAAACGCCCAGTGATTCAGGGGCTTCCCCTGCATGCAAAGATTGGCTCTGCCAGAAGGAGCAGACAAGATCAAGAGGGGGTCCAGTGGTCAAGAAGGTGGTTTCTCCGTGTGCTATGGAGGGAAGTGAGGGGCAGTTGAGGAACCTTGTCTTCCATCTGGGAGAAGAAATACTCTGGTCCTAAACTTCTGCTGTCCAGAACCAGAGGTGGAAGCTGAAGCAGGGAAGGAGTCATTGTGGCTAGAAGCCATTGATAAGCTTTACTCTCCGTGAATTTGCCCAGCCCTCTTCTAATGGCCGCCTGCAGAAGTGAGTCCCACCATTCAACTCTGCACTGCAGGTTAAATATTAGTTCTCTTTAGCCTCCCAGTTTCATTGGATGAGTCCCAGAGGCACAGATTGGCTGGATGCAGAGTAATGGCAAGAAAAAAGTAGAAGACCCACTTCCACAGAATCCTTTTACAGAGTCTAAGACAAGCCTTGTTTCGCAGTCTTTGGCTTCATCAGTAGTTGTTGTTTAGTCGTTTAGTCATGTCTGATTCTTTGTGACCCCCTGGACCAGAGCACGCCAGGCACTCCTGTCTTCCACTGCCTCCCGCAGTTTGGTCAAACTCATGCTGGTAGCTTCGAGAACACTGTCCCACCATCTCGTCCTCTGTCGTCCCCTTCTCCTTGTGCCCTCCATCTTTCCCAACATCAAGGTTTTTTCCAGGGAGTCTTCTCTTCTCATGAGGTGGCCAAAGTCTTGGAGCCTCAGCTTCAGGATCTGTCCTTCCAGTGAGCACTCAGGGCTGATTTCCTTCAGAATTGATAGGTTTGATCTTCTTGCAGTCATCAGTAGTACAAACTCATATATGATATCACAGGACAGTGGATCTTAAAGCATAGTAGTAGCTGCTGTAGCTATAAGATCCACTGTCCTGTGATACCATATATGAATTTGTACTACTGATGAAGCCCAAGACAGCGAAACAAGGCTAATATTCCGGAAATCCTTGTCGTAGACTCTGTAAAAGGATTCTGTGAAACTGCAACAGCCTTTCGTGTGGATTGTTGGACTCTATGAACAGACAGGTGGAAGAGACACTTTCTCATATACGGCCCTTATGCATAAACTGATTAGAGAATGAACTGATCCACTGGGTCTTCTACTTTTTCCGTTGAACTTTATGAGCTACTTCTGTTGAAATCTACGATTCAATACAATGAATAGTATATATTATTTTTTCAAACGTACAGCTGGTTACGTCTTGTGTGTTTATTGAATATGTTTCACGTAACCAGAGGTTTGTTGTTGTTTTGAGTAATGGCGGGAGGCAGCAGCTGGGGAGCCACCAAGGGAAGACGGCTCAGAGCTTGGGGACTGATGGTGAGATGACAAGGAGTGGCCAGAGGGAGGAGAGGGAGACCAGGAAAAGGAGGTGGCAGAAGCTGAAGGGGTAACAGGGCTTAGTGAGCGGGGAGAGTCTGTGCCAGAGGGAAGTCCAGACTCAGAAATGGAAGCAAAAGAAACTGAAGAAGCCAGGGAGTCCCCCCCTCCTGCTGCAACCAGCTCCCTCCTTGCTTGTCTCTCAGAACCAGGAGAGGCAGGAAAAGGGCAGAGGAGAGGTTGGCATATATCGTGGGGAAGAACTACAGCTCTGCATGCCAGGCTTTGGGGAAAGGGACAGCAGATCACTGAGAGAGCACCCAGTTTGCACCCAGAGTCCCCTGTGGCGTCTACAGGTAAGCCAGGTAAACTCACACCTGAAACCCCAGAGGGCTGCTGCCAGTCAGTGTGGAGGACAACCCTAAGCCAAATGCACCATCCGTCTGACTCGATGTGTTTCCTATGCATCCTGCTATCTTAAAATTTCAGGATTTCTGTGCACCAGTCAAAGGGGCCATCTGTTGAGGGAGGATGACCAAACACACACAAACACCTGCATTGTCAACCCCACTAACTCAGACCTGATTACAAAAACTTCATTTAAAGGGGAGAAAGAGACTGGCTTGAATTGCATGCTGCAAATGTGCCATGGCGGCGCATGACCCAGAGTAGTGCGCCACCCGTGCGCAAGGTTTCTGCAAGCTTCAATCCCGGAGCGAAAGGAAGAAAGACAGACAGTGGTCTTAGGAACTGTTAAAAAAATTTATTAAAATGTCCAGCAGTACAGAGACCGCCAAAGGATTCCTCCCCACACCTCTCCCCCCCTTTTTTTACACACAAGGGGTGGGGGAGAGAATGTCACAGGCGGAGGGGGCATAGAAGGGGAAACACACAGAGGAATACCAGACACTGCAGTTAACAAGGAAACAGCAGAGATCAGGGATGCATCCACCACACGCCCAACACTCTCTTGTGCATGCGCACACTCACACAAACACATTTCACCACCCACCCCCTTTCTAAATTTTTGCACGGAAGGCTGTTTTCTGTTGCAGACATGTGCACTCACTTCACATGTTTGGGTCGCCTCCTGCCATCCCTGGGAATCGGTCTCGCTGGTCATTCGCAGACCCTCCAAGTGCTCCTATTTTCCAGGGACATTCCCGGATTTACAGAAGCCTTCCTGGTTTCTGATTTGATCCCAGAATGTCCTGCTTTTCCTTAGGATGTCCCTATTTTCACTGGAGAAATGTTGGAGGGTCTGGAGTTATGCGACTCCCAAGCCAATAAAATAAGTAACTATGCAACCTTTAGAAGACACCTGAAGGCAGCCCTGGATAGGGAAGTTTGTTCATGTTTCATTTTTATTATGTTTCTATATCTGTTGGAAGCCACCCAGAGTGGCTGGAGCAACCCAGTCAGATGGGCAGGGTAGAAAAAATAAAATTATTATATAGAATAGGACGTCCCTCGTTTCATTGGAGAAATGTTGGAGGGTATGGAGGTGGAGCACAGGAGCACCTTGGAGTGTGTGGGTCAGTTTCAGGCCCCCAGGTGGGTGGGCTGGGTGACACAGCACAGTTGCATCATGCTCTCACCTGCCCACCCTCCATGCCATCTCTGCAGGCTGCACTGAGCAAGGGCCGCATGGACTGAGACAGAGGGCCGTGAGCTACAATGTCAAAGAGGAGAGAGGCCCCCAGGGTGTTCAGTGCAAATGGAGCCCCGGCAGGGTTAATAGTTGCACAAAGCACTTTCCATGTAGTTACCCGCCTGCCCACCCCCCAGAAACACACACACACACACACACACTCCTCACAATTGTGACATTTGTGGAAATCATTTTACGGTGGGGAAAAGAGGGTCACACCCAAAGGTCAAAACAGGAAAGAGTCTGTAAACAAACAAACAAACAAACAAACAAACAAACTACAAAACCTGGGGGGACTGGGTAAATCTGGGCTCCATCCTGACCAGCCCCTCTTCCTGTGCAGGCTATCAAAATGAACTTTGATAGAGCACTTGGGTAGGCATGTTTGCAGCAGCACCTCCTCTGCAACCCTGACGACGGCCCTGTAAGGCGGGCTGATGGTTCTGACCCCCCTGCTGCTGCGGAGGGGCAAGTAGCGAAGGAGGGAAGGGACAGTTCCCTGCAGGTGATTAGCTGGGGCAATAAAGGGCCTCTCCTCCTCCTCAGTAGCCACCTGGAGAGGGAGGAGAGGCTTTCAGAAAGAGAAAGTGAGCTTGAGAGAAGCAGATGTCAGGAAAAGAGAGAGACGTGGATGTAAAAAAGACCTGTGGATGAGAGAGGAAGAGGGAGAAAGAGGGAACGAGAGAGAGATCTGCAGGTGCTGACAGCCTGCCTTCAACAGAATAAAGGTTTGCACAGCGGAGCTGCCTCAGGTAGCCTGAATTCAAGAAAACCTGTTTTCTGCAACCCCTGCAGATCCTTAAAAAAGGTGCAAATCATCTTCTGGCATTGTAAACTTGCACACGACAACAGAAGAGATTTATCCACAGGGGAAGGAAGATGTGGGGGGCATCAACGATTCCCATCTCTTTCTCGCTCACACACACATGCGCAAACCCATTGCATCCGTGGGGGGGGGGAGGAAGGTCAGGGGGGGGATGGGGAGGGAAGCGGAATTGGGAGCTTGTGCTTTCTTTCCCAGGCCCGTCATTAAAAGTAGTTCCCGTCTTCCTCCGTCCAGTCCAGCTTTGGGTGCTGCTTGGAGTGTTTCCTGCGGTCCTTGCGGGATTTGTGCTGGTGGTGCTTGTGGTGGCGGCGATGGTGGCGGCGGATTCGGTGGGACCGTCTGGCTGGAAGGCGAAGGGGGCGGGAAAAGAGATTTAGTTGCAAAGCATTGCTAGGTTGCACTCCTAATGCAAAACCTTCCTTCCTTCCCTCCTCTCCCCGGCCGAGCCTGATCCATCTAAGTTTCTCGCCTTCCTGCAAAGTAAAGGAAGATGCCAACATGTTTTCTCTCCTGCTGCTGACTGAAACAGAGGCCAGACAGCTGCCTCTCACCCTTCAGTCCTGCGGGGGCTTTATGGAGGAAGAGAAGTAATGAATAGAGTCTCTTCTGAGCAGGTCAAGTCAAGCTTGGGCAAAGCCCAAGAGCTTTATTAACTACAAACCCTGAAATTTGGGATCCCCTCCAAACCGGTGCCAAAGTTCTGAGCTTGCTTTGCGCCATTTCGTGCCACAAACCCTGAGGTTCGCACCAACCCTGGTTCCTGCGTTGCAGCGGGTTGGACTGGATGACCCTCAGGGTCCCTTCCAACTCTACAGTTCTATGAGTCCCAGAAGCCTATGGCGATGGGGACCCTCAAACAAAGAAAGGCGGTAGAAAGCCATGCTGAACACACAGCGTGAGGTCGGATGCGCGATGGCCCCCCCGGAGCCGCCTCCCCGGGGACTCACGTTTTGTGCAAACGATTCTGGGCCTGTCCCACGTCCCGTTGACGTGGCATTTGATGGTGGGCACGTGCCTCTGTAGGAAGCCTTCCTGGCACTGGTAGCGGACCGTGGCGTGGACGCTGTACTTCTCTCGCTTCTTGCCAATGGGGAAGGCGTTCTCCACCGTGGGGGGAGGACCACACAGCACTGGAGGGGAGAGTGCAAAAGGGCAGAGGAGGAGGCCGTGAGAAATGCCCTTTCCTTTCACTGTTAATTTGTACACCACCTTCCCACATTACTATGCACAAGGCGTCTTACAAACCAAAGAAACAACAAAATTGAGAGGGGAAATGTTCCTGTGGTTGGTTTGTTAGGAACGTAAGAAGAGTCCTGCAGGATGAGGCCAAAGGTCTGTCTGTCCAATCACAGGCCTCCAGGAACCCATAAGCAGGCATAAAAGACACCAGACCTCTTTTGAGAGGAAGTGTGGTGTAGTGGTTAAAGTGCTGAGCCAGGACCAGGGAGAGATGAGAGTTGGAATCCCTGCTCAGTCTTGAGGCTCATGCGCTAGGTGACCCTGGGGGCTAGTTGCTGCCTCTCAGCCTAACCTAACTAAATAATAATAATAATAATAATAATAATAATAATAATAATAATAATATGCTGCCCATCCAATTGAGTTGCCTCAGCCACTCTGGGCAGTTGCCAGCAAAATATAAAAACAAAGTAAACATTAAAACTTTCAGATGTCTTCTAAAAGTCAGATGTCAAGGAGATATTGTCAAGGAGATGTCAAGATGTCAAGTCAAGTCAGATGTCAAGGAGATGGGAGGACATTCCACAGGGAGGGAGCCACCACTGAGAAGGCCAGGATGAATGGCGGGGGTGGAGATGCTCCTTTGGGGACACAGTGTGTTGGGGGGGGGGACAGCCCTCTGGCCTGTGGATTAGACCTTGGCGCTGGATATTTTGCCAGGAACAGATGCACTAATAATGATTTACTGCAACTGTTGAGAGTGAATTTCCGTCCAATTATTATTTGCTGATATTCTGACAGTTAATTTTATTGTGCTACTATATTCTAACAGATTATTGAATACGGATTACTTTATTGGATATATTACTGATATATATTTATTGTGGGTATATATGACTTATTTTAAAGTCATAGATAAGTAGATAGCAAATTTATCCTACCAATACAACAAACATATCTGTGGAGAGCCTATAATGACTATTAACGTGCTAAGATACATACAAATGAAATGAAATTGCCAGCTCTCACCCACCAACACCCCACAGAATCGGAAGCCTGTGATTTCTTGGGTGAACAGCTTGTGGTTAATGCAATTTCTCAGATAAGGAATGGGGTGGGCCTGGGCTTCAACCGTCCTCACGGCTTCATTTCCGAACACATTAATAAAGAGGAAATTGAGGTTGTCTGGGGAGAGGGCTTGAAGAGGGAAATGTTTCACCGCTGATGGCTTCCGTGGGTCGGGAAGCAAGCAAATTAAGATCCCAGAGGGCTTGATTATGTGAAACTTTAATTCACCCTCTGCATTTCAAAAAAATCAACAGCAGCAAATAGTCCCAAGATAGAAAAGGTGATGGGTTGTACAGCCGGGATTGCTCAGCTGGTTAGAGCACCGTGCTGATAATGTGAAGGTTGCAGGTTCGATCCCCATGCAGGACAGCTGCATATTCCTGCATTGCAGGAGGTTGAACTAGATGACCCTCAGGGTCCCTTCCAACTCCACAATTCAATGATTCTATGCTTCTAATATTCTCATATCCTCATTCCTGACCATTGAGCAGCGCTGCCTGCTGGGGTGGAGGTTGGAGTGGGACAGAACCAGAGACATGACAGGCAGGACAAAAAGTCAATAACAGACAGGGGCCAGGCAGAAGCAATCCTAGAGAGGCAGTGTTGCATAGTGGTTAGAGTGCCGGACTAGGAGTTGGAAGAGACCGGAGTTCAAATCCCAACCCCCCTTCGGCCACGAAGCTCATATGTGCCATTCCCTGCCTCTCACTGCCTAAGCAGTGTTTCCTAAACTTGGGTCTCTGGCTGTTTTTGGACTACAATGCCCATCATCCTAGTGGGTCAGGGATGATGGGAATTGTAGTCCGAAAACAGCCGGAGACCCAAGTTTGGGAAACGCTGGCCTAGCCTACCTCGCAGGGTTGCTGTGGGTGTTAACGGAGTAGGGGGAGAACGTGATGCATGGAGAAAAAACTGCTTGGAGAAAAAACTGGAAACTCCGCCTTCCTCCTCTTACCTAATAAGAGAATGGGGCGGGGCCTATCCACATGCCAATGGCCAATCAGGGAAAGGGGAGGGTGTTTACCTGTATCCTTTTTGCAGACGTAGGGCAGGTTGTAATTGCAAGGGACGTCATTCCACTTCCCGGTCTCGTGGGACACCAGCACCACGCAGTCCTCACCGCCAGCGAAAAAGTTGTCCGGCTGGTTCTGGCGCCAATTCTCGTATTGCTAGCCAACAGCAGAGGGCGACAAGGAGTCAGAAGCAGACAGAACAGGGGTTGGGCTAGAGGACCCTTTAGGTCCCTTCCAACTCTGCGATTCTCTAATTCTAGAACACAAAGAGGCACTCAGGGTGGGTGTCACCGTCACCACCAGGTAGGAGCAAATCTCTCCGTTTCATTTTTGCTCAGCTTCTCTCTCTTTTTGTAAAATCTGAAGTGCCATTTGCAAATTTAACAAGGAAAGGACGAAAGAGAAAGAGATAAAAACAAAATGAAAGAGAATCTTTTGTTTTGTTTTTAAATAATAATAATAATGTAATGTAACTTTGGAACTCCCTGCCAATTGACACCAGGCAGCCGACTTTGCTGTACCCTTTTCAGCAGCTGCTAAAAACATGTTTGCTTAGCAAAGCTGAAATGTTGACATGTGTTTTAATCCCCTTTTTAAAAAAGCTTATGGTTGGTTCTATTTTTTTCAAAGGTTTTAAATAGTTGCCTTTAACCAGTCCGTCCAGCTCAGCATTGCTCAGGGACAGCCGGTCCGGCTCCCCTGCCCTTTCCACCCACATGCTGGGCTCACCAGTCCGGTGTTGTCTGTCCACTGGAAATCCTGCTCCACAATGCGGTCGTTCAAGCCAATCCATGTGTTCTCCTGTCCAAAGCCTGCGTGGAAAACAAGGAGCGAGTGGACACGGCTGCCACCTGTGACGGCCACTTTCCACACCTGCTCTCGTAGGGAGTCAGTCTCCAAAGTGCCGCTGACTGGGAATTGCAAGAGGGGTGCAATTGCTGCTGTTGTGCTCAGGATCTATTCGGGGGGGGGTCCCCATTGGGGTGAATCTGGCTGATGACCAATGGCAGACCTATATTCTGGGTGTCCTGAAGCTTGAACTGCCATGGTGCCCCTTTGCATCCAGCAACAAGGTCTAGGCAACTGCGATATATCACCCCAAAGAGGTTTGAAGTCCATTTTGTGATACCAGTTCCATAATTTTTGACCTGGCAATATATCACGAATCATGATGTGTGTGCAATGCGAAAAGCTACCTGTTGCTTACTGTTGTAACCATTGTTTTCTCAAAACTTATCTGCTGTACCATGAAAATAATAAATACAGTACTGAAAATAAAAAATCACGATGCGAGGGAAACCGCGAAGCCAGCCTACGCCACTTAATAGTTCAGTGTTCTGCCTTGGGATCCAACTCTATGATTCTGTCATGATGTTTGCTAGAGAGCAACGCAGCAGAGAAGGTCTGTTTCCTCACATGCCCTGCCTGTGAGATTCCCATTGGTACACTGCTTGGAGATTGATTGATTGATTGATTGATTGTTGATTGACCCATTTTTTTTAAAAAAAGGAAATTGATTAAGCAATTTTAGAAATATAGATTCTATGTGTCTTAGGACATCAAATCAGGAAAGAGACCTAGCTGGGCATCATATAAGAGGGGCTATAGACTTTGCTTCAGATAATTTCAAAGGTAGAACAGTCTCTTTTCTATCTAAAGAATTTTTGTATAGCCAATGAGTTCCTCTGAGCATTGCTAGAAACATGGTCCCCATGCGCTTTTCTGCAGTTGATGTCCTTTGCTTTGATACTGGCCATTGACCGTAATAAAACGACTAGTACAGTGGTACCTCTGGTTGTGAACGGGATCCGTTCCGGAGCCCCGTTCGCAACATGAGCAGAACGCAAACCGCATCTGCGTGTGCGTGGGTCGAGATTCGCTGCTTCTGCGCATGCGCGTGACATCATTTTGAGCATCTGCGCATGCGCAAGCGGCGAAACCCAGAAGTAACCCTTTCCAATACTTCCGGGTCGCTGTGGGATGCAACCTGAAAAGATTTAACCTGAAGCAAACGTAACAAGAGGTATGACTGTACTTGATTAAGTGATTTATACATTCTTTGAAAATAATTAAAGCAGGCTCTTGCTTGGGATTCTTCCCCCTGCCCGCCAGCCGTGGGGGCACCTCCTTCTCTCCCACCCCCACCCCTGGACTGCCAACCTACTATTGATGAAGTTGTGCTCCTCCCATGAATGGATGCTGGTCAGGTGACCTGACCGGTGGCGGCAATCCCTCTCTGCGTCCTCCCAGGAGCGTCGGTGGGCGAAGTAGCGGTAGCAGTGGCCCTGGAACTTGTTCCAGTTGTGGTTGCAGCCCTCCGTGTCTGAGCGGGAGAGAAAGAGAGTGAGAATCGGCAGAGGAGCCCTGAGAGTTGACACTCGTCTAAGGCGAAGCGCGGGCACCCTGTGGGCGATTAGCCACTGGATGGCAAGTGGCAATGCTACACCCTGTGGAGGAGGGAGCGTGGGAAGGGGGGAAACGTCTTCTTCTTTATTAAAATATGTATTATTATTAATTAAATTTAGCTGCGCTGATAAAAAGTTGGAAAAATATGTATTAACAAAGGTGTATTCGACGGATGAAAGTATATGATGTTTGACATGATTGAGAATCGTGGACTCAGGGACAAAGAATTATGAAGCATTAAAATTGAGATGTGGAAAATATGGAAACAACGAGGAGAAGCAGGAATAAGGTGTGGAGATTTGCTTCAGAGATCCAGACTGTGGGGAGCTCCGAAAAGTTAATAAATATATTTTGGACTATAATTTGGTCTTTTTTATTTTAGTTTTTTTATTTTAATTGGAGTATTATATTTGGATATATTAACTGGATTTTTTAAATTGGAAAATCAATAAAAATGATTTTTAAAAAATATTAATTAGATTTGACATTTGCAACAAATGTCAATTTCACCGTAGGCTGGCTTCTGATGCTCAAGGAATGTGAGAAGCAGGGCAGGTGAGGGGCGTGGCTTAGGGAGAAGGGATGTGGCCTGTGGCCAGGAAGTATGGCCTGGAGGGAGGGGCTGGGGGCCATGTGCTTATCTTGAAAACAAAATCTCAGCACCAAATGAAGTGAACAGTGAAGCTGGCATGCGAAGCCCTTCCTATAATTTTGAAGGAAAATGTCATCAATCCACTTTAATTGCAATGCTTCCGCAGCCAGCCATTTCTTAGGAAATGCGGGGAGTGTCAATTCCTTTATTGCACTGTCTACTCAGAAGTAAGTCCCACTGTATTCAATAGAGCTTGCTCCCAGGTAACGGCGTCAAGACTGGGCAGCCTTACACTGCGATCCTAACCATTTTTACTCATAACCAAGTACCATTAAGTTCAATAGGATTGACTGTCTGAGCATTCTCAGTTTCCATTATTATTATTATTATTATTATTATTATTATTATTATTACTACTACTACTACTATTCTGCCTTTTTCACTGACAGGGCCCCAAGGCGGCTTACTGCCAAAATCTTATTTCATTCCATTTATCTGTGGAAGGTGTTGATCCCTTCCCTCGCACATTTTCCCTGTACAACACAAGGTGACCGATGTCGATGTGCATATGACGTCTATGTGTGCAACAAGATCAGACCATAGCTGTCAACTTTTCCCTTTTTTTAAGGGAAATTCCCTTATTCCGAATAGGATTCCTTGCAAGAAAAGGGAAAATTTGACAGCTATGGATCAAACACGGGAGAAGCTTCCTGTTGTAGAATAGGATGCCCCTATTTTCATGGAAGAGACGCTGGGGCAGAGGGAAGGGTCACCTCGGTCGCAGAGGCTGCCTCCGTAGCTGGGCAGGCAAAGGCAGACGAAGGAATTGATCTCATCGATGCAGGTCCCTCCATTTTGGCAGGGGCTGGACAAGCAGTCGTCAATATCTGTATGGGGAGGAGGAAAGAGGAGACCAATATTGGAGGGGGGCTGGCCTTGAGAGAAGGGGCGTGTCCCACACAGAGCCCCAGTGGCCATGCGTTTGTGGGTCCCCCCTCTGGTCTAACTGCAACTTTAAAAACAAAGCTAAGGTCCTAGTCCTCATTATTGTGATTTTGAACAGCAACACAGGGACCTGCCTTCTACTGAGCGAGAGGGGGTGCAGCCTGATGGGTATCCTGTGAGGGCCACTCGGCGACGCAGTGAGGGCCGCATTTGGGATCCTGGCCCTGAGGCACTGCACCCCTGATGTAAACTTCTGCCACCCGGAAGCTGCCTTTTGACTCTGACCATTGGTCCAGCCAGCCTGTGGCCATACAGATGGCCATCTGTCATAGATGCTTCAGTTTGGATTCCTGCATTGCAGGGGGGTGGCCTAGATGACCTTTGGAGTCCCTTCCAACTCTACAGTTCTATGATTCTAAGACTCTAACAGATCCCACTGGTCTTGGGGAAAGAGAGGTCACTTCCTATCTTCTTGGCACAGAATCAGAATTGTAGAGGGACCGCGAGGGTCATTGAGCCCAACCCCCTGCAAGGCAAAAATCTTTTGACCAACTGGGGTCTCATGCTGTGCTGACTGCTACCCCAGAGATCCTGTGAGCCACAGCAGCCTGGCAGGAGGGGTGTGTGTGTGTGGCCCTCCACACCTCTCTATCTGGCCCTTGAAGCTTCTCCCAGGCCACCCCCCTGCGGTTGCCACCTCCATGGACCGGGTTCCCTTTAGCCCTGGAAAGAGGCAGACCTCCTGCCCCTGTCTCGTGCCAAGCGTGTCAGCTTTCGCACGTCCGTCCGGTGTGCGTGGTTGGCCCTGGATGTGCTGGTGCATTGGAATAGCGGCATTGTGAGAGCCTTAATTTTCCTCTCTGGATGCAGCTGGCTGCCTCCTGTCAAAGCCCTTCAGATGGGCTCTGAGCTCAAAGCTGCCCTTCAGATGCACAGCCGCTTCCTCCTTTCTTGTGTTCACAGCCTCACACGGCATTTAATGAGACCATCAGGAGAGCCTGCAGGATCAGGCCAATGGCCCATCTGGTCCAGCAGCCTCTTCTCGCAGTGGTCAGCCAAAGGCCTTTTCTTTTATCTGTCCTGAATTTCCCAGCACACAGCTTCAAAATCATGGAATGATAGAATTGTTGGAAGGGGCCACGAGGGTCATCTGGTCCAACCCCCTGCTATGCAGGAATCTTTCACCCCGACGCCTTCTCCCTCTGAAGGGACACCCTTCCTCAGAGTGGACCCACCAAAATTTAGCAGCATCAGCTGGGTGTCGCCTGGAAGATCGTACAAGTTGGTTTTACTCCTGCTTCGGAGAGTAGAACTCGAACCCAGGACTTCAAGTTACAAGAAAGGAGATTCTAGCTAAACATCAGGAAAAATTTTCTGACAGTAAGAGCTGTTCGAGGAAGGGTATTCCTCAGGAGTACCCTCTAAGCAGAGGTTGGAGGGCCATCTGTCAGGGATGCTTTAGCTGAGATTCCTGCATTGCTGGGGGTTGGACTAGATGGCTCTTGGGGTCCCTTCCAACCAGTGCCAGATTTACATATAAGCTAAACAAGCTATAACTTAGGGCCCCACTCTCTTGGCCCCCCCCAAAAAAATTAAATGAAACAAAACTGGATGTACATTTCCAAAATATAAGATAAAAAACAAATAAAATAAAAGCTACATACAGCAACAGTGTTTTGTGTTGCGTAGACTCCCATTTGTTAGGTGCAAATGGCTTGAGATACCTATTAGGTCCATAAATTAAGGGTAAAGGTACCCCTGTCCGTACGGGCCAGTCTTGACAGACTCTAGGGTTGTGCACTCATCTCACTCTAGAGGCCGGGAGCCGGTGCCGTCCGCAGACACTTCCGGGTCACGTGGCCAGTGTGACATCGCTGCTCTGGCGAGCCTGCACCAGCTCAGCACATGGAAACGCCATTTACCTTCCCGCTATAAAGCGGTACCTATTTATCTACTTGCACTTAAGGGTGCTTTCGAACTGCTAGGTTGGCAGGAGCTGGGACCGAAAGACGGGAGCTCACCCATAAATTACCACATAGCATATATTCAACACAAAAAACAGTGACAATTTTTGTTGACAAAGGACAGCTGGACATATAAAGGGCTGCATTACCTTCAGGAGTTGAGGGTCCCATCAAACCTAAATCCGGCCCTGATTCCAACTCTGCAATTCTATGATTTCGCTTGTACCCACTCCCTCTACTGAAAAGCCCTCTTTTATCCATCTTTTGAGAGAGATGGGTCTTTCCTCCAGTGGTTAGAAAGCTGTCAGCCAGCAGCACCCGAGTTTTCTATTTGAAGGTGGTGACAATCACACACACAAACACACACATGGCGGCTAAATGTGAGCAGATTTCGGGTTTGAGTCTCACACTGGGCAAAGGATTCATGCATTTCAGGGGCTGGACCAGATGACCCTCATGGTCCCTTCCAACTCTTCTACGATTCTCGACCCTCCCTCCCCTAGCGCCCCCTCACCTATTTCGCAGTTCTCTCCCGTGAACCCCCGGGGGCAGCTGCAGGTGGAGAGGTTTCCGCTGGACTGGCAGGTGCCCCCATGCAAACAGGGGTCGTTGTCGCAGGGGTCAGTTTCCGCTGCAAGGAGAGTGGGGGGGGGGGAGAGGAAGAGGAGACAGGGAGGAAAGCAGTAAGATCAGACAATCCCAAATTCTGCGCCTCTGTAAAATCAGGATGCAAAAGGAGAAACATCTCTGCATAATCTCGCTTTGCATAATCCACTCTGCTTCTGCTAATCGCCAAATAGGGGGGAAAGCTGCATATTATTACTCTGAACACTGAGTTTCCACATACAGAGCCCAGTATTCATCAGGCATTGTCTTTTCAAGCAAAGCTTAAGGAGACTGGAATTTCCCAGTAGGATAATACCAAAGGCAGACCCTCCCAGTGTCCCTATTTTCCAGGGATGTCCCTATTTCCATCTGAGAAGGGTTGGAAGGTATGGAGTTATGTGACCGCTGAACAAAGGAGATGAGTTAACTAAGCAACCTTTTGAAGACATCTGAAAGCAGCCCTGGATAGGGAAGTTTTTAATGTTTGCTTTTTAATGTTTTTATATATATTGGAAGCTGCGCAGAGTGGCTGGGGCAACCCAGCCCCACAGGCAAAGTATATTATTATTATTATTATTATTATTATTATTAAGGTAAAGGGTAAAGGGACCCCTGACCATTAGGTCCAGTCGTGACCGACTCTGGGGTTGCGGCGCTCATCTCGCTCTACTGGCCGAGGGAGCTGGCGTACAGCTTCCGGGTCATGTGGCCAGCATGACTAAGCCGCTTCTGGCGAACCAGAGCAGTGCACGGAAATGCCGTTTACCTTCCCGCCAGAGCGGTACCTATTTATCTACTTGCACTTTGACGTGCTTTCGAACTGCTAGGTGGGCAGGAGCAGGGACCGAGCAACGGGAGCTCACCCCGTCACAGGGATTCAAACTGCTGACCTTCTGATCGGCAAGCCCTAGGCTCTGTGGTTTAGCCCACAGTGCCACCCGCGTATTATTATTATTATTATTATTATTATTATTATTATTATTATTGACATCCTTTTTTTCATTGGAGGCATGTTGGAGGGTATGCCATTGGCCTGATCTGGCAGACTCGTCTTAGGTCTGTAAATCAGCCGGTCATAATGACCCGTTCTAACGAGGCAGCTTGCACCGCTTAATCCCCATTTAACGATTTCCACACTCCTCGCTTGGCTCGGAAATTGTGGGACTCAGCCAATAAATCAGGGGTCCTGGAAGCCGACTGAGAGTTCCCCTGCATCTCCCCTTGTGCTGGAAACATGTTCGGGGGGCCAAAGAGGGGTATCCCCTCCCTCCTACAATTGGCGAGGCCCCTCTTTCAAACGGTCTCCGGGGAAACAGGTCAGCAATCCTCTTTTCCAACAAAGCTAGAGAGAAGGACCCGTGTGGGTGTTTGTGCGGTTGGCAGGAATCGCAGGCGTCGTGATCACCTCTCTGAAGCGAAGGCTGCGTGTTGAAAGCACCTTTCATCTTCCGAGTGGCACTTAAACAGCTGGAGAGGACCAGGCTCCCTCTCTGCACATTCCAGCACAAGAAATAACCATTAAAAAGCCATTGGCGGAGGAGCCGCTCTCTTATCTGAAGAAGATGCCTTCAGTGGAGTCAGCCTATCGATTCTCAGGCAGCCCACAGTGGGGGGGAGGGGGGGACCTTTTCATGCCTGAGCAGCACATTCCCTCCAGGCTCCCAGGATGTTTCCCAGCACAATCCAAAGTGCTGGTGCTGACATTTAAAGCCTTCAACAGCCTCGGCCCAGTATCCCTGAAGGAGCATCTCCACCCCCATCATCCAGCCCGAACACTGAGGTCCAGCTCCAAGGGCCTTCTGGTGGTTCCCTCATTGCAAGAAGGGAAGTTACAGGGAACCAGGCAGAGGGCCTTCTCGGTGGTGGCACCCGCCCAGTGGAATGCCCTCCCATCAGATGTCAAGGAAATAAGCAACTTTCTGACTTTTAGAAGACCTCAGAAGGCAGCCCTGTATTGGGAAGGGTTTGAGGTTTTATTATGCTTTTGCATATGCTGGAAGCCAACCAGTCAGCAATGCTTCTTTATCCCTGTTTCTGGAAACTGTAGGAGGAGAGAGGACTCCTGTGCTCAGATCCTGGTTGCGAGTTTCCCACAGGCATCTAGTCAGTCCCTGAGAGAACAGGAAGCTGGACTAAATGAGCCACTGGCCTCATTCTTCTCTTCTTATGTGATGAATGCAGCAGGGGCTCTGCCACTCAGCTACAGCCATTTCCTTCAAAAATAAATCAAGATTCCAGCCCTCATTGTTCTGACTGTGTGCTCTCGTGCTCAGATCCTGCTTGGAGATTTCCTGTGGGGAGTGCCCACTGTGAGCCTGATCCATACTTTCCAACACTTTTCCGATGAAAATCAGGGAAATTGTATTCCATGCCTTCCAACATTTTTCTGATGGCAATAAGGATGTCCTAAGGGACGTGGATGGCGCTGTGGGTTAAACCACAGAGCCTAGGACTTGCCAATCAGAAGGTCGGTGGTTCGAATCCCTGCGACGGGGTGAGCTCCCGTTGCTTGATCCCTGCTCCTGCCAACCTAGCAGTTTGAAAGCATGTCAAAGTGCAAATAGATAAATAGGTACCACTCTGACGGGAAGGTACACGGCATTTCCGTGCGCTGCTCTGCTTTGCCAGAAGCGGCTTAGTCCTGCTGGCCACATGACCCGGAAGCTGTACGCCGGCTCCCTCAGCCAGTAAAGCGAGATGAGCGCCGCAACCCCAGAGTCGGCCACGACTGGACCTAATGGTCAGGGGTCCCTTTACCTTTAAGGGAAAAGAGGCCACTCCAGAATTAGAAAGCAGGACAGCTTCTGTAAATCCGGGACTGTCCCTGGGAAAGAGGGGCACTGGGAGGGTTTGGGATCCAGTAGGGCTCTCCTCATGTTCTCGCATTCTCCTTTGCTGTTACCGAACGTGCAGGAGTCCTGTCCCACTTTGTCTGTGTGTCTGGGTGCGCCAGTGCGCTGAGGATATTATTTTCGCTGGAGATATTATTTTTCCACGTCCATTTGTAGCCCCGGGAGCACTGTTTAATATTAACTCGGTTGGTTTTTAAATTCCTGCCTCTGTGTTCTTCCCCCACCCCTCCAAAAGTCTATTTGCTTTTCCCATTCCTTCGCGAAAGACTTCAAAGGCTGTGCAGCAAAGCCTTTGCCGCCAGGACTCTTCCACGCCGACTATTCTGATGAGCGAAGGCGGGTGATGAATATTGGATTGGTAGCTTCCCTAAGGGGTGTGTGGAGAGCTTGGGGTGGCAGGAAGGGAGGAAATAAAGAAATCAAAGGTGGCTCCTGACAGCCCATACAGACCCTCCAAGTGCCCCTATTTCCAGGGACAGTCCTGGACTTACAGAAGCCATCCCTGTTTCGGATTTGAAAAGGTCTCACTTTTCCTTAGGACGTCCCTAGTTTCATCCAAGAAATGTTGGAGGGTCTGGAGTTATGTGACCCCCGAGCCAAGGAGGTAAGTAACTAGACAACCTTTAGGAGACATCTGAAGGCAGCCCTGGCAGGGAAGTTTTTAAATGTTTAATGTTTCATTATGTTTTTATATATGTTGGAAGCTGCCCAGAGAGGCTGGGGCAACCCAGTCAGATGAGCAGGGTATAAATAATAAAAAATAAAATTATTGCGATTATTATTATAGAATAGAATGTCCCTATTTTCATTGGAGAAATGTTGGAGGGTATGTTCTCCCCCCCCCACTCCATCTCGTCCTCACAACAGCCCTGTGAGGTAGGTTTGGCAGAGCAGCAGCAACTGGCTTTCAGGGTCACTCTTGGCTGAGCAGGGACTTGAACCCAGGTCTCTCCCAGGTCTAACCACTACTGCACATGACTGTCTTTTATGTGAACTGCTTAGGGGTTTTGCAGGGGGTTGGACTAGATGACCCTTGTGGCCCCAACCATCATTATGATTCTATGATATTTGCCAGGCTTAAAAAGGTAAAGGGACCCCTGACCATTAGGTCCAGTTGGGGACGACTCTGGGGTTGCAACGCTCATCTCGCTTTACTGGCCGAGGGAGCTGGCGTACAGCTTCCGGGTCATGTGGCCAGCATGACTAAGTCACTTCTGGAGAGCCAGAGCAGCGCACAGAAACACAGTTTACCTTCCCGCCAGAGCAGTACCTATTTATCTACTTGCACTTTGACGTGCTTCTGAACTGCTAGGTTGGCGGGAGCAGGGACTGAGCAACAGGAGCTCACTTCATCGTGGGGATTCAAACCGCCAACCTTCTGATCGGCAAGCCCTAGGCTCTGTGGTTTAGACCACAGCGCCACCCGTGTGCCAGGCTTACCAGTGTTCAAAAGCCCCAGAACCTCCCTCACCTGCCCAAATGTTTTCTGGGTAGCAGGAAACTCACCAAGCACGGTGGCATTGACCTCTCCGGTCCACGCCAGGCCCTCCACCTCCTTGGCTGCAGACATGCCGCCTCCTTTCTCCTCTCCACTCCCCCCGTCGGACTCCATCGGAAGGATCTGCCCCGGGGCAGTGGGGAGGTAGCTCTCGCTCTCTTTCCCATTTATCACGCCATCGCTGGGATAAACAGGCAGCTCAGAGGTGTCGAAATTGTGGCGCGCAGGTTCTGATGTGCTCCAGGGAGGCGAGGGAGACTCAGGCGTCCCCCGAGATGTCAAGTCCTCACCATCTTCTGATCCTTTCGGAAGGAACCCAGGAGGGATCAAATCACGGGTTGTACTGTGGCTGGGAGTTCCAGTGGTGCCTTTGCCTTGCTGGGGGCCAGAGCTATTCCTGACCAAGCTGACGGCTTCTGGGACTGGGGATCGGCCTGCCATGCCGTCATCAAAGTGACCACTCATGCTTGGAGTTATGACCTCCCAGTGGTCTTCTGCTTTGGACAGATTCAGGACCTCCGTGACGGCAGGTCCGTCCACCAGCCCTGAGCTCGCCCTCCCTTTGATTTCCATTGTGGTGGCTTCCTCGCCACCCACCGCCCCCCAAGCATCGGCCTCCCTGGAAATCAGCCGCGCCACTAGTGGGTAGTCATTGACGGCCATTGGGGAAGGGATGTCCTCTGCCGAGAGGGTGACGGCTTCTTCTCCTCTCAGCTCAGCCAGTGCCACCTCCGAATGCTGGGTGGTTTCTTGCAAGACGGGGTCTCCTCCTGCTGTGTCTTCCTGTTTCTCTGATCGATCTGGAACTACCCTGGGCAAGTGATGCTGAGCTTCCTCCAAGCCAGGGAGTTCCTCTTCAAAACTCACGGCCTTGGCATGGCTTTCTCTGAAGTCGTAATCAGACTCTCCACTCGCCTCATCGGCCCGGGACTCATTCTTCAGAGGAGTCGTTGGCGTGACATCGCCGTTTCCAGAGAAGATCTCCTCGTTCTCCCCAGGCTGAGTGATCGCTTGAGGGTAGTCTCCCCGGATGCTGGTACCCATGAGAGAGCCTTCCAGAGCATCGTCTGTTGTCATGGCAACTGCCTCCAGACGGTGCAATGGTCCATTGGGTGTGGCTGGCGAGGATGCATCAGGGTGCTCATCATGAGTTGGCCGTTCCTGGCTCTCTGGCACAGAGGCCTCCTCGTGTCCCTGGGTGGTCTTTTCAGCACTGGGGTCCTCCAAGAAGTCTGAAGCAGGGGAGAAGGTCATTTCTGGGTGGCCTCGATGCTCAGGTGGTGCTAACCCTGCGAGCAAAGACAGGGGATAGAAGTTTATAAAATTATGCATTGATAGAGGAAAGCTAAGGGTTTCTGGGAAATGATATACAATGAATTGAAAAAGATCTTTAAATTGACCATTCCCGAAAAACCCAAAGCCTTTTTATTGGGGATAATAGAACGGAGATTCCCAAAAAACTGACCAACCTTTTTATGTATGCGACAACTGCAGCTAGAACTTTTCATGTACAGAAATGGAAAGGTAAAGAGATTCCAACTAAGGAAGAATGGTTTATAAAACTGGTGGACTCTGCAGAAATGGTGAAACCGACTGCTAAAATAAGAGGTCAAAAGGATGATATTTTCATAGAAGAATGAAGGCCATTGGTGGACTACCTATCAGATTATCTTCCTTATATGAAATCATATGCAGGATTTGGGATATGAGCAATGGAAAAATAGAGAATGGATTTTGGGGGCTTAGAAAATAAATGCAGGTGTGTTCTAATGCAGCTGTTAAGGGGGAATAAAAAAACTAGGGAAAGAGGGGTGGGAGGTCAAGAAGAAAATGAGCAGCAAAAAACCACGATATATGTGATTGCAGTTATGTAATAATTTGGAAGATTTAATTAAAAAATTATAAAAAAGAGGAAAGTTTTCCTCCATTTCTCATAAGACTAGAAACCGTGGACATTGAATGAGGCTCAATGTTTGGACCCCATCAGTGCCCCTGGAGGCACACTCCATTGTCTCTCAAGAAATGGATGTCAGCAAAAGCAGTTGTTGTTGTTGTTTGTTGTTGTTTGTTGTTGTTGTTGTTCTTCTTCTTCTTCTTCTTCTTCTTCTTCTTCTTATTATTATTATTATTATTATTATTATTATTATTATTATTTTATGTCCTTAATGTCGCACACCACCATGGGATCTTTGGATAAAGGGTGGTATATAAATTGAATAAATAAACGAATTCTTAAGACATATGCATAATTAAAAAAAGGAGAATAAATAGAACACACCAAATTTCCCCCACTGAACATGGCCTCTTCCTTTTTGACCTTCTCTGCTTCCCCCTGCCACACGCCAGCCACCCCTTTGTCTGTGGTACAGTCACAAAAAGGCTCCCGCCACGATTGATGCAAGGGAGCGTTCTGGAGTGGTTGCCGTGGCAACTGCCTCCTCATTAGCAGGCTGCTCCTGGCTGCTGAGGTCCTCTTCTGCTCCAGGGGGCGGGGATTAAGAGATAGCATCCTTAGAGGGGTTATTTTTTGGATTGTTGTTCCTATGCACCACAGGTGCAGGTGATGGAGCCCTCAGACCTAGGGGTCCAACGTGGCCCTCCAATTCTCTCTTTTGGGCTCACACGCCCTGCCGGCCTTGCTTTGCAGCTTCAGACCGCCCCCACCTCCAAGTGCCCCTATTTTCTGGGTTGCCCAGAGTGGCTGGGGCAGCCCAGTCAGTGGGTGGGTATTAATAATGTTATTATTATTATTATGGAATAGAACAGGGGTCAGCAACCTTTTTCATCAGGGGGCCGGTCCACTGTCCCTCAGACCTTGTGGAGGGCCAGACTATATTTTGAAAAAAATATATGAACAAATTCCTATGTCCCACAAATAACCCAGAGATGAAATAAAAGCACACATTCTACTCATGTAAAAACACGCTGATTCCTGGACCGTCCATGGGCCAGATTAAGAAGGCGATTGGGCTGCACCCGGCCCCTAGTTTGCCTACCCATGGACTAGAACGTCCCTCTTTTCATCAGAGAAATTGGGGGGGGGAGATGCAGATGCCCTGACAGCTTCTGCCTGACTGGGTAAGTGTCCTCAAACTCTGATGATGCCTTTTGCTCGTGAACCGAGAATTGTGTGTGTGTCTGAAATAGTTGCCAAAAAAAAAAAAAGTCTGATTGTTGCATGGCTGGAATCAAATAATCAAAGAGTTGGCATGTCCCCTGAGGTTCATCTAGTCCCCCAGCAAAAGCGGCCGACTTCACAAAGGTAAAAATGATCCCCCGGTTGCCAAGCCTGGTTCTTTTGCCTCTGGCTCCTCCATCAACCACCTGGCCCTCAGAAGGTTTCGGAGAAAGAGAGAGCAGCCGCCTCTGGAGTGGAAACGCTTCTGCTGAATGGTGGGAGATGAGCCCTATGGAACTCCCTTCCACTGGATGGCCACTGCCCGAGACAGCTTTAAAAGAGGTTAAAAGAATTCCTGGAGGAGAGGGCCTGGTGGCTAGACTCTGCCTCCACAGCTGCAGGCAGAAATGCTTCCGAATTGCCAGTTGCTGAAACTGAAGGAGTGGGAGAGACTCTTGTGCTTGGGTCCTGCGTGGGGGCCTTCCCATTTGGGCTGGTCTTTGTGCGGACAGGATGCTGCACTAGATAAGTCTCCTTTGCAGATGGCGTCTCACCCCTTTTTCAAGCCACCAATAACAAGAATCAGTTCTGAAACAATCACACAGGCAGCTGGAGCAATATTCCCTCCTGCGTGCGGCTTGCCCAGCAAAGGACTGGAATTGAGGGCATCTTTCATACCCCTGATTTGGAAGGGCTATAAAACCTCCTGGCTCAGGGTTGCAGCTGTGTTTGGAGACAGACAACCTCACTGGTCTCTAAGGTGCTACTGGACCATTTATTATTTTTATTTCGACTGCGTCAGACCAACATGGCTACCTACATACGTGAATCTAGAATCATTGCAAGGTGTGAGACTTTCCTGAATGCTCCCTGCTTGATTTCTCTCTTTCCCTTTCTGATCCTAGAGAATTTTGCCCTTCTCACCTAGAGCATTTCCCACACATCTTGACTTCCCGCCCTGACTTCTCACCGCCTGGCTACTTTCTCTTAATTTGAGAGCCATTGCATGGGACAATCTGGCAAATTCTCCACATAACCCTGAGTGTCAAAATTATGCATATTTGCAAAATAACTCCGCCTGCAGAGACCACACACACATACATACGCTTCCTCCTTAATTGGCTTTAAGGCTTTTTTTTCTGAGCGGAAATTATGCATAAGTGCATCCCATCAAGAGGCAAACATGCTCTAATTGGCATCGAATGCCCACTTTGTGCCTGTGGATTGCGGGCGTTTTGAAGGTGATGGCAGGTCTTTTGGGGGAGGGGGAGAGAGAGGGAGGAGAAAATGACAGGCTCAGCACTGGGAGCTTCTGGGGTGATAAAGGGTAGGCAGAGGGCAAGGCGGATGAAGGGGAGTCTTGACTAATATGGGATGCCTCCACAGAAGCTAATAACATTTCAGCCCTGCGAAATTGAACATGGGGGATTCATCAGGTGGATATATTATGAGGAGTCTTCCTGAATTACTATGCATTAGTGCAGTGCCACAAATGTTTTGTTTAAGGATGTCAGAAGAGCCACGCAGTGGCAGGATAAGGCCAGTAGCCCACCCAGCTGTAGAATCATAGGACCCTGAGGGTCACCCCGGAAATGATCTCTTTCAGCTTCTGCCTTCTGGAAGAAGGTACATACAGGGTTATAAAGACTAGGACTAGCCGCCTGAGAAACAGTTTCTATCCAAATGCAATTTGGGTTTTAAACACAGTGTAAGGTAGTCTCTATGGGAATATATTGTATTTTATTATGGGGTATCAGCGCTGTAGGTTAAACCACAGAGCCTAGGACTTGCCGATCAGAAGGTCGGCAATTTGAATCCCCATGATGGGGTGAGCGCCCATTGCTCTGTCCCACCTCCTGCCAACCTAGCAGTTCAAAAGCACATCAAAGTGCAAGTAGATAAATAGGTACTGCTCCAGCGGAAAGGTAAACGGCATTTCCATGCACTGCTCTGGTTCGCCAGAAGCGGCTTAGACATGCTGGCCACATGACCCGGAAGCTGTACACCGGCTCCCTCGGCCAGTAAAGCGAGATGAGTGCCACAATCTCAGAGTCGTCTGCGACTGGACCTAATGGTCAGGGGTCCCTTTACCTTTACCTTAAGGTAGTCTCTATGGGAGTATATTGTATTTAATTACGGGGTATCAGAGTTTTTAGGGGGTTAACCAGGCTGGGATAGCAGGCTTGTTGGTTTTTGAGTATCTGATGTAGATTCTTTCAATTTCGTAGTTCTGGATGGGACAATGACAATAAAGATTATCGTATCGTATCGTATCCATGCAGGAATCTCAGCTAAAGCGTCCATGACAGGCGGCCTTCCAACGTCTAGCATCCTGTCCTCATGGTGGCCAACCAGTTGCCCCAAAGGGAAGCCCACAAATAGGATGTGAGAGCAAATAGTCTTCATCCATCCTTGTTCTCCACTGCTCTGCGGTAGACCAGCTCTGCCCATGGAGGCTCCATTTAGGAATCATAAGAAACCAAGAAGAGCCCTGCAGCCATCAGATCAGGCCAAAGGGAGCTCATCTAGTCCAGCATCCTGTTATCATAGCAGCCAACCAAATGCTCCAGCGGGAAATCCCCCAGGACTCAGCAGAAGAGCCCTTTGCCCTCCTGCAGGTTCCGCTTTTGCAGGAGAAAGGGGCTATGGTGAAAGGGGATGGCAGATTTTAGGCATCCATTGTGATGGGGACTTCCCTGGCTTTTTTCTGGCCCACATAGGACCAGTCTGGATAGCTGGCCTTGGTGAAGATTTGACATTTTCATCCCCAAATTTTTTTTGATTTGAGTTTCTACTGAAATGAGGCTGCAATTAAAGGTTGTATTTTCATCTTGTTTTTAAGTTGCATTTTAATCAATTGTTTTTATACCTGGTGTTAGCCGCCTTGAGCCCAGTATTGGCTGGGGAGGGTGGGGTATAAATAAAAAATTTATCATCATCATCATCACAGGTTCTTCCTGCCCTTGGGGTCAAAGTGGCAAAGGTTTACCCCTGTGTTGCCCTCACAACAATCCTGTGGGGTAGATCAGGTGAAGAGAGCAACAGAGAAAGGATAAAGTGGTGAGCGACAGAGTGGGACAGCAGCTGCTAGGGGGTCAGGCTAGGACTTGGGATAGAGCAGGGTTCAAATCCCCCCTCAGCCACAGAAGCTCCCTGGGCGAGCCTTGAGGGATGACGATGATGATGATGATAATAATAAGAAGAAAAATTATACCCCACCCTCCCTGACCAGACCCGGGCTCAGGGCAGCTAACACCAGTAAAATTACAGTAAAAACATAATGGGGGGGGGACCAATTTAAAGTACAGGTTAAAATGCAATTTAAAATGCAGCCTCAATTGAAAACTAGCCCATAGATCAAGACCATAAGGGGAGGGAAACATACGGGTCAGACTGAGTCCAAACCAAAGGCCAGGCGGAACAGCTCTGTCTTGCAGGCCCTGTGGAAAGATGTCAAGTCCCGCAGGGCCCTGGTCTCTTGTGACAGAGCGTTCCACCAAGTTGGAGCCAGTACTGAAAAGGCCCTGGCCCTAGTTGAGACCAATCTAACCACCTTGCGACTTGGGACGTCCAGAGTGTTGTCATTTGCGGACCTTAAGGTCCTTTGCAAGGAGAGGCGGTCCCGTAGGTACGTGGGTACGTGATGATGATTTTTACCCCACCTATCTGACTGGGTCGCCCCAGCCACCCTGGGCAGCTTCCTCACAGGGCTGTTGTGAGGTGGCAAGGATGAACCATGCACACGTCACCTCAAATGTGACTCATTGCACCTTCAGAGCACAAGCTCTGGGTTTGACTGAAATGAAAACAGATCTGGAGATTCGCTTACCGTTCCCTTCCACTTCGTTGGAGAAGGCGTAGACTACCCCGCCCCGTAGGGCAGAGGCAGGGCTCGGTGCCTCTCTCGCGGTGGCCTCGATGGAGTTGTCTGCCATCGTGCGCACTGCCAGCGCCAGGACAGAGAGTGTCGTGGGCACCGCAGTGCCGTCTCCCTCATTGATGCTCGGCTGGCTGCCGCCACTGTCTCCTTCTTCCTCTCGCCGTCTCTGGAAGTAGCGCCCGTTCAGCCCGGAGTAAATGCTCTTTCGGGTAGATTCGGGGAGGCCAGAAGGAGCCGGAGGAGCCTCAGTGCCAAAGGGGTGGCCTCCGTGAGGCACCGGGGGGAGGGCTGAGGTCGGACGCCCCTTGGGGATGTGGGTCCGGAATGGGGGCTGTGGGCTGAGTGAGCTGCTCCCTTCTGCAGTTCCATGCAGCCAAGTTGGAGAGGTTGGATGGGCAACGTCCTCAGGTGGTAAGCCATCGTCAGAGTCTTCCGGAGGAGGGGACTTGGTGATGGTTTGACCGGCTTTGGCCGACTCTTTGCCAACGGTCATCTCGCCATGCTCCTTCATCTCATCAACCGGAGTTTGGTCAGCTGTATCCAAAGGATGTCCACCGTCCACCCCACCCAGGATGGAGACGGTGAATGGTCTTGTAGATGCGGGACCTTCCAAATCCAGGGGGGTTGCCTTTGGGGCTGGTGCCGCCTTCTCCTCCCACAGATCCACAGACCCAGCCGGGAAAGCCGTCACCAGCTGCAGCTGCTCGTCTTCCTCCAAGAACGGGACGGCGGCCTTCTGCGAGGGAGCGTAGGGATCCTTTGAGAGCTCTTTCGAGTCTCCCGACATGACGGCGTCGTCGTTCTCCTTGGGGAAAAGCTCATTCAGCAGCGGCAAGTGGGAGTCGTGCTCCACCAAGACGTTCTCGATGCCTGGATCCTGGCTCCCCTCGGAGTCCTGATCCATGGGCTCCCGAGCCACCTGGCCGTGGTCGACCCCCAATGTGGCTGGGCCTGGTTTTGTGGGCGGCTGCCATGCTGGAAGGAGGAGAAGAAGAGAGGTATAAGACTGCTTGGGTTTGAGGCTGACCTTTACGCCGTGCTTTTTTTCCCTGGAAAAAAGGTGGGGGAACTCATCACAAAGTTTGTTTTTTTGTTGTGGGTCCAGGTGCAGTGCCACCCCCAACCCCCCAGGCAGAGGCTAAATGTAAGATGTGGTTAATGAACTCAGCAGACAAATACAGTGGTACCTTGGTTTAAGAACAGCCCTGTTTACGAACTATTCGGTTTGCGAACTCCGTAAAACCAGAAGTAGTGTCCCAGTTTGCGAACTTTATCTCGGTCTAAGAACGGAAACTGAACAGTGGAAGGGCACCGGTGGCAGGAGGCCTCATTAGGGAAAGTGTGCCTCAGTTTAAGAACGGACTTACGGAACGGATTAAGTTCGTAAACCACGGTACCACTGTATATGGATTAGAAATGGGCACAACTTTACTGAGTACAGATGGATTTTAGGATCAGGTATTGGGTGTATATCCATCCCACCCACCACCCACCCCGACAAATAATAATACTTTATTTTAAAAATGTAAGGGAAGTCAGTTCCCCTGAGTTCCTGCTCAAGAAAACTCCATTCTAACTTTCCCAGAGCCTTAAAATGTTTCATCTTCCTAGCCATAATTTCCTGCCCTCTGAGGCATTTAGAGAATTGCTGTCCTGGGTCAGGCCCCAAGACCAGTGGCCCATCTCATGCTCCAATGGGAAGCCCGCAAGCAGGGATGGAGGCAACGGCCACCCCAGAACCCCTCTGGTAACAGGTAGATTGTTCCTGAACATGGAGGTTTTGTGTGAGAACAGAAGAATATAAGGAAAGCCTGTTGGACCAGGCCATTGGCCCATCTAATCCAGCGGCCTCTTCTCTCAGCGGCCAACAAGATGCCTGTGGGGAACCAGCAAACAGGATCCGACCACAAGAGCAAGACTCTCCCTTTCTGCAGTTCCAGAAACTGATATTCCGAAGCATTCCGGCCTCCAGTTGTGGAGGCAGAGCTGGGCCGCTGTGGCTAGTAGCCATCGATAGCCCTCTGCTTCTCCAGTCCTCTTTTAAAGCCATCCAGATTGGTGGCCATTGCTGCCTACTGTGGGAGGGAGTTCCACAGTCTAACTCTGCGCTGTGTGAATAAACCTTTCCTTTTATCTGTCCTGAAACTTTCAACATTCAGCTTCAGTGGATGCCCAAGAGTTTGAGTGTTAGGAGAGAGGGAGGAAAGTTCTCCACTTTCTCCACGCCATGCAGAATTCTCCCTCTCCAAATTGATTCTTGCGTTGCAGAGGGTTGGACTAGATGACCCTTGGGGGTCCCTTTCAACTCTACGATTCTGATTCTATGCCTCCTGTTAATTAGCTGCAAGAACAGGCAAGGAGAGACGTTGAGAATAGGAAAGACCTGGATTTACGACGCTCACACACTCCTGCCCACCCCTCCAGCCCCGGCTGGCTCCCCCCGATACTGCTGCTATACAAGTACAGGCACTTTGTTTTATTAAAAGGAAGGGAGTTTGGAAATGCCATTTTATGCTCTGCCTCATGCCAAGGGTGCGCTCATAAATCAGCCGGCATCGCCAAAGGCAACTTCTGCAGTCGCTTGGCCCGACGAGAAGAAAATTGCATCCCACCGTCCCCTGACCACTTCCCAGCTCCAAGTGCATCTGGAATGATTGCACCTTAAATTGTGTCACCTCAGAGAGGAGTGGCTGCAGGGAGCGGGGAGACGGTGGGCTGCGGGCGGGGCCCAGCAACCCCATTGCAGCACACAGGATTTGAGCGTGGGAATAAATAAAAATAAATAATTTTTTATTTATACCCTGCCCTTCCCGGTTCAGGAAACCGGGCTCAGGGCGGCTAACAACAAATTTAAAACACTTAATTGATGCAACAAAAAACAGCATAAAATACGGTATAAAACAAAAATAACAATAAAATCAGAATTCAAAAATCAATTTAGGGGGGAAATCCATCCAATAAACATTAGATGATCACCAGGGCTAGCTGGCTAAATTAGTCCTATTTGGGCCAGCGAGGAGACCAGGGGAGAATTAGCTGTGGGATCCCAGAGCGGGGAATCTTCACAAAAAGGGGAGGGGAGGGGGAGTGAAGGAAGGGGAACAAAAAATCAGGCCAGGTTCAAATTGAAAGCCAGGCAGAATAGTTCTGTCTTACAGGCCCTGCGGAAGGAGGTTAAATCCTGCAGGGCCCTGGTCTCATGGGACAGAGCATTCCATCAGGTTGGAGCCATCACTGAAAAGGCCCTGGCCCTGGTGGAGGATAGTCTGACTTCCTTAGGGCCCGGGACCTCTAAACTGTGATTATTCATGGACCTTAAGGTCCTCTGCGGAGCAGACCAGGAGAGGCGGTTCCGTAAGTACGGTACGGGAAGTCTCTGCCTTCTCCCATCCCCTGTCTAGCAAAAGGGTTTTCATAAAATTACTCCGCTGGGAGCAGTTTGGCCTGGGGGTTCACTGATATGTGGATGATACCCAACTCTACCTCTCCTTTAAATCAGAACCAGTGAAGGTCCTGTGTGAGTGTCTGGAGGTGGTTGAAGGATGGATTGTGGTCAACAGATTGAGGTTGAATCCCAGCAAGAGAGAAGTTCTGTTTCTGGGGGACAGGGGGTGGGAAGGTGTGGGGGACTCCTTGTTCCTGAATGGGGTAACTGTGCCTCTAAAGGAGCAGGTACACAGCCTGGGGTTCATTTTTGACTCACAGCTGTCCATAGTGGCGCAGGTCAATTCTGTGTTCATGGCAGCTGTCTACCAGCTCCATCTGAGACCCTGCATACCTGCTCCCTGTTTTTCCAGAGTCGTGAGTGCCCTGGTTATTCTCCTGCTTGGACTACTGCAATGCGCTCTACCTGGGGCTACCTTGGAAGGTAACTTGGAAATGGCAGCTAATCCAGAAGGCAGCAGCCAGACTGGTGACTAAGAGTGGCTGCCGGGACCACATAACACCGGTCCTGAAAGACCTGCATTGGCTCCCAGTACGTTTCCGGGCACAATTCAGAGTGTTGGTGCTGACCTTGAAAGCCCTAAATGGCCTCAGCCCTGTGTACTTGAAGGAACATCTCCACCCCCATCGTTTAAGCCCAGACACTGCTGCATCTTGTGGGAGTGAGAAGTGTGTGGACAAGGGCCAGCTTCCGTCTGCCCTGAATATCCTTCAAGCACCATCATTTCATTGGAAGGAGGGAAATTATACAATGCCGAAATGACAACAGAGTTGTTCAACAAAGAGCAAATCCTCTGTGCTGCATTTTACATATAGTATTTTCATTTCTACTGCTCTGTGTTTTGATTTTTCTCAGTGTTTGCCACAAGCTGCTTTGGTCACAGCTTGCTGCAGGAAAAGCACCATAAAACTTAAACTCAACCAATTGATCCAACCTTTGTAGCAGTAGGCATCAAACTTGGAAGCTGGATCTGGGAAGCCGGTCCGGTTTGAGAACTGGTAGACTGTCCGGACGCCAGGCTCGTCCCCACCGCACTTCTTCCGCGGGATCCGGATAGGGTAGCGGACGCTTCCGTCGGCCAGCCATCCTGGGTCGCACTGGTCCAGCCCTTCTCTCCAAGCGAGGTACAGCTGCCCTGCAGTCGCCAGCCGAGCGCCTCGGCTCAGGCAGTGCTTTTGAGCCGTCTGAAACGTCAGCCGTCCAGGGCTGGAGGCATAAAACACCTTTCCTGAAAGCAGGGAATGAAAAAAGTTGCTATTTCGTATACACACCACTTGATTGCCCCCCAAATCCCCTCAAACAAACCACTCAAAGCAGTTTGCAGAAACTTAAAGCAATAAAGTTATCAGGAAAACAGTTTGAAACATACTATCATTATACAATGCAGAGGAATTATGATGGGAATTAGTGAAGGTAAAGCTAATTATTATTAACAACAACAATTTGAGGTTCCCTCTTGGACTTTTTGTTGGGAGAAGAAGTGAGTGATGCGGCGACACTTTGACTAAAAAGAAATGTGGTTTAACAGAAACTGGAGAAGTTGAACTGAGTCCTTTTTCTAATGTAAAGTAGCAGGAGGAGAACAGAAGCAGCCCCTTTTGGTCTTTGGTGTTTCTTATCTCTCTCTCTCTCTCTCTCTCTCTCTCTCTCTCTCTCTCTCTCGTCTCCCCTCCTCTTTTTTCCTTTCCTTTCCTTTCTTTTCTTGTTCTCTTTCTCTCTTCCCTCTCTTTCTTGTCTTTTCGATTCTATTTGTCCTAGGTATTACTTGAGTGTGTTGTGAAAACCTCAGTAAAAATCAGTTTGAAATACGATGATGATGATGATGATGATGAATAAACATACAAAACGTTGAAATTCCCAGACAGGTTAAAGTCCACATCAATTTTCTAAAGCATCTGGGCAGACTTGTCTAAACAAGAATGCTTTTAGCAGGCACCCAAAAGAATACAGGGAAGGCACCTGTATCAATGGGCAACGAGTACGAGTGCTGCCACACTAAACAGTCTGAGTTTATGCACTTATATCATAGAATCACAGACTTGTAGAATTGGAAGGGACCACAAGGGTCATCTATTCTAGCCCATCCCTCTGCAATGCAGGAATGAATGAATTTTATTGTTGCGGTCACAGACCAGTTCCGGCTCATTTACAATATCATGAAAATAATAAAACACAACAGGAATACATTGAATTGCAATTGGGTATAACAGAGACAATACAGCGGCAGTCAATATATATATATTAAATCTTGATCACTAAAATACAACCCAAAATTGTCATTTAAAACCTTAATCATTTTGGTAGTACAGCTTGTTCCCTAAGTTTTATGGCAGTCGCACAGAATTTGGCCACCCTTAGTGTGATCTCTAGATCCTTGTCCTCTATTAGGAGTTTTAGACATTGAAGTTCGGACCCATTTGGAGATTTTTGTATAACAGGAGTGATAAATACCGAGCGTATATCCCCGTAGAAACGGCAGCGTAACAAGATGAGAGAGACAGTTTCCACCTCCATCAAGCCGCAGGAGCAGACTCATTCCACGTACGGTTTACCCTCGAATCTGCCCTGCAATAAGGCAGATGGCAGCACGTTGAATCTAGCGAGGGTAAATGACCGTCTGTATTTGGTTATTTGTAATTTTGACAAATAATTTGCTGGGGTAAATCCTCTCCCATTATCTTTTACTGCTGGGTGTTTATTCATCTTGCTCATGTGGCATTGCAGTTCCATATCCCAAATTTGTTGGTGGATTATTGCTCTAGCTTTCTCATAAGCTACAGCTACCAGGGCCTGTGGGGAAGCAATGCAGGAATCCCAGCTAATGGAGGCAGCTTTCTCCTCCCTTAATGGGTCCAATCCTTAAGCCATCCAGGTTGGTGGCCATGACTGCTTCCTGTGACAGGGAGTTCCAGAGTTTAACTCTGCGTTGCGTGAAGAAGTCCTTTCTTTTCATCTGTCCAGAATCTCACAATATTCAGCTTCATTGGGTTCCCACGAGTTATTCAGGCCACAAGGGAGGGAGGGAAGAGAAGCTCTTCTCCGTCTACTCTCCTCACTCATCATTTTACAAACTTCTCTCCTGTCTCTCTCGTTCGCTTTTTCTTGGAACTTAAAAGTCCCAAACACTGCAGCCTTTCTGGAGTTGCTCCATCCCTTGATCATTTTGGCTGGCAGCAAAGTTGCCCAGGGTGGGGGTCCAGGGTGACCCCCGCCTTCACCCTCGGCCTCGACTGAGCTTCAGAGAGGCTTCTGCCAGACTCTGAGGTTCCTCTGTTTCTTAAACAACCATCATTACTTAAGGAACAAAGCCAAGACAGGATAAGTTACCCTTTTGTTTGATTGTTCCCTTTCTCCGGCGGAGACAAAGAGGAACTCGAGCATGGCCGATTTATCAAAGCGATGCCTGCTTGCGATTCCCCCTCCGGGATCTCGGGAGAAGCCTGCGATGGTTTTTTGATGGTGCCTTTCATTTCATTAGCAAAGCTGTCTCGGGCTGTTGAAATGGGCCGTTTCTGCTCATCGTGACTGAGGATCAACCCCAGGCAACGATCCATCAGCGCTCCCTCGGGTTTGCGTGTGTGTTTTATTTCTAAACAGGCTGAGGATTAAAATCTTCTCGGGCTGTTTTCAGAAACACGGCTTGGCTGTCTGGGAACCTTTCTTCTTGACATCCAAGAGGCAGAAAATGTCCCAAAACAGAGCAAAACTGGGCTTCGGTGTTTGATAAAGGGGCCTGCAGGTTACGGCCTCTTGGCAAATGCTGGATTAAGGGGTAGTGGTGAATCCAGACCCTCCAACATTTCTCCAATGAAAATAGGGACGCCCTAAGGAAAAGCATGACATTCCGGGATAAAATAAGAAATGGGGACAGCTTCTGTAAATCCAGGGCTGTCCCTGGAAAACAGGGACACTGGGAGCATCTGTGAATCAGAAGGTGGAATCTGCAGATAAGTCTGGGGTGTGCATTGCAATCACTGGGGCGGTGGACTGGAGTTGTGGGGTGCTACTTCCCATTGCTATACTTGCTTGTGATGAGGATGTAAGAGAAACCTGCTGGATCAGGCCCAATGGGGGCCCATCAGGTCCAGCATCCTCTTCTCACAGATGCCCCACTGCAGGATCCGAGCACCAGAGGCCTCTCCTCTCCTGCACTTTGCTGCCTGCGATCGTGGTGAGCAGCCATCCATAGCCCTATTCTTCATGAATGGGTCCAATCCTATTTTAAAGCCATCCAAGTTGGTGGGCATCACTACCTCCCTGTGGAAGGGAGTTCCACAGTTTAACACTGTGAAGTCCTTTCTTCTGTCTGTCCTGAACCTTCCAACATTCAGCTCCGTTGGGTTTCCATGAGTTCTGGCATTACGAGAAATGGCTAAAAGCTAATATCTGTCCACTCCATGCATGCTTGTTTTTGAATTATTATTGTTATGCAAGAATCTTTTGCCCAATGTGGGGCTTGAACCCAGGACCCTGATTTTAAGAGTCACATGATCTATCAACTGAGCTATCCCAGGAATAGCCTGCTTCCCTTTAGGAAGGTTATTTGGCATAATCATAGAGCTGTAGAGTTGGAAGGGACCCTGAGGATCATCCAGTCCAACCCCCTGCAATGCAGGAATATGCAGCTGTCCCATACAGGGATTGAACCTGCAACCTTGGCGTTATTAGCACCATGGTCTAAGCAGATGAGTTATCCAGGCTAATGCTTTGGCTCGCTCTTTCTTTCTCTCTCACACACACATTTCTTCTTGAAGGAGAAATCTGGACCCATAAATTTATTTCTCTTGCATGATGCCAGAAGTTAGCACTGAAGAGGCAGCGGTGGTCTAGTGGTTAGAGTGTCAGACTAGTAACGGAGAAGCCAAGGTTCAAATCTCCACTCAGCACCTGAAGCTCACTGGGTGACCTTCGGCCTGCCGCTGCCTCTCAGCCTGGCCTACCTGACTGGGTGGTTGTTGTGGCGAGAGACCTACACATGCCACTTTGAGCTGCTAGGAGAAAAGGTATGTTATAAATGCACAGAAGAAATAATGGTAAATGAATAAGGTGACAACCCACTGAAAACAATGAGCACGACTGCTCTGAGCAGGATTAGCTGGGAGCAACCCAAAGTAAGATTCTAGGCCTCATGGTTTTCAGGCATAATGGGCATGGTTATCTTAAAGGTAAAGGTAAAGGTACCCCTGCCCATACGGGCCAGTCTTGACAGACTCTAGGGTTGTGCGCCCATCTCACTCAAGAGGCCGGGGGCCAGCGCTGTCCGGAGACACTTCCGGGTCACGTGGCCAGCGTGACGAAGCTGCATCTGGCGAGCCAGCGCAGCACACGGAACGCAGTTTACCTTCCCGCTAGTAAGCGGTACCTATTTATCTACTTGCACCCGGGGGTGCTTTCGAACTGCTAGGTTGGCAGGCGCTGGGACCGAGCAACGGGAGCGCACCCCGCCGCGGGGATTCGAACCGCGACCTTTCGATCGGCAAGCCCTAGGCGCTGAGGCTTTTACCCACAGCGCCACCCGCGTCCCACAAGAAAAATATCCGCCTTCCTGCCGTGACTCGGATTCGAACCGAGGTTGCTGCGGCCACAACGCAGAGTACTAACCACTATACGATCACAGCGAGCTACCAGGGAAGGTTATCTTAGAGGTCCATTAACTTCACTGGGGCTTGCTCTGGGGAGAACTCGCTTGGCGACAATGCTCTGCACCCATTGCTTGACCAAGAAACTGCATTGCAAAATTCAGAGAGGTCCGGATTTCAAAGGACGGCTGTGGTTCTGTTTCCAAAAGTGCTGGCTGTGTCTATTTCGCCCTCTGCCCCGTTTGCACGGGCCGTACTCACCCCGAAGCTCCTTCGAGTAGCAGTAGACATCGTAGGCCTCCCCGGCGTCCCGCTCCCCATAGCTCCGGACTCCCGGGAGGGTGTTGCGATCCCCGTAGCAGCCAGGCCTCGAGAGGGTGATGGGGTACCTGTGCCAGGAAGGAGCAGGGGGAGCGTTGGACGGGAGGGAAGACGGAGGGGGAGCACTGCAAGCCAGGATTCTCCCAGAATCCTTTGCCAAAGGAAAAGAGCTGGTTGGATGGAGGTCCAGCAGCTGGAATGCCTTTGAAGGGAGGGTGGAAGAACAGAGCAGGGGGGCAACCCAGGGAGAGGAGGGGGAGAGGGAAATAGGGGTGGGAGGCAGGACAGGGAGCCCACCTTGGTATCAGCACGTATCACAATTACTCAGCAAAGGGTCCCTATTTGTTTCCCCTCTTGGAAGCTACGAAAGAAAGGCAGACTCTCCAATGTTTCTCCGATGAAAATAAAAGGTAAAGGTACCCCTGCCCGTATGGGCCAGTCTTGACAGACTCTGGGGTTGTGCGCCCATCTCACTCAAGAGGCCGGGAGCCAGCGCTGTCCGGAGACACTTCCGGGTCACGTGGCCAGCGTGGCAAAGCTACTCTGGCGAGCCAGCACCAGCGCAGCACACGGAAACGCCGTTTACCTTCCTGCTGGTAAGCGGTCCCTATTTATCTACTTGCACCCGGGGGTGCTTTCAAACTGCTAGGTTGGCAGGCGCTGGGACCGAGCAACGGGAGCACACCCCGCTGCGGGGATTCGAACCTCCGACCATGTGATCGGCAAGTCCTAGGCGCTGAGGTTTTACCCACAGTGCCACCCGCGTCCCTTATACAGTGGTACCTCTGGTTAAATACTTAATTCGTTCTGGAGGTCCATTTTTAACCTGAAACTGTTCTTAACCTGAAGCACCACTTTAGCTAATGGGGCCTCCAGCTGCTGCCGTGCTGCCGGAGCACAATTTCTGTTCTTATCCTGAAGCAAAGTTCTTAACCTGAAGCACTATTTCTGGATTAGCAGAGTCTGTAACCTGAAGCGTATGTAACCTGAAGCATATGTAACCTGAGGTACCACTGTACAGTGGACGCTCGGGTTGCGAACATGATCCGTGTGGGATGCAAGTTCGCAACCTGCAAAGTTCGCAAGCCGCATCTGCACACACGCAGGTTGTGATTTAGCGCTTCTGCGCATGTGCGACCGCCGAAACCCGGAAGTAACCCGTTCCGGTACTTCCAGGTTTTGGCGATCCACAACCCCCCCCAAAAAAAAGCAACCTGAAGCGTCTGTAACCCGAGGTATGACTGTAAAAGATCTGCCTTCAGATGTTTTCTAAAGGTTGTGATTTACTTATCTCCTCGGCTCGGGGGTTGCATAACTCCGGACCCTCCAACATTTCTCGGATGAAAATAGGGACGTCGTAAGGAAAGCGGGACATTCCGGGATCAAATCAGAAACCGAAACAGCTTCTTTAAATCCAGGACTGTCCATGGAATATAGGCACCCTTGGAGGGTCTGGAAAGGTTGTGTCTTAGAACCAGAGCTTTATTAGACTGTTTCTCACTTTATTAGACTGCTGTAAGAAAATGAGAAGACCAATGGCCCACTTTGTCCAGCTTGCTCTTCTCCCAGGGGCCAACCAGGGGTCCCACTGGGAAGGCCATAAGTAGGATGTGAGAACAGCAGTGAAACTCCCCTCTTGCCGTTTCCAGGAACAGGGATTCAAAGATAGACTGCCTCTGATGCTGGAGGTGACGTAGCTGCCTTGTTTATTGTTATTTATTTTTAATTTATTAATCCATTTATTTAATGGACCTATTTATTCAATGGATCTACCACTTGGGTTTTTTCCTGTTAAAAAATAACAACCTCAAAGCGGTTTACAAAAAGAATGACGCAATCAGAAAAACACAAAGCCCTCAAAAAACTAAAGCACATCAACGGTCGAGATATCTGGGCAGACTTGCCTAACGAAAAATGTTTTAAGCAAAAGGGCGCCTGCATGATATCAAGAGCCAGCAAGCTCCAAAGTGTAGAAGCCACCTACAGGTAGCTTCTGACAACCTGGGAATTTTTATATTCCTTCCCTCCTTTAAAGCTGTCCCAAATTGGGGGACAAATTGACATATTAACCGGGGGCAGTATTGAGACAGAAAATCAGGATTGCTCCTTATAAATCAGAGAACAGTGGCAGATGCCTTCTGCATGTACCTGACGGTGCGGTCAGAGAGCCACCCTGCGTCGCAGTTGTCATAGCCATCCTCGAAGGCCACTTGGAGGTGGTCAGGGGAAGCGATGACGGCCGAGTTCTCCTCGCATGCCTTCTGGGCCTCTGGGAAGGTCAGCGCGTAGCGGTTGCTGGCAGCTCGGTAGTGGAAAACCACACCTGGGCGGGCAAGGAAATGGGCACAAGAGGGTGTAAAATTCCTAGGCACCTATCCTGAGGACCTTCGTGGCATTGCTCGCTTTATATTTTTCACTTCCTTCTAAGAGCTGATTTCAATATCCTTTAGCAGGCAGGCAGAGCAAGAGCCAGCAGTAAATCTCACTGTTCAAGTTGGAGTTAACTCTTTGTTAGCAAAAACACGATCTGCACAGACTTGGCTGAGCATCAGGCCTAAGCAGCACAGCCGCTCATCCCCAGTAGGTCTTGCTCCCATGAAGCAGTTGGCGAGACTGAAGGTCCCGGCCTCCCCACAGCCTTCTAAGTCCTCTCCTTTCCAACACTTTCCCCAAGCAATCAGAGACTGGGCCTGCATGCAGCCAACCTCTCCTCCTCTCTTTTCATGCCTCTCCTCATTCAGAGGGGGGAGGAGAGCTTGTTGCAGCAGGAGGGGGAGACACCCATGACTCTTCACCAGCCTAACCCATCTCTGTCTCTTGGCCTCCCTCCTCTTCTCCTGCTTCAGCTTCTGCCTCTGATTCTGGACTTCCCTCCGCCACAGACTCTCCCCACTCACTAAGTCCTGTTACCTCTTCACTTCCTGACACCTCCTCCTCCTCCCAGGCTTCTCCTTCTTCTCCCTCTGACCACTCATCACTGTCCCACCACCCCTCCCTGGGCTCTGAGCCTTCTTCCCTTGGGGGTTCCCCAGCTGGTTCCTCCCACCATGATTCTGCATCCAACTAGTCCATGACCCCTTGAGGAACTGTGGAGGTGCCACTACTGAAAAGGCCCTGTTCGCTGAAGAGAACAGCCTCGTTTCAAACAAGCAAGACCAGGACCAAAAGTCCCTCTTAAGAATCCGCTGCTACTGGAAAAAGTTAAATCTTTCAGCAGAGAATATTCATTTGAACGATATACCTGTTGTATGGAAATTAACAATGGGACAATGGAAATGGATTCTATGCACCCTAATGGTGACCAAGAGACTGAAACTGATGAACTGGAAAAATAAAGATAGGATACTGCTTAATCAATGGATTGACAATATGACAACACTTGCAACTTATGAATGGACTGCTTACAGACGTAGACTTTGTTCGGACAAATATGACAACATTTGGAACAAGATTTACAGAATGTACAGAATGTAAAGGTACCCCTGCCCGTACGGGCCAGTCTTGTCAGACTCTAGGGTTGTGTGCCCATCTCACTCAAGAGGCTGGGGGCCAGCGCTGTCCGGAGACACTTCCGGGTCACGTGGCCAGCGTGACATCGCTGCTCTGGCGAGCCAGAGCCGCACACGGAAACGCCGTTTACCTTCCCGCTAGTAAGCGGTCCCTATTTATCTACTTGCACTTTGACGTGCTTTCGAACTGCTAGGTTGGCAGGCGCTGGGACCGAGCAACGGGAGCTCACCCCGTTGCGGGGATTCGAACCGCTGACCTTTCGATCGGCAAGCCCTAGGCACTGAGGCTTTTATCCACAGTGCCACCCGCGTCCCTTTACAGAATGTAGTAGGGTATTTACATCTAGCATATGTATTAGGATAATAACAGCATATCAATTTATATAAAAATCTGTGGCAGTATATTACTTTGCATTCTTGTTTCTCTCTTTTTCTTATATTTGTTCTTCCCCCTCACTTCCCCCCCCCTTTGCATCACTTTATTTCCTTATAATTGAAATTCTTTCAATACAAGTATTATTATTATTTTTAAGAATGCACTACTATTGCAGGTGCTTCTCACCTGTGACTTCCAGGGGCACCAGGTCCTGCTCATCGTGGATCCCGGCCACCACCTCACAGCGGTAGAGCCCGGCATCGCTGGCTCGGGCGGCTGAGAGCAGCAGCGTGGCATTGTGGCGCCAGGAGGGGTACCCAGGCAGAGAGACCCTCCCCTCGTAGCCTTTGGAAACCTTCACCACGTTGTCCTTGGCTACCAGGATGGGGACATCCTCCGGCTGCCCTGAGGCCGACTGGACCTTGCTCCACTTGATCCGAGGGGGGTCAGGAGGCGCGTTGGGCCCCAGGGCAGCGGGCAGCTGCAGGAGGTAGAGGCAGGGCAGGGCGACGGGCTCCGCCAGGCCAACCCGGAGAGGCTGGTGGTGGACTTTGTTGATGTGGATCACCTTCGCATTGTCTTGGGAGCCTGCAAGGAAAATATGGGTTTGTTTTGTGGCATTCTTGTGCTGCTTTTTTCTCTGAGGAGTGCAAGGTGGCATGCCTCGTTCTCTCTCCCGCTCCCAATAATAAACCTGCAAGGAAGGTGAGGCTGCGAGAGGCAGTGACTGGTCCCCAAGGTCACCCTGCAGGCTTTGTGGCTGAGTGGGGATTCAAACCCTGCTCTCTCCCAGCTCTTGGTCCTCATCTAGTCCCTACAGCAGCCCGGAGAGGTAGGTTGGGCTGGGAGAGGCAGGCCACCCTAACCCCAAGCTTCATGGGACAGTGGGGATTCGAACCCTGCTCTCCCAGTTCCTAGTCCAATGCCCTAACAATTATACCCTGCTGGCTCCAGCTAAGTCATTCTTGGAACAGGTCAGCTAAAATCAATAGGTCTTTGGACTCCCTCTTGAAATCCAATTTGGAAATTACAAAAGAACTCAAAATTTAAATAAATATATAAAAGTAGAAAATTTCTCATTACAACCCTGCTAGTGATGTTAATTGCTTACAATTTTGTAATGAGTGTAATTAGAATTGGAAAATGTACAAATGCAATGATATAAAGGTTAATTTTGAAAGCCATGAGGAGGGAGGGAAGGAAGTTGATAGGCTCTAAAGAGCCAGGGACGTAAAGTGGGTTGTAATGATGTGAACGTATATTATTAAATGGAAATAAATAAAAATTGTATATAAAAAAGAAAAGAAAAAGGAAACCAATTTGGTATTTTGCAACAAAAAGATATTTTCACCTGCATGGTATTTTGATGTATTTGCTGCCTGCATTGAAATGTAAGTAAAGCTTCTTTGCTTTTCGTTACTAAAACGTGTGGTGCATTCTTAGCAACCGGGACAGAGAAAAGAAGGTGAGCAGTCCACAGACAGAGGGGTAAAAAGGCACAATTGCCTAATTCCTTGCTTCCAGCAAGCTGCAAAAGCACACATGTTTTTACTGTGCTAAAAGGGCTTCACAGCCTGTCTCGCTCATTTGGTTAGAGCATGATGCTGATAATGCCAAGGTTGCAGGTTCAGTCCCTGTATGGGACAGCTGCATATTTCTGCATTGCAGAGGGTTGGACTAGATGATCCTCAGGGTCCCTTTCCAACTCAACAGTGCTATTATTCTGCTCTCATATTTCTCCCACCCAGGTGGGACAGGAGGTTTAAATTTTAATTTGCAGATTTAATCCTCAATCCATCCCCATCAATCTGGAGGGACGCTGGCTTTCACACTCCCAAGGAAAGGCATTCCCCACACCGCCTGGAGGACAGAGGGCCAGAGAAGGCTGCCTTAACTGGTCACAGAAGGGAATTTTTTGCAGCAGTGAAAAGCACCGCTCTGTGGACTTTGCAACCTGTGAAATTAATCATCTCCGTGGCTGCGACGGACACCCTGGCTCCTTCTGAGCATTGATTTTCTGCTGCAGCCAGCTGGACCCAATTATAGGATGAGGGGGAGGGTAGCCAGGAAGGGTGGAGGGAGTTAAAAAAGAGGCAGGAGAAGAAACAAAAGGAAATTGAATGGATAGTCCTGAAGCCAAGATGAACCAGAGAGCTTGGCTCTCTGGGACCATCCAGCTCCCCCCTCCCCTTTCTACAAGCAAGAAGGGCAGTATCCTGTTTTCCAAAGCCCAGGCTAGGAAGCTGAGTTAACTGCACTCCAGGGATTCTCACACGCATCCTGACACTCGGCTGCTAGGTGCCCCATCCAGGAAAGAGAGGGCTGTGCCGTGCAATGGTTAGCACGGCTCCAGATCTCCCGCAAATTTCCTCCATGGCAATTAAGGATGCGTCATTCCGCAATGTGGTTAACTGATCTTAACTTTTTGATGGTTTTATTGCATGGGGTTTTTATTGCTGTAAACAGTTTGTGTGTGTGTGTGTGTGTGTGTGTGTGTGAGAGAGAGAGAGAGAGAGAGAGAGAGAGAGAGAGAGAGCGCAGTATATAAACACTTTTATAAACAAAAACATAGTAAGTGGTTTGGCCTTCTATGAGAATGCAAGAAGAGCTCTGCTGCTCATCTAATCCACCATCCTATCATAGAAACATAGAATTGTGCAGTTGGCAGGGACCCCCGAGGGTCATCTAGTCCAACCCCCTGCATTGCAGGAATCACAACAGCAAGGCAGGTTAGGCTGAAAGAGACTTTTTTTTTTTCCAGGGACAGTCCCGGAATTACAGAAGCCATCCCGGTTTCTGGTTTGATCCCGGAATGTCCCGGTTTCCCTTTTCCTCCATGTCTCAGAGGACAATTAAGAGTGGTTTGTGTGTAGGTGCAGAAAGAGAGTCCTGTTTATACAGAAAATGAAATCCCTGAGCTAAATGAAGGAAACGGTGAAGCTGGCATACGAAGCCCTTTCCATATTTTTGGAAGAAAATGTCACCAATCCACTTTAAATTCTTTAATTGCAATGCTTCCGCAGCCAGCCATTTCCTAGGAAACGTGGGGAGTGTTGATTCCTTTAATGCAAATGGAGCCTTGCCCTGTCTACTCAGAAGTAAGCCCCATTGTATTCAGTAGAGCTTACTCCCAGGTAACTTGGTCAAGACTGGGCTGCCTTACACTGCGATCCTAAGCATTTTCACTCAGAACTAAGTCCCACTGAGTTTAATAGGGATTTCTGTCTAGCGTGTTCCTGATCATTCTCAGTTTCTTCTCCTTCTATTATTATTATTATTATTATATCCTGTTTTTCCCCCCGACAGGGACTCAAGGCAGCTCAAATCCTATATCCTATTTCCTGCCATTTATCTGTGGAAGGTGTTGCACACAATCCCTTCCTTCACACATTTTCCCTTCACAACAACCCTGTGAGGCAAGTTCAGCGGAAAGGTTGGAGTTGGCTCAAGGTGACCAATGCTGATGTGCCCACGAGGTCTACATGTGCAGGAGAAGCTTCCTGATGTAGAATGTTGTTGTTGTTGTTTAGTCGTTTAGTCGTGTCCTACTCTTCGTGAACTCCTTGGACCAGAGCACGCCAGGCCCTCCTGTCTTCCACTGCCTCCCGCAGTTTGGTCAAACTCGTGCTGGTAGCTTCGAGAACACTGTCCAACCATCTTGTCCTCTGTCGTCCCCTTCTCCTTGTGCCCTCCATCTTTCCCAACATCAGGGTCTTCTCCAGGGAGTCTTCTCTTCTCATGAGGTGGCCAAAGTCTTGGAGCCTCAGCTTCAGGATCTGTCCTTCCAGTGAGCACTCAGGGCTGATTTCTTTCAGAATGGATCGGTTTGATCTTCTTGCAGTCCATGGGACTCTCAAGAGTCTCCTCCAGCACCAGAATTCAAAAGCATCCATTCTTCGGCGATCAGCCTTCTTTATGGTCCAGCTCTCACTTCCATACATCACTACTGGGGAAACCACGGCTTTAACTATACGGACCTTTGTTGGCAAGGTGATGTCTCTGCTTTTTAAGATGTTGTCTAGGTTTGTCATTGCTTTTCTCCCAAGAAGCAGGTGTCTTTTAATTTCGTGGCTGCTGTCACCATCTGCAGTGATCATGGGTGTCCCTATTTTCATCGGAGAAATGTTGGAGGGCATTGCCCTTCATTCATCTGACTCACTGTCATCTGCGCTGCCCTGAGATGCTGTGAGCTACTTGCCTTCCCCAAGTCCTCACTGCTCAGAGAGGCATCACAACATAACCCTGTTGTCTTTAGGGTGGGGAGGATAAATGTCAGACCAGGAAGTCAGAATTTTGGCCCAGATATTGGATCTGTGCAGCCACAGAATGGCAGAAATGGGGGTGGGGGGAGGTGAAACACCCTGCCTGACACAACTTGGCAGAGGAATTGAGATTCTTTTTTTCCTATTCTCCTGTGCATCATTCCTTATTCATGCCTGTCTTCCAGTTACCATTAATACTTAATTACCCGTACATTATTTGATGCTTATGGCTGGCAGGTCGTTTGCAGCTTGTTTGTTTACAGTGGGTTGCGGGGGAGGGGGGGTTAGGAGGGGACAGAAAACAGATCCCAGATTCTTGCCTGCAACTACAAGGTTTTCCCAAACCCAGACATGCTGAGGCTTCTGCTCCCAAGCAGGATCTTGTCCCTAAGATCTCTCCTAGGAGGAAAAGCTGCAGCAGCATTTGGGACTCTTTGGCTTAGGCTTGTAAGAGGCGGCTTGATAGAAATTTACAAAATTGTGCAAGGCGTAGAGGAAGTGGACAGAGGAAACTAGAACTCATAACACTAGGACCAGACCATCCCAGTGTCCCTATTTTTAATGGAGAAATGTTGGAGGGTCTGGAGTTATGCAACCCACAAGACAAGGAGATAAGTAACTAGACAACCTGAAGACAGAGAAAAGTCTTTTAACGGTTAATGCTTCGTTGTGTTTTTATATATGTTGGAAGCCACCCAGAGTGTCTGGGGCAACCCTGTCAGATGAGCAGGGTATAATAAAATTATTGTTATATCGAATAGGATGTCCGTATTATTATTATTATTATTATTATTATTATTATTATTATTATTATTTATCCATATTATAATATGGATGTTTTAGCAGAGATTCCTGCATTGCAGAGGGTTGGACTAGATGACTCTCGGGTCCCTTCCAACTGTATGATTCCACTATTGTACGATTCTGTTTTCATCAGAGAAATGTTGGAGGGTATATAAGATCTCTCCTTAGGAGGAAAGGCTTCTGCAGCGTTTGGGGCTTTTAAGCTTAAAGTAAAGGTGAGTAAGGGGCAATAGGATAGAAATTTATAAAATTCTGCACAGCAGCCGTAGAGGAAACTAGAACTCGTAACCTTAGAACTCGTGGACATCCAATGAAGGCGAATGTTGGAAGATTCAGGAGAGAGGAAAGAAAGCAGCAGAGAGTTGCATTGTGCATGGCAGGGAGAGAGCGGGTGGAGAAAAGCCTTTCTCCCTCTCTCTAAGAGTGGAACTCAAAAGCTGAATGTTGGGAGAGTCAGGACGGATAAAGAAAGAACTTCTTCATACGGCACAACTATGGAACTCCCTGCCACAGGAGGCGGCGAGGGTCACCACCAACTGGGATGGCTTTAAAAGAGGAGGGGATAAACTCAGGTAGCAGAGGGCTATTGGCAGCTCTGCTCTGCCTTCATAGTTGGGGCAGCCGAGCTTCCGAATCCCAGTTGCTGCAAACCATGGGACAGGATTGGGCTCCTGTGCCCGGCACCTGCTTGGCCACTGCGAGAGCCGGAGGCTGGGCAAGATGGACCATTGCACTGATCCAGCAGCCAGGCTCTTCTCATGCTCTCGTGGTCTAGGTGCTCACAGGAAGCTGGCAAGCAATGCCTGAAGGAAGCAGCTTCCCTTTCTTCTTCTTTTTGGCCACAGATCCCAGATTTTGAGGGAGGGGAAAGCTTTCCTACTTGTTGCCAGAAATCCAGAACTTCTTCCAGAAGCACCCCCCCCATGCAGGTGGCATTCGGAAATAGGCTTCTCCTGGAAATGGAAGTTCCATTTAGCTGCCCTGATTAAATCAATAGGTGACAAACAGAGTCAGACTCTTACAAGAGCAGTTCTTGATTGTGCAAATGAATGCCACATCTAATAAATGCATTTTAGGGCAGTGGGAAGAGAAAGAGAAATGAAATTGTCCAATTTTATAAAAAAATACTGCTTAATGTCCTGTTCCTCACCACATCTGATGGCAAGCAGAACTTACCCACAACAGAGAAAGGCAGGAGCAGATATCCCAGCAGGACCCAGCAGCCAGCATCATCCATTAAATGGACCATCCTTAATCTGGAATAACAACAACAAATCTTATTGATCATCATCATTTTATTATTATTACATTTACACCCAATCTTCCCTCCCAGGAGCTCAAGGGGCTGTACAGATGGGCAGGGTATAAATGATAAAATAATAATAATAATAATAATAATAATAATAATAATAATAATATGTTATGTTATTATGTTATAATAATAACATTATTATGTATTATGAGTTGGTGTTTTAAAAACTGGTCTCCCAGGTCCTGATCTAACTACTATGCCACACTCCCCCCAAGGCATGTCACTATGCCTGTTAGCGCACAGGGAAGTAGAGTCAGCGGAGGCCTAAGCTCAGCCTCTGCCTGCCTGCCTGCCTGCCATCCTACCAAAAACCACTCTATGGGGTGACCCTCGCTGCCATCTTCCCCCTCTTCTGCCTCTGTTTACCCTAAGCAGAACTCAGCAGGTATCTATCTCAGATCCACCTACCTCTGTGTCGCTTCCAGAGGTCCACCCCCCCCCCCTAGATATATCTCAGATCCATTTCTCTATAAAGGTAAAGGGAGCCCTGACCATTAGGTCCAGTCGGGGTTGCGGCGCTCATCTCGCTTTATTGGCTGAGGGAGGCGGGCGTACAGCTTCCAGGTCATGTGGCCAGCATGACTGGCGAAACCAGAGTAGTGCACAGAAATGCCATTTACCTTCCCGCCAGAGCGGTACCTATTTATCTACTTGCACTTTGACGTGCTTTCAAACTGCTAGGTTGGCAGGAGTCCATTTCTCTATATAGCCGCCCAAGATCTATCTATCTAGAGCGGTATATAATTTAATAAATGATAATGATAATCATGCATTGCAGAGGGTTGGACTAGATGACCCTCAGGGTCTCCTCCTCTACAATTCTATTCTGCCTGTCTATTTACCTCCCTATCTCTCCATCAATCTACTTATTTATCTAATCACGCTCTCTCTCTATGTCTCTCTCTCTACCTAATCTACCAGCTAGCTAGCTAGTATCAGAGCTGATCACAGGAGCCAACTCCTAGAGCAGGCATAGGCAAACTCGGCCCTCCAGATGTCTTGGGACTACAACTCCCATCATCCCTAGCTAACAGGACCAGTGTTCAGGGATGATGGGAGTTGTAGTCCCAAAACATCTGGAGGGCCGAGTTGGCCTATGCCTGCCCTAGAGGCTGAGATCCCTTCACACCCACCCACCCAATGAAATATTTTAGGGGGCCTGGCCATTCACATGGTGTGTGTGGACCACATCAGGTGATCGATTGTGTGGAGCAGGGCTCACCTGCCCCTCGGCCCCCAATATTTTATTTAAGTTGGCACCCCTGGGGCTGACTCAGGGCCTTACAATCCTGAGCTATGGTTCTGAACGAAGGCAAACAACCTTTTCTCACCCAAAAGGTTTTGATCCACCTTCCTTCCTTTTTTTTTAAAAAAAAGGCTTGGATCATTCTGATTCCAGCAGCATCTGACAGCCTTTTTTCCTTTTCTGGAGAGGAATTGCGAAGAGGGAGAGCGAGCGAGAGAGAGCAAGATGCGCGGTCTAGTGGGGAGGGGAGGGGGCCCTTTCATGTCAAGGCAAGTTTTCCTCTCCAGCTGCAAATCCCCCCCCCCCATCACAGCGCCCTCCGCCGCGGCGACTCCTCGCATCAGCCGCCTCACCTCCTGCGAGTTCAAAGCGCAACGAGGCAAACCGGGCGCGTCTCCGAGCCCCCCCCCCGGCCCAGAACTTGCTTTGAGGGCTTCTCCAAAGGAGACAGCTCCCTCCCTGGGGGAATGCGAGGTGCTTGTTGTGGGTTACAGGAGGCCACGGAATTGCGTGTGCGTGTGAACGCTTCTCCCTTGAGCTCGGAGGCCCAAGGCCCTCTGAACTCCACTTGCTGGGAATCGAATACATATTTCAAGACATTTTCTTTTATATTGCCGACTCCCCATCCCATTTTCCGTGATGTTTTTATTACCACCACCCCCCTTTTGCTACTCCCTGCGTTCCCTCTTTTTTTAAACATAGTCATAAGACAAAAACCTTTAATTCTTTCTGTTGCTCATAGTTCGGAACATGGGAATTGAAAGGTTGTTGCAGTGCCTGGGGGGGGGCTTCCCTTTGGGGGCTTGTGGCTGGCCATTGTGGTGACAGGAGGCTGGGGTATGACGCACCCCCTTGGGCCTGGCCCAGCTGAAGGCATCTCCCTAGTTTCTTGTGATTCCTAAGTGGAACCAGGAGCCTGGGAGGAAGGTCAAGGAAGGGAGTATCCTTCAGAGCGTCTCCACCCCCATCGTCCAGCCCGGAGACTGAGGTCCAGCTCTGAGGGCCTTCCAGTGGTTCCCTCCCTGCCAGAAGTGAGGCTACAGGGGACCAGGCAGAGGCCGTCTCGGTGGTGGCCCCCGCCCTGTGGAACACCCTCCCGTCAGATGTCAAATAAAGAACTTATCTGACTTTTAGAACACATCTGAAGGCAGCCCCATGCAGGGAAATTTTTAATGTTTGGTGTTTTATTGTGTTTTTATATATGCTGGAAGCCACCCAGAGTGGTTGGGGCCACCCAGTCAGATGGGTGGGGTTGTTGTTTAGTCGTTTCCAACTCTTCGTGACCCCCTGGACCAGAGCACGCCAGCCTCTCCTGTCTTCCCCTGCCTCCCGCAGTCTGATCAAACTCATGTTCGAGAACACTGTCCCACCATCTCGTCCTCTGTCGTCCCCTTCTCCTTCTGCCCTCCATCTTTCCCAACATCAGGGTATTTTCCAGGGAGTCTTCTCTTCTCATGAGGTAGCCAAAGTATTGGAGCCTCAGCTTCACGATCTGTCCTTCCAGTGAGCACTCAAGGCTGATTTCCTTAAGAATGGAGAGGTTTGATCTTCTTGCAGTCCATGGGACTCTCAAGAGTCTCCGCCAGGACTCAAATAATAAAATTATTATTAATTATTATTATTATTAAGGAAGGAACGAGTCAGCGTGGTTAGTGTGTCAGACAGTGATCTGTGAGAGACTGGGGTTCAAATCCTGCACTCGGTTTTGAAACTCACTGGGTGACCCCAGAGGACCTGTCACAATCTCTCCGCCTGACCTACCTTGCAAGGTTGTTGTGGGGCTTCAGTGGGGAGGTGGAGAGAGAAGCTTCTCTAGGAGCCCCTTGGAGGAAAAGGTGGGAGATTAAGGCAGGCCATAAAAGAGCCCCTCCCTCAGGGGAGAGACATTAAGCAGCGCCTTCCTCTTCGGGCCCCATCAACGCTAATTATTTGTGATGGAAAAGCGGAGCCTGTCTCCCTTGTCTTCAAGAAAGTCAGAATTTGCATTTCAATGGGGATTGGGAGGGGGCACCCGGGCACTCTGAGTGAGTGATAATGCAGCCCTTCCGCGTGTGGTTTTCCCCTGGGGAGGGAAGGGGTGGGATGGTCGGTGGTGAAATTCATTTCTTCCCTGCTCTCCCCGCAAGCGGCTTCCGAATCAAAGCCACGTCGCTCTCGGAGCCTGGAGATTCAACAAGGAATCAATAATAGCAATCAACAGCAATTAAAAAAACAAAGGCTGGGCTATAGATCAGTGGCAGGACCAGAAATAGCCCCCCCCCCCATTTTTCATGTGTGCCACTTGAAGATATGGCGGCTGAGGCTGCAGACAACCCACAAGTTGAAGGAACATTTAAAAGATGCAAGGCTCGCTCGGAGGACATTTCCCTCCCCTCCGAACAGTCCCGGGAACTGTAGTCTATCCTCTCGCCAAGCTACAATTCCCAGCACCCTTAACAAACAACAGTTCACAGGATTCTTATTTTTTTTGGGGGGGAGAGCGGGGCTCACCTATTTATTTCATGAAATGTATAACTTGTGGGATGTAAACACAGGAGCAGTCAATGACAACATTCCTAGAGTGTACATGTTAGAACATGGTGGGGATGTCTGTCCAGCAAGCAGGTAAACTTCCTGGGGACGGACTTCCTCCACATGTGACTAGAGGTGGGTGTGGCCTCACCTGTGCAGGTGATGACAAAAAGCACAGGGCAGGCAGCCATCTCTCTCTCTCTGCCATTTTCCTTCGACGAGGAAACATCTAAGGATGCTCTCTTGGCTCCCAGCCAAGAGAGGAGATAAGGCCTATCTTGCTATGAGATAGATTCTAAATCTATGTAACCTTTTTAAGCTGTGCCTTCTGGGATCACATTGTGAACAGGACGTGAGTAAACTCTTTTATACTTTTATGAAGACTGTGTCGTGTCTTGTATTTTAAGAGGGAACTAAAGGGGAAATTACCAGGGTAATTATTATAGAGGTTCTAGCGAACCTGTGCACACGTTACCGTTGCGTACTAAAGGGGAATGTATGTAAACTCTGCTGATATTTTGGGAACTTGTTAGCACAAGTTGGATCAGGATATAATCTCACAATATATCCTCTCCTGCACCCCAGAACATTCCCACAAAGGGTTAGTGGCCCCAGTATTGCATATTTCTGCGTATTTTTGGAGGATTGCATTGGATTGTGATTTTGAGTTGAGTAGTATTTTTCTGAGTTAACTTCCTGGTAAGCACATGGTCCTTTGTTCCATTGTGCAGTGGGGATTAAGCAACCCACCCCCTCCCTCAGAGTTCACAGTGACCCAAGGCAGTGAAGAATTGTTTCGTATTTTGAGATTTTTGAGATTTTGATTTTAAAATTTTGAGAAATTTTGAAGAATTTTCAAATTTTTTGATTTTAAGATGGCTAGAGCAGCTTTTGATAGTGATGCAAAGCTAGGAATGCCTGTGCTGAATGAGTACAATTTCATGCACTGGAAGCAGCGCTTGATAGCATGTTTGGATTATAAGCACATTTTGGAAGCTTTAGAGCCTCAGCCTACAGGATCGTCTGAGGGAGATTTAGCCAAGATAAGTGCTTGGAAACGCATGAACAGCGAAGCTAGACACATAATTTTGAGTGGACTTCGTGATGAGCAGCTATCATTAATAAATAGCACAGATGATGCATCTCAAATCTTAAGAGATATTGAGCGCGTGTATGGAGAATCTAGC